ACGCACGGATGGCAAAGCCCCGACAGGCACGCTGATTACATCTATGTGTATGCTAGCACGCGCCCATAATAGGTGACGGGATCTGGCATCGCTTAGATTCCAAGATGGCAGAGCCACGCTGGGCATGGGCAACGCGCAATCTCGAGACAGACCAAGCGATGCTCCGCCAGCGCATGGGCGGAGAGTTCGTCTTCCTTGTTTTGGGACTATCGAGCAGATGATAGATCATGCCCGGGCATCTTGTGCCATGGCGCATCAGGACAACCACATAAACAGGGCGTCAGCGCGCTGCGTCCCACGATCGCCGAAAAGAAACCTCGCGGCCCAATCGCGTAGTGATCAGCGCCTGGGGTTCTGAATCTGGAGTTACAGCAAACGTGAGTGGGCAGATCGGCGCAAAGAACAGGGCGGGCTGCCAACTCAGCCGCCCTCAAGTTCGAGGCCAGGAACGAAGCATTCGTCATTCGGGCTGCGGTGGATACTCGGCAGTGGGGTGGAAAGCTTTTTTTTTTCTTCATGGCATGTGCGAGCTTCGGTCCATCTGGGGGAGGGTTGAGGAGCGGACACGGCAGGGCGGGCAGTGCGGAAGGAATGGCGAGCGTGAGGCGGCACCACGTGACCACGCTGGCTTCCCCGCAACGCGTCTGGCGAAGGGCAGGGCCTAGCTCAGACGCGCTTTCGCTCGGCGTAAGCACACGACACCGCGACTTTTGCAAGCAATGGATGCGCATGATGGAGGCTATGGTGGGTGCAGAGAATACCTGTCATTGTGGTAAATCTACTCACACTATGCAGGAGCGGGCCAATTGCCTCTGGCTGGGGCCATCCTCTGCTGCACGTCTATTGCCCCCGAGCAGCGCGTACGTCTACTCCATATGCTAATGTCCTGCTGTCTCTAATGACCGTATAGGCCAAACTTGCCGCCATTGGCGCGCAGATGGGCGCGACCATCAAGCTCGACCTCACATCAGACGTAACCCACCTCATCGTTGGCAGCACCGACAGCGCCAAATATCGCTATGTCGCCAAGTCTCGCGAGGACGTCAAGGTCCTCTCCCCGGAATGGCTCGAAGCGCTGCGGGAGGTGTGGATGGCTGGCGATGACGACCTGGACATGGCCGCACTGGAAAAGGAGTACCGCATGCCGACCCTCGCTGGGCTGAAGATATGCCTTACCGGCTTCGACAACCGTACGTCGCCAGCCCCAAGTGCATACGACGATGCTGACTACCATAGCTGAGCAACGCAAGACCATTCAGGAGTCAGTGGACGCCAACGGAGCCGAGTACCACGGTGACCTCACCAAGTCCGTCACCCACCTCATCGCAGCCGCGCCATCAGGCAAGAAGTACGAACACGCCCTGAATTGGAGGATGAAGATTGTGTCGCTGGAATGGCTCGAACAAAGTCTGGAGAGGGGCATGGTGCTGGACGAAGCCCTATACAACCCAACTATGCCTGTCGAAGAGCGAGGCCAGGGTGCTTGGGATCGCAAACTGCCCGCGTCGCCCGCCATAGGCAAGCGCACGCGAGATGCAGAGCCGAGCCAGGCCCTGAATCCTTTTCGCAGGAAGCTACGTCGCTCGGCAAGCACCAAGGTGGGCGGCCAAAGTGATGCCTTTTGGGCGGGCGTCACAGCGCCCAGCTTCGAACGACCGCTCGATGAGGACGAATGGACAGAGGAGATTGTTACTAAGCCAGATAGTACGCGGACAAGCACTCGCACCCATACCCCAGCGTCTCCACACAGACATGCGTCCGTCCATGAGAATGATACGCTTACCGAGGCGCACCTTGATGACAATGCAGACAGTCATGAGCCACTGTTGCCACCACATACGAACGATGTGTCTCAACATAATGGAATCTTCCAAGGACGACTGATATGCACGCACGGCTTTGACGCAGAGAAGGTTTGTCATTGCACCCTACATTTCAGCCCTAGCTGACGTTCCCACTAGACAAGCATTTTGCGCCAACATCTCGAGAGCAACGGCGCGCATGTAATCCAAGCGACCGATCTCAACAAAGCGCCATCCGACGATCTAAGACGCGGCTACTTCGTAATACCGCATGACGTCGAGGTCGATTTGGCGGCACTTCCGGGGCGTGCCGGAGAACACATGAACCTGGCCACTAATTGGTGGGTCGAGCGCTGCCTGTATGGCAAACGTCTAGTAGATCCATCGGACGATGTGTTAAGTCGACCATTCGAAAAGCTTAGTATTAATGGTAAGCTTGTGCTCCACGGATGTTTTATTGGTCGCTGACGTAGCCAGGGTTCTCTGGACTCACCATCAACTCTACGGGCTTTTCCGGCATCGAGTTACTGCATGTGACCAAAGTTGTCACGCTTATGGGTACGGGATCATCTCCGCTTCCATTGAAATCGTCTGACAATTTTGACAGGTGCCTCGTACGATGAACAGCTGTCGGCGAAGACCTCGGTTGTGATCTGCAACCCTCCTACCGTAAACACACCGAAACTCAAATTCGCAACGGACAAGCGGATACCCGCTGTTCATGCCACATGGCTATGGGAATGTCTGCGTAGTGGTCGGCTACAGTCATACGCCGAATATCAATTGAACAAGCCAGCGACGCCCCAGCCACAGAAGCCTAAACAGAGGCCTCAGCCACAGGATGATGTACCCACTGCACTACTGTCTACGGAGGAGAGCCTTGAGCTTCGTCAGAAAAAGCAACAGCCTACCGATACCTTGATAAGGCCTCAGCACCATCACCAGCCACAGCAGCGTGGTATTCTTGCCCTCACTGCATCAGCAGAGGCAACACCTGCATCAACTACAGACGGGGCGGATATTAGCAATAACGATACTAACGGCATAACCTATGATGACGATGAGTCTGTTATACCTGGATTGGACGGTGCAGGTCCCTACCCCCTTCGAGAAACCAGCGCCAACTCCCCGCACGCCTCAAAATCGTTCTCACGACCCAGGAGTTCATCGGCGGAGTCACTCATAGCCCCAGCACCCCGCAAGTCCAAGGCTGGTCAGGACCCAGATCCGGTCGTTCCTGTTCCTGAACCCGACTCCGTGATTCCGGCAGATACCGAGCCGGTACCACAGGAAGCACCAAAAGAAAAGGAATCGATAAAGGCAAAAGGACCGGAAGAAGAAAAGGATTACTCTTCCATCCTAGCTCAGATGCGCGCAAACCGCAAGACTGTGCCAACGTCCGTTGATCAGGCACCTGGCAAGACGCGGAAAAGGCGGCAGCTTGGTCGCGCAACGTCCACGCGGTCGAACGCGTCAGCCGGCGATAGCTCCGGGAATATACTGGCCGAAGAAGAGGAAGAGGAGAAGACGCTGTTGATGGAGGAATACCAGCCTAGTCAGGAACTAGGTTGGGATTCTCCTGGTGCTGCGAAAGCAAGAGAACAGATGATCAAAAAGCTGGGTGGGACTATGCAGGAGAAGAGCGTGGCAGTTGAAGGGATTGGCGTCGTGAAGGATGTTGGAGGGCATCCTTCGGGAAGGTCGGGTAGGAAGAGGCGAGGGTGAAGAAGACCCTCTCCCTATACATTCATGATATAAGTGGTGAATGTGCTGGGACGTTGTTTTGGATTCTTCTGCATGGTATGGCGCAAAGCATAGCGAGGTGTTCATTGAAGTAACAATGGAGCATAGTGTAGGCGTTTGATATTAATACCTTTTGCCAGTTGGATCTGATTTCCATCATATCCCATACGTCACCTTCAGCCTTCTTTCCAAATGCCCTTTGGCTGTTATCACTTCCTGTCCGAGCCCATCTTCTCTCAACCCCAACCTCTTCCTCTGACTCTTCAACTCTTCCTCCCCCTTGTTGCCAAACTGCTCAATCACAGGACTAGGTACAGCGTCCAACCTTGCTTCATCTAGCGGGTGGCAGAAGTACGCCATACTGTATCTTTCCTGTCCACCCTCGAAAGTAACACGGTGGACTGTCGATTTCAGCATCCCATTTGTCCAATAACACAGTAAATCTCCTATGTTGACTAGGATTGGAGGCGATGACGATGGCGATGGGCTCACAGGTACCGCTTTCCACCCCGAAGGCGTAGACAGCTCAAGGCCGGGCTGACCTGGCAAACGGAACAGGAGAGTCAGACTACCGTAGTCTGAGTGTGCGCCTGCGCGGATACTGGTTTCGCCTCGCTTGGAGTCTTTTCCTTGCGAGATGGTGGATGGGTAGTAGAGCATGCGGAATATAGTACCTGATGGGCCGAGAGATTGGTCGTGTCGCGTGCTGAAGTAATTGGGATCGGGGATGTGGAGGGCGGTGTTGAGGAGAGAGAGGATTTGGGTGCAAAGGGTGTGGCAGGAATGTTGGAAGCGGGTAATCAACTTGGAAGATTCCTGGAGAGGTGAAGGTAGGGGTTGGAGGTTTGGGTTTGGGGGTCCGATATTGAAAGCTTCTTTCGGGTCACCTTGCTATTATCCAGTTTGTCAATATTTGCGGTCCTTCATTTCAGTGATTTCGTGGATATCTACCTTTTGGCCTTCCGGATCCAAAGATTCGCCTTGCATCTGTACCCAACCGCGGTTAATACCCCCTGCCTTCTCAGAGTGGATTGCGTATTCAGATTTGTGCTCTTTGGGAGCGGCAAAGAACTCCTTAGACTACGTATATCAATTGCCAAGTTCAGTTTCGCGCAATCGATTCATCATACCAACTTGAACATTTCATCGATATCCTGGGGTGGGATGGTCACACCATCGTTCTTAATGTATAGGAAGCCATGTGTGGAAGCCGCGTCCAGCACTTGCCGAGCGACGTCTTCGGAAGAGGCTGAGATATCAATAACCGGTATGGCGTCTGAGTGGTGTCCTGAACTAGCCATTTGGAGAGAGAGAGTGAGATGTGACGCGTGAAAGCCTGGAGTTAGGCTAGGTGAGGGGCAGAGGTGAGACGTGAGACGCGATTTAGGCACTACGAAAGCAACGGAGAAGCCACGTTGACATTGGTGTGTAGATACGGGAGCGGATCACCTCAATTCTGCGCCTACCCGTCATCCATCCATCTAGTCGGCGCAATTGCGCTCCCTCGTACGCCTAAACGCTGTACCTGAGCTAGCGCCCGGCTGATCAGGGATCGTGTAGTTGCCAAGGCGTGGAGCTGCATCGGAGCTTCCAATTTACTGTCCAGACCCCCGCAATCCTCTACAACTTTACCACACGTCGTCGCTACATACAGTAATCACACCAGGCGACTCTCATAGCATTACTTGAGATATTGCTGCCATCGTCTTCGCTCATTATCAATCCCTCATTCCCATTGCATCTACAACAACCCCACCACGCGACTGGCACCATGATCCGCGACTTCGTACAATGGACGGCCACGCTGGGCGAAACGGGCGAGCTCGAACAGTTGCGCAATTGCCGCGTAGGCATTGAAGCCGCCGAATATTTGAACCAGCGGATCCTCAATCATCCGCGCGCAAAGGAGCCGCTTGTGCCTGCGCTGGGAGGCCTTCCGCTGGCCTTGACACAACACATTGAGGACGATCTGGCTCAATTCCGCAGCTTCGAAATCGAACCCTTCTTCGTCTTCAGCGGGCTGGACATTACAAAACATGATGATCCTTTCAGGCAAAAGGAGAACGAGGCATCGGTAAACATCAATGCGTGGACCCTGTACGACGGCCACGAGGCCGAAGCCTCTGTTGCCAAGTTCGGACAGTCAAGTACGGCCACCTTCAGGATGATACTGTGTATCGTACTGACTCTTCTCAGCATACGTCACGCCCGAGGACCTCTTCCGCGCCCTACAGTCAACCCTGACCGAGCGCAACATTCGTTGGACAGTCGCACCATACAGCGCCTGGGCCCAGGCAAGCATATCTGGAATCTCTGTTGGCAGTGGCTAATGGTACGTAGTTGGCATATCTCGAGAAGCACGAATACGTCCACGCCGTCTACGGCTCGTCAGACATCCTCATCTTCGAATGTTCCAAAATCATAACGTCTTGGGACTTCGAGGCCCGACATTTCAGCTTTGTCCGCCGAGAGAAATGTGTAGCAGACCTGTCCAAGTTTGTCGGCGCTCCCAACATCTCAGACGACATCTTTCTCGATACCTGCATACTCGCCGGCACGCCCTTCCTCCCGACCCACCCGATCCTCGACGCGCCTAACAGAGCAGAGCTGATCAAGCCGTACAGCGCCATCAAGACCATCATGAGCAACGGTCAGTCTGGATACTCTGTGGTTGTCAACAACAATGATGTCCCGCCCGCGGGCAAGGAATACGTTACGCGATACCAGAAAGCACGTCTGGCCGTCAAGAATCACCCTGTCTACACAGAGGAAGGTAAGGTCGAACCCCAAAACTCCGGCTCGATGCCCAACGATGCGGGTCAGTATCTGGGCCAAAGGCTCCCAGATGAGATCCTCCACTACATGTCGAAAGGTCTCATCAGCCCACACATCATCCAGTGGCGCACTACCTGCGAGGTATTCGAAGTCCCTCCCATGGATGGTGGCATGTCTCCAGAATACAGGGAGCTCGTCAGCTCCAAGCTGATCCCACTTCGAACACCCGCTGTCAACCTTTTGTCTAGTACCCTACACAATTGGTATAGGCACCAATCTCTGCACCAGACGCATTGGTACTCTCCTGTAGAACCCAATGGGAAACGTGCGTCCACAACCATCCCTGTTGAGAAGCCATCAGAAGCCATAGCTCCTTCGCTCGTTGACACCTGGAACGTGAAGGAAGCTACATTCAAGGATGTTGTCGGACAGTACAAGGTCAGCAAAACCGCGACCGAATTGACCGGTCAATACTAACGCTCTGACAGGATTGCGGAACTCTCGGTGCAGCCATCTTATCACTGCAAAACTCTGACTTTGTTACCAAATCGGTCGCCAAGAAAGATCCTAAGAATCCTCTTTCTTCCACTTCCGAGATACTGTACAACTCGATATGGCGCTTCCTCGCTCTACGGGAGTACGTAGATCCCAAGAGCCATAATCTGACACAATGGGGTAAAGTCCTTGTGTCCATCATCGCTGGCCTAAAGGGCAAGCCAGAGCACGAAGAAGCTGCGGTGATCGCGGTCGAACTGATACGGCTGGGCCTCTTGAACTCCGACATCGATATGTTCTCTATGTACAACGGCGCACCGATGCGTGGTAGCAGTAAGTGGGAAGCCCTTGATCACGTTCTGCATAGCTAATAGCCGCCTAGCACAAGACAAGGAGTATAATATGCTAGTGTCTCGCGTTGCTGGCTTAGGTACTTTGCACCACCGTCCGATTGGTTTCACCGGACCTCTCAGTCAACATTTGCTCGGTTACAACTCCATCGTCAACAAAGTCCGTCAGTCACTTCGAGATATCATCGAGGTGGCCGCCACACAAATGTTCTGTACTGGTTGCTGCACTAGACATGCTGATATACCAGTCATCGCGATGAAGTTAGTGGTCCCGAATCGCAATCACCCGAGTCTGATAAACTAACGCTCTCTAGGCTTCCATTCCTTCTTCCCAACAATTGCGCGCTTAGCATAGCAGCCAAGTCGTACCTCGATGAGCTTCTCACTGGCGATGCCGATCCGACCTCCCCGACGACCAAGTCACGTGTTCTTCAAACCGCATCAGAACGCTACTTCCCGCAATCACTCAACCTCGCTGGCGATCTGAAGTCCGCATTCTCACTATGGGATGCCATATCCGCTGGTGTTAAGTCTGCGAACAACTCTACTGTGCCAGACGCGACAAAGCAGGTCTGGGCAGAGGCAGATAAGTGGCTCGCTGAACGACGGTAGAATCGAGAACTCCACCCAGAGATGGGCCAGACGGCGAATAATGCTTTTGGGTTGAGACACTACCTCATAAGAGCTCAAGAGAAACGCCTTCACATCGCCGAGGGTACTCTGAGAGGTATGAAGACGTGGTACCACTCACATGAAGATAGAAGGGAGGAGATGAGAAGTACGCGTCGGCTGCTCAAACGAGTTGATGTGTTGATGTGTTGATGTGTCGCTTCCAGGGGAGACAAGGAATTCATTTCCACCATACTTGAGCTCTATTGTACTCTTCAAACCAAAGCTATACCCCAGGTGCAGCGTCAAGTACTGAATGGTATCCTTCAAACCCACGTACATCGGATACGTCCGATGCCAAGGTTCTCCACACTAGTGCACAATACAGCATCGAATGTATTGCGTACTAGAGAGAGACTGACAGTTGCAAGGAGACTCCGCAGCCTACCAAAGAATGGAATAATAAAATGCAGTATGTAGAAGTAACACGTACTTCGAGTTTATTTGATTTCCGTTCTAGTATTTACGTACGCATTAACTTATCGTGCGGTAGAGTGGGTCGAGAATACCAATCCCTACCCCTCCTCAGTGACAAAACCTGAAATCCAACCTCTTCATCCCCTCATCCTTGGAATTGAAGATGTAGTCCTCTTGCTCCTCCTTGGTCATAGCTTTCCACTGCGCATCTCTTACTCTATTCCTCCAAATATAAAATGCTTTCACAGCATAGAACAAGAAAACGTTATACACACAGATACCAAGCAATATCCGATTGCCTCTGCGATACAATGGCTGATCGTCATCACGATAAATATTGGTAGCAATAATATTGCCCGACTGCACGAACATGTTGTAGAAAGCCGCGGAGACGGCGCGTGTACGGACGGAATTCGAGTTCTTCGCATTCCAGCTCACGAGGATGGCGTGGCAGTAAGGATAAGACAGCAAGCCTGTGAGGAGCGCATACCGGACCCAGGGATTTGCGTCCGCAGGTAGAACGACAAGAGCGACGAGCCAGGGGAAAATCCAGATATTGGATAGACTGGATATCATGGAGCGTTCCTTGAACTTCTCGGATAGCCAGGTGACGGTGAGGAGTTGGACGGCATAGAGGAATTGGCTGGGTATGGCGAGCAAGTTGGCTTCGAAGACGGAGAACCCGAGTTGGCGCAGGATATACGAGAGGTAGTTTTGCGGTGGGTTAGGTGGGACGTAAGCGGTGAGGCCGATGATGTAGAGGGGCCATTGTTCCCAGTCGCACGCTGCTTTCCAGAGGAGCGGGAGGCCGACTGCTTGTCGGTTGTTCATGTCGCCCTTTGAGGGATCGTCGCGGAGAATGCGGTTGACGAGAATGTACTCTTCGTGCGGGGTGAACCACCCATTTTTGCCACGGAACCAGTGTTGCGTTTGGCAGGCTCCGGGTGGCATGAGGCCAAATGAGAGGATTCCGATGGCTAGTGTCATGGTGCCTTCGATTAGAAATCTGTCTGTGTTAGTGGTTATGCAAGCTGAACGACAGGGTAAAGGCAACTCACAGATACTGCCAGCCTCCCCAGCCATGAAGTCCTCGCATCTGTAATATGCCTGCTGCAAGCAGAGAGCCAACAATATTGCAAGTACTCAGCGCAGTCCAGAACCACGCCAGTCGGTGCGGAAGTTCAGTGGATTTGTAAAAGTATGTCAACCAGAGGACGATGTCTGGGATGAAGCCGCCCATGAGTAGACCAAGGATGCACCGGATGGCGAAGTAGTGGGCTTTGGTCTTCATGGCGCATTGCGACGCGCTGACAATGGACCATATGCAGATAATGGTTGGGATCCACCTGTCATTAGGTTAGTACTTGAAGCCTGACGAGACGGTGTTTAGGCCAGATAGACTTACCGATCAGCACCTAGCTTCTTGCTAATCAGGCCACTGGGAAGCTCGGCAAAGAGGAATGAACCGAGAAAGATCTAGCTTTGCGTCAACGAGAGCTTTGAGAGTAACGAACTGCGCAAAGCTTACAGTCTGACCATAGTTGAAGTCGTTCGTATTCATTCCTGCTCCAAGTCAGTGATCCAACATCTTTTGTCCTTCGTCTAGATGGTACACACCTAGGTCTTTCAGCAGATTGTCTGAAATCGCTCGATTGATGTTCCTTCGATTCAACTCCATCGATATGAACATGATCCATGCCCAGAGAGCTATACGCCAGTCCAGCTACACCAAGAGTGTCAGTCCTGATCAGTGCCACGACTTCATCTACTCACCTTTTTGACTAGACGTTTCTCTTCTTCAGCTTCCCATGTATACGCTGGGTCGAACCGATGACGTCCTTCGTACTCGGCATTATCGTATATTTGACGCCAGCGCTGAGCCGTTGCCGGGTCGCTGAACGGATGGTCTTCGTGTGAGCCATGGTGTAGCCGTGGTGACTTTGAGCCGTGTGACGACCTTGGGTCAGCGGTTTCGGTGATAGGGGCCTGCTTTTCTACTGGTGTAGATGCAGCCATATCTGCAAGGATGGATGAAAGCGGACTTCTTCTCGTAATTCTTTTTGATCTGGCTTAGACTAATTGGTCGGTACTGATTATCCAATGTACAGAGGGAGTGTTATAAGGGACCGGATATGTCCATAATCAGGAACTGTATCGACAGATGATGCAACTTCGGGTACATGTGACAACATACGCTAAAATGAAGAACCTTACCGTCTAGACAAGGCTCTGAAAGCCGAGAGACTTGGTCACGAAAGCTACAGATAAGGGATGACGTTTATGCGACAGAAACTCGATACCAATGATTGCATGCGAGGAGCTTCATTGACAGTGTATACATATCCAGCCGGAGATATGCTGATAGGTCAGTTGACGATACAATCCAATGCCACCATTACCCTGCGATCTGAGTCGAGAAAATGCTTTCCGCGGCCACATGTGGATCCTGATTTGGCGTAGAGAAGCAGACAGTACGACTACAAATTGAACAAATGCGAAAGGTCAGTTGCACGATAGCTCATATTCCACGACCGTCTTAGATCAGTCGGAGTCCCTGAGCATCGATGAAACAGCCGTTCATCGAAAGGATATGACATGCATGCTGGCGGATTCATTCCGAAAAGTCTACCCTTGGCTCCATGGACTTGGCATGAACGCAATTGGAGTACCTCGATTGTCATCTACAAGGGTCAATATCAGTGTTTTGAGAAAAGGATCCGTCTTTGATCGCCAGTGCATCGTAGCGAGGTATGTTGCGAAAATGGCGAAGATGTCGTCATACACTGCCGGTATAGCCTATCCGAAATTTGCACTTGGCAGTCTGGATATCTTGGCAGTGTACCGACGTATTTTCCTGGGACGATGGTAGGTACCTGTGCGTGTGCAAGCAGTGTTGTTGTGGATGACGGAGCTCTAAAGAGCAAGGGGCTGGGAAGTCGCGGTCGCGTCGCGTTCTGTCCAAACTAATCAAAGACTAGTGTTCTCACTCCACACTACAGGTGGGAAGGCGGGAACGACGAAGTGTCTCAGTGACATGACATCGCTACATCCGCCGTTGCATGGGCGCAACGGCCTGTGACGCGTTATTCCCAGATCAATGTTATTGCCAGTCGCGAATGAGACTCTGCCGAGCAGCACGCCATCCCATCCCCACATGTCGTAGCCTCAACCCCGCAACACCTCGTCGATAACGCGCACCATGGAACATTGGGGCTGCAGGAAGCGACTACCGCCACTATCATAAGTGTCCCGAGAATAATTGCACCATAGGATCCATGCGATGATGCCACGATGCCAATGCACAAGCCGAGGAGCTACTGTTCGTCAGTCTTTCGATGCAAATGCGCCCAGGTTTAGTTGATGTGGCGAACAAGAGTAGGAGATAAGTATGACATCGCTCTGTCGGAATGCAAAATACACTGTAATAGTGCAAATCAGCATTGTTGATCATGGCCACGAACACCTTGACCACCACTACCATTAAGGACAAAGACATCACGACGCAGCCTGGATATCCTCGTGAGCCTCTAAAGATCAAAGGCGTTCTGGATGCATTCGAGTCTTTCGACGTTACACCAGTCATCGGCCGCGAATTTGTGGATGTGAGTCTGAAAGAATGGTTGCGCGCGCCAAACTCTGACGATCTGATACGCGACCTGGCAATCACAAGTAACCCACACCCAATGTTTTCCCAATGACTTAAAACTAACATTTCGGAAAGTTTCCCAGCGCGGTGTTGTCTACTTCCGCAAGCAGGATGATTTGGATGATGAACTTCAAAAAGAGCTGGCCCAGCGCCTGGGCGAGCTCTCTGGCAAACCTGAAACGTCCAAGCTGCATATCCATCCTGTTAGAAACGCGGGGAACCGTCTTGGGGGCAACGACAACGAGATAAGCGTCATCAGCTCAGATTTGGCGAAGCAACTCTTCAAGGAGCGGCCACAGACTGGCAAAAATGGCTGGCACAGCGACATCACTTTCGAGCCAGTACCAAGCGACTATGCAATCTTAAGAATGACGCAGCTACCAAAGTCAGGTGGAGGTGTGTGCGAGAAATAGTCGTACCTCCGTTGACCAGGCTAAGACTACTCCAGATACTCTATGGGCATCAGGGTACGACCTTTATGACCGCCTTTCGAAACCGTATCAGAAGTTCTTCGAATCTCTCACAGCAACGTACGCACAACCAGACTTCAATCGCGCGGCGAAAGAAAATAACTTTCCCGTTTACACCGCTGCACGAGGTGCGCCGGAGAACACTGGCGACTCTCTGACCGCTATCCACCCCTGCATCCGCACGAACCCCGTTACGGGATGGAAGTCTCTTTACAGCGTTGGCCACCACGTCCAGCGTATCAATGAGCTGAGCTCAGAGGAATCAGAGCGTACCAAAGCCTGGTTCTTACAGCTCATCACCGAGAACCACGATCTGCAGATCAGACATAGATGGCAGAACCCAAACGACGTGGCCATCTGGGATAACAGAAGCGTACTTCATACAGCGACGTACGACACCGATGGCCAAGGACCGCGGAAGGGGTATAGAGTGGTCAGCTTGGGTGAGCGACCATATCTGGATCCACAAAGTACGAGTAGGATGGAAGCGTTGAGACTGGCTGAGGGTCAGTAGCATGGGATACGTGCAGGTCTAGAACACCTATATGTTATCTTTACTCGAAAAGGATGAGCCGAAGCATTCCAAAACCAATAGAAAGAAGTGCGAAGAAGTGCTGAACAAAGCCTCGTAGGCTGCCACGATCACGTGCCCATGCATGTCAGCTTCTGCCTACATTATTGAACGGCCCACAACTCGAGACACGCTATCGAATTCGTCTCGCCATTCAGTCTCGGATTGCTAGGCATCCTCACTAACGTGACATATTCATATTACCGCCTCCCCACTAGACATGCCTATGCCCCCATCCCATCGTCTATATAAGACCGCACCACTTCCATACTTTTGTTCTCTATACTTACCAGCCAGGGTCGGCGAGCACATGCATTCGCATAGACCGGCTTAGATCAGCTGCATGGCACCATTGCGGGACTGGTCTTGTCTGATGGCTCTTTGTGGGCGGTCTCTGGCATAATTTTTGATGGCTTTTTCATTGGTCCTTCGCACTGTGGTGGGAGGACTGAGGAAGGAATGCGTGTAGACCTGAAAGATTGATGGAGTGAAGAAGTGGCGTATGATCTCTTCGATGGATTGAGAGAAGTTGGCCTTAAAAGAGTAGCTAGCTACATAAGCACATGCACCTTAGATAAGGAAAAAGCTAAACAGGTCTACAGCCTACATTAACATGGAAACATGCAAAGTGGGCGAGCTAACGTCAATGTAGGCCGCAGGGTGTTCAATTCTTCCGTCAATGAAGTGCCCATTTGTTGTCATAATGTGAGTCAACCCAGATTGAATTCTTTGGTCTCGGGTCGTAGTGCGTCCCAAGAATCTTTCAGCACGACACCTATTCCTCGTCTCTCTGCGAGATTTCCAACCCATTCAATCCACATGACATTGTAGAAAGATGCTTTCCGGTAATCATCCTTCTCAACCATCCAGTGAAGGAGCTCCTGATTCTTCTCGAAAGACATGACCGGCCATCCACGTTTGGCCACGCGTACTGGTCGAGAGGTCTCGGCTTCTGAGATAGCGACAAGTTCACAAACACTGCCATATTGAGGCTGATGGTTGATAGCATCGCACATTAAGGCAAGATTACCGACCATCTCCTTTTCATTGCACAGACTCATCAGCTTACGGTGCGTGTTGTTGCAAATTACCACATGCCCAAAAGCCAGGCGTGCGCACGGAGCGAGGCAGCGAAGAACGGGGCAAGGTGGAGCGTGTAACCTTCGCTCAGCCGAATCTATGGTAGGTAGTGGGTACGGATATCTATTGCTTTGTGGAGAAGCAGTATTCGTAAAGTAGTCGCCGTCCGGGTGGTAATGCCGACTCCATCCCTTAGGGAGCACATCCGTAGGCTTTTCCCGAAAAGCTTGATATCGGTAGAAACCATTGAACTTCGAATGGGTTCCGTCTACCGCGTTCGCTATCCGATACTCTGCCACAGGTCTCAAGGTCGCAATGGAGGCCCACTCTGATGCATGGCCGGTATCGCGAAAGATACTGGCGTAAAAAGGATACCAAGCAGATAGGCAGTCTATTGTTCCGTTCCTCCAGCCCGTCCACGACCAACTAGGTTCGCCCTCGCGTCTCCATACAGACTCCTTAGGTAGCCAGAGCAATGCGATGTCAAAGAAGAACTTCGGCATGCCATGAAGTAGACCGTCAGGGAAAGTAGTGTCCATGACCTCAGTAGCGCCTGCGAATGCTGCTGGGGCGTCTTTCTCGTAGGTTAGATTTCGAGAAGAAAAGTTTTCCACAAGCATTCCCCACCGACCGAGAGATGGCATAATAGGGATCAAAGACATCATGCCCATTGGGACGCCGAGATGCGGGCGCTCTGCTGGCCATGTAGTGTCTCGCATCCTCAAAGGCGTGGTATCTTGGGGATCGTGGCTGTCCTTCGCTGATGTGAGCTCGTCAACTCCCTCTCTCCACTCACAGCGCCCACATATCCACGACACAGTATCTTTGAAAATGAGGAGACGGCGTGAGAACAGAGATTCTTGGAATGTCCAGCCCCTAGTCGCCCATTTCGTATCTTCTGGATAAGCATCCCATAGATGAGAATACGAACAGACGCTAGGACCTCGATCCATCGAGGGACCCCCAATACCCCTCAGACCGTAGCTTGCGTCTTCACCACCGGCTGCAACGATGGTGAGTTCGGCACTTGCGTATATACGAGCCATAGCCCGCAAAGTGATGTTGATCGTGTCTAAATCTGCATCTTGAATGACAGACAGACAATCCACCCATAGATACCGCTCACCAAGGGCTTTGACCAGGTGAATAGCATCTCGAACTGTGTCAGGAAGGACTATCCCGCTGCCTTTGTCATAGAGAGCTCCTGGACGCAACAAGACTTCGAAATTTGATCTTGTTGTCTTGAACATCGGCGCGTTACCCCAAACGTACGAAAGGGCAACGTAGTTGATCGGTGCTGAGGTGGATATGATTGCAAGCGAGCCTTTGGTCACATCAACCAGTATGAGTTCATCAATGTGCTGTGCCAAGGCCCTCGCGTAGTCGTCATTGCAACAAGCGCCGTGTGTCTCGCGACAAGCTCTACGCCAGTTCCGGACGTTTTGGAGGTCAATTGTAGGCCTGATTGGCGCAGAAGATCCGTCGTCGCGAAGGAAAAGCATCTTCTAAGACGACAATGGTACTCGTGGGGCAGGAGCCGGGGCAGCGCTAGGTTGGTCGCTTGCGAACGGCGATTGGAAGGCAAATCAGGCTCAAAGGTAGCCGAAGAGCCAAACAAATTCGATAAGCAAGCTAAGCCACGATAAAACAAAACGTTTTCGCGATAGGTAGTGAATGCTACGAGAAGCTACAAGCTGACGAGGGCTAATGCAGAAGCGGGGTTTGTTGGGGATCTGGCGCCGAGCAGCGTTAGATTTCTCACGTGAGAGTACATGTAGATGCCCAGGTGTGTTGTTACTTCGCTGTTACGAGTGGCAACGCTGCAGGCTGAAGGAGAACTGAACACCGATGAAGCTCTCAGAATATTCCATTTGCTCGTTAGTGACACATGCGTACGCGTAAATGATACCAGTCAGCAGTGGACGTAGCTCACTCCGTGTACGGTATGCCCATGTGAACTGCGGTTGCGACGGCTCTAGAAGAACTCAAACCCATTCCACCAGATGTATCCAAGCACAGCAGCCACGCTTGTGGCCGCAAATGGCAGACTCATCTCCACAACGCTCCAGATCCAGAGCGTACCAACTGGAGGAGCTGACTTCATGACGTAGAAGTAGCCGTGTTTGTTGCCAGAGTATATCAGATAGCACCCCGCAACGACAGATCCTCCAAAGAATGTAGCGTCTCTAAGTATGGGAAATCGGTATGCAAAGTCGACGTGGGTGAGGTAGACTGCTAGGATGAATATGGGCCACGCTGCAAAAGCTCGCCACATGATCTCGTTCCAGAGTATATCCTCCCGGTATTGGCTGTATACGAGGACGTCGAGGGTAAGGTGGAGGATTGCCATGGAGATGGAGTAGAGGATGGAGTCTCCGAGGGGGCCGATCGGAGGAACATCGTCAGGCGATGCAGGTGTGGACGTTACTGGCACTTTGACAACTCGCGTTCTACCGTTTATCTTGTCTAGTTCTCGCTGCCTCTCTTCGGCCAAGTCGAAAAGTGTCTTGCCCGTTGGCTTGGAGAAGTCGGGATGCTTCAGAATCATCTCGACGCCATCTTCATCGATCTCGTTGGTGGGCTGGAAGCCGCTTCCCTTGCCATTCGCGCTTGCTTTGGACTCCTTGGCGCGTCGCTCTTTCCTGTTGCCGGTAGACATGGTGATGTGTATCTGGGGAGTGTGGTGGTTTGGGACACGTCGCGTGCGGCTCTAAGGAATCTCGAAGATGACGTGGGTCAAAGCTCGTTCCAGAACCTCGATGGCTTCATGCGAACGCGCTACCTCCCCTGACGCATGTACATAGCAGCAATAGCAAACACCAAATCGAACATACTCCTTATATGCGCTCGCTGACCATGAATTGGACTGTCTGGGCATCGGTGCCTGTCCTCATCTTTGTTTTCTGGATGTACACCAGCACCCTCGGCGCGTCTTTCCCCACATTACAAAACAAACGCATCCTACTGCTGATCGCACATCCTGACGATGAGGCTATGTTCTTTGCGCCGACTTTACTGGCATTGACGCGTCCGGAACGCGGAAATCACGTCAAGATATTGTGCCTGAGTAGCGGTATGGCCCTCACAAGTCCCCAGTGCTCTCAGAGGCATTCACTCATCTCATTCGTGCAACAGGCGATGCCGATGGTCTTGGCGAAATCCGCAAGAAAGAGCTGGTCAAAAGTGGGCTGCAGCTGGGAATCGGAAGCAAGGAGGACATTCTCGTGGTGGAAGACAAGTACGCATCGCCACGCACGTCCGACTGCAACATACTGACTGTGGTCCAGGAACTTCCCCGATTCCATGACAGTAACATGGCACCCTCGTCTAATCTCCAACCTACTCACCACCGCATTCGCCCCAAACATGACTTCAATCTCTTCCAAAGAGGCACCGCAGGCGACAGTCGACACTATAATCACCTTTGACGCACACGGCGTCTCCGGTCATCCTAATCACAAGTCGCTCCATGACGGAGCGCATACATTCTTGAAGGCGCTCATGCACCGACACAGCGGGTGGGAGTGCCCTGTCAAGCTGTACACCCTCACCACTACCTCCATATTCCGTAAATATCTTAGCTTGTTGGACGCACCGGCTACAATTATTGGCGCAATCATCCGCAAGAAAGAGCTCGGAGGCTTTCCGACTCCACTCTTGTTCGTCAGCTCACCGATCGGTTACAGGACTGCCCAGAAAGCCATGACCACGGCACACGAAAGCCAAATGCGCTGGTTTCGTTGGGGCTGGATCTCTCTGTCGCGCTACATGGTTCTCAACGATTTGAAGAAGGAATAGTCGCATTGGTGTCGGGAGGCGCACCGGGAATCTATTGTAGCCATCGAGACCCTCTAGTCTGAACTCTAGTAGGCCTGTGCTGAGGCGATAATGTGCTACGTATACGGTGTGGCTGACAAACGGCAAAGAACATCCCATCGCAATTTTCGGATCCTGAAGTCGTGTAACATACCAAGGGAGGCAACTGGCGGAACACGGCAACAACGCCGCGGACAATGGGCTCCACCATTGGTCATGCCTGAGGAACCTAGGGATGCGCGGGCTTGGAGGTCCGTGTGACTTTGGCATTACACAAGAGGCGCATGTTAAAATTGTGCTCACAGCCTGCTCACTCTTGCAATCATCATGACCTAGGAGTGTATTGCTCGTCTTCCCGACGAAAAGCAGAGACGGCGACCTGCTTTCACCCTTCGCGTTCTGCATACATCGCGCAACAGGCAGCAAAGGGCGCCGGGGAAAAGATCCGCAACCACTTGGAAGGCATCAATCGTAAGCTGGATGCCGATCTTCACATAACACCAACTGACGCGCCGGTCTTAGACAAAGCGACTTCGAAAGCCCGTCTGACGCGCACAGCGTGTGCACACCATGTCTTCTCCGCCCCTCCTTCGCCTGCCCGTTGAGCTTCATCTGGAAATAATCAGTCTTCTCGACCTAAGCAACAAAGCCAACTTGGCTTTCACAAATCGCTATTTCAGATCTATCATATCCGCACCGACGCATGCCGAATTTCTGGCCGCCGAAGGAACTACTTGGGCCAAGACTAAACAACTTTATACTTGCAAAGGCTGCATCCGCTTTCACCACTGGAAAGCCTTTGCCGACGATATGAGAAAAGGCAAATGGTGTCGCAGTGGTACTTCGGCCCACACAAGATTTTGTCTCGAATGCGGGGTAAGCGATGCGCTGTACGCCCCAGGAACACTACTCACAATCTGCAATCGAGTTCACGTGCTCTGCGGTCTCTGCAGAGTCCTTACAGATCAAGTTGGCGACCGTCGTGGCAGGTGCGCTGGTTGTTCCCCAGGCCCGTCACGCAACTACAACTGTGACTACTTCAACCACGACAGTGACGATGGCTGGAGGCAAGAACGCGCATCTGATCGAAACCACCTACGAGAGATGTACGACTGGCCTGAAGAGGGACGCCTCTCTAGGTACTAAGACTAAGAGTGTTACCAACAACCGTAGATTGGCAGTGTGTCGTTGGTCGCAGCTGGAAGCAATGGTACCCTCGCATACAAAGCTAGAGCATTCCACGGCCACGATCTCATCAGATATGAGACTACGACATCTTGTATAGACTACGGTTGCTGTTATTCCGGCATTGTCCTCCTCTTCGCGTTTGCCACTGTGTTCACCAATAGACCGTTCGCAGATGTTCCTCACTCCACCACGTCATGGCTGCTGTCAATATTAACAAATGCTCTACCATTCATAAGGTGCCCAACATGCAGTCCAGATTGAGACTTTCACAGTTCACCGATCTCTGACGTTCGAGCCTTTTGGGAGTAACGAAAGCTCTCAAATCACACCCTCGCTTGCTCTTAACCTGCGCTTCGATATCCAGATCTCTCATAAGCGTAGCCTTAATTTACTGAAAATGCCAAAGCCAGGGAAGTCCACTCCTACGACTGCCTCGCCGACAGGCCTAGACTCTGCACTTGAGCGACCAAGGACCCTCAAGCGACGCATCTCTTCGACCTTCAATACGTTCTTGGGAGCTCTGCCCATACGAAGATCAAGCTCACATGTCAGTTCGACTCTATGGTCAAGTACGGCACTCGGAGAAGAGGTGATAATACGACGAGGCGTTGCTGGTGCTGATCAGCAGGCTACTCAACCCCCTCCAGTCATTCGACTGCAAGTACCATCGCTGTCTGAATCCAGTCAGCCTTGTCCATATGATCCGAGTGAATACCATTCCTTCCCCAGTGTGGAACGTGGGCGCTGCGATTTCTGCGGCATGCGACCACCGAAGTCGCCCTCTAGCGAACCATGCAATGAATGCCGGTCCCAAAGCGCACTTTCCCACATGAAAGCTGCCTTCAGACGGAAGCCGGGCCTCAGGGTTAAGGAGGCAACAGAATACCGAAGCCCTTCTTATACACAGCACAGTCCCTCATCCGAAGAATGTCCGCGTATCGTCCCTCCCGAAATCGCAGCGAAAAGGATAGGCAACCCACCACGGAGAGCAGCACTTCCTGTGCCGCGACCTGGTGCTATCAACCCAGCGCTACAGCAGAGAAGTACTACCAGGAGTGTAGATAGTCCCTGGCGATCAAAAAGCGCTCTTGAGCGTAACGAAGTGAGGCCAATCAGTCCCAAACTACATTATCATCGTTACTTACGCAACTCAAAGGACTACCCTTACGTTCGCGAAAGTGAAGTATCGCAGCACTTGGATGCCATACGTGCTGGAGCCCCAAGTCCGCTGGTCGATTTTGCCCGCGCTGCCCGTCGCAAGAAAACTTTGGATCCGATTACAGACTTTTCCGAGACGGTCTTCTATGGCCAGAAATTTTCTGCGGCATTCACTAACAGTGCAGAGCAACGCCAGTTGTCGCAACCCAGTTGTAGCAACCTAGTCGTCGAGGGCTATCTAGAAACTGGTGGACATGTCGTTGTTGAACGACCGCGCCCTGAGCAGCAGGCTAGTATCGATGCACAATTGTACCATAGTAGTGTCCATCCAAGACTCTCCCCACAGCAATCACATCGACAATCGCGGGCTTCAAGGCGGTCAGCTGATAGTCGCCATCGCACGAGACGTAGAGGTTCTGAAGAAGAGTTAAAAACAAACGACCAACTACCAGACTTCGAAGAGGGGTCCGCTTATGATGAAATGCCTAGATTGCGAGGTGGCGGTGGAGGAGACGGAAACGTTCATACTAGTGGCTGTGGTCTAATGATGAAGCAACTGCTACTTACCTGTCACAGACCTGGTCATGGCTACGACACCGACTCAGGTAGCGACGAAAATCTGCCACCGGCGAGAACCCATAATATCGCCGAAGTTGCGCAGGCTTTGAGGAGGGCACATGGTACATCTCGCCTTCCAAGAGGTATCTCTAGGGGTTATGGAAGCCAAGAGACACCACGAACGGGCAGATCCGCATCTGGCGGCGGAGATGCTACCAATTTACCAACCTCGCGTACAGCAAGTTTTGCGGCTAGATACCCGCAGCCACGCTCGGTCTTCTCTTATATGTCACTGTTCCGTCTTGCCTCGGTCTTTGCTCGTCCCGCAAATCCTTCTGTCGATGCTCCCGCCGTCGCTGCGAATGATGCAACACTAACAGCCACACTCCGTCCGGCTGTCAGCCTTAGAGGGGGCGCCGGTTCGCCCTCTGCTCTACGAGACCATGAGCGTGTTCCGCCTACGCTCTTCTGGCTCGCAGGTGGGAAGGGTAAACCGATCACAACTGCTAGCTGGAAGAGTCAGAAGCCCAAAAGGAGAATGGGCGGGGTGTTCGGAATGGCTCTCCACGGGCTAGACGCAGGCACCGAGTATGGATCAAGGAAATATAAAGGGGATGACGGTAGCAGTTCTGAGCTTCCGCGACATGTTGCAGTCGCAGTTGAAGTAAGCAAGCCTGCCACGAAAGAGAAGGCAGAGAGCGTGAAGTCAGGCATGACATACTCTTCTAGATTATCCTCTTCATCAAGGAGTAGTACCAAGAGCAACAGTAGTCGTTCCTCGAACTCGCACGGATCTGCTGCCGCCGTTGGCGAGGTACGAAGAGAGGTCCCCTTAGACCCGGTACCTGAAGAAGCGGCTGCACCAGCGATAGATCCTCCCCCAGCTGACCCTGCAGCCGCAGAGGGTACACCAGTACAGGTCTCGGGGGAAGAAGCTCCTCCCGCCGATGATGCGCAACGAGGGCTTGTGGATGATGGTGCTCATGGTGCTGCACCCGCTCCGAATGAAGTTGAGCACGAGCACGTGGGGCAGGCGGCAGTAGAAGGAGATGGCAGGGCTCATAGGTGAACTCAAGGAGTGCTAAAGATATAAGGAACTGGGGTGATGGGTACCGTGTCGTGGTGTTGCCGTGCTAATATCGGGCGTTTCTTCATGTTTGCAGTACTGCTTCCGACTGCACTTATGCTTTTCAATGCTACCCAAAACACCCGCGCCTAATCTTCAAAGCACCATATCGTACAATGTTGCATCCCCGCCATCTAACTCATCAGCCCATGAACCTGCTCTCCGCTCAAAGTTGCCTTAGCGGCCGGTCTCTTCCCTGCAGCTTTCTTAGACGTAGGCGCACTCGTCCTCCTCCCACCTGCCGAAGGCCTACTAGTACCGGCACTTCCACCACCCCTCTGCGCCTCAACAGCAGCTTCATGTTCAATTTTGCTGACTGCCCTCGTAATCGCCATACTATATCCACCAATCCATTCACTCCAGCTCTGCTTTCCATCGCTGTTATCCACAGCAACCTCCATAGTCGAACTCATGCTTCTCTTCGGTTTTGGTGTCGTCCCAGAGGAAGATTTCGAAGCAGGAACTTTGGTAGTTCTGCTGCTAGACTGCTGTTGCGGTGAAGAGGCGTTGTTCTCAGAAGCCCGCACAGCAGCGGCGGCGCGTCGTTGCTCGAGGAAAGATCGCGCTACATTTTGGGCCGCGGAGACGCCTGACTTGATTGTCTTGACGTCTTCGAGGTTGACATTGGCGGGGATGGGGATGCGGTAGCTTCCTGATAGGGTGACTTGTCTCTCTGTACCTGCACTTGCTCCTGATGCACCCCTGTCGATCTCCTCGACATATTCTGTTCCTCGACTTGTGGCGCCTTTGCTGCGAGGAGTGAAGTGTTCCAAGTCCTGTCGTGCCACTTCCAATTCGCCCTCAAGCCGCACAAGCTCCTCATCTGCTTCCTCTTCGTCGTCTTCAAGTTCCTGAACCCTGGAATTGCTGTTGTCGTTGGTCACGGTGCTAAGCGTGGGAACCTGCGCTGCAGATGATGCTTTTCGACCCTTTCCTCGTCGGCGAGGTGAGCGGCCAGGCCGTGAGTCGGGGATCGCACCGGCTTTGTAGAGCTCTTCTACTTTGGCTTCCAAGCCTCTGACACGAGACTTCAGCGCTTCGAGCTCGGAGGGCGATGGTACATCTGCTGGTGTTTTACTTGTGACCGTAGACTTTGTTGCGTCTGTAGATGTTGATGTGGGCTCCTTGTTCAGCTTTCTGGGTTTCTTTTTCGGTGTCTTCGCTGCCGCGGCGGTACCGTCATCTGTGCTTGGTATTCCTGCAGCCTTCTTTGCTGACGATGCTGAAGCCTTTGTGGCGGGCTCTTTTGGCAAGACGACTCCGCCCGCGGACCCTGCTCTTCCCTGTTCAGTCTGGCTCGGAGTAGCGGCCTTCCTGGATCGTGCCTGCTTGGCTGGCGTTGCAGGTGTCGCATTGGGTCCTGGTGATGATGGCATCGAAGCCATTGTGTGAAGATGTCCCCTCTATTTGAGCCCAGGGATGATATGTGCCAAACCCCTAGCAACGCGCGTCGTGTCTATGGTACGCTTCCGCTTGGTTCCTATGCTAATGAGATTGGGCAACATCCATAGACGTGTCGAAGTTCTAGATCAACTAATTGGAATGAAACACTATATGCATCGCAAGACACGAAAAGGAAAGTGATAGCGTAGGCGATCGCCGCCAAAGCAAGATATCGAAGTTGGACACAGGCCGAGCACATCTGACGTATTGTGGCGCACGTACCGGGATCCTGCGTCGTGAACCCTGTTCGCGGCACGTCAACGGCGATCAACTAGACGTTAGCATCGCTGCACCACATGCAAGGGAAAGGACCAGACATTTTTAGCGGATTCTTCCTCCTAGCCTGCTACAACACACGCAATTGAAGCAATATGCCACTGCGTTTACAGCCCAGGGGACTACATTACCCTGGAGTCCATCAGGTCTTCGGTTTCGTGTGTTGTTGTAGACTGCGGCATTATGTAGCAGAAGATCTACTGACGAAGACCAAGAACTCGCAGCCGTCAGGCAAGTCTCCAAACGGCCACTTTATACCGTCTTTTTTAGTAATATTCAGCGCAGCCTCGGGCTCAGCATGATCAACCCAGAATCCAGTATCAGCGCAGCAAATAGCACCTGTCTGATCGCTCTGATCAAATAAGGAACCCATAGGTTTAGACATCTTGACGTAAGAAACTGGGGATGACTCCATAATGGCCGGTGCAAGCTCTTTCATCATGCTTAAATCCGCGTCCTTAATCCCGCTTCCAAAGGCTCGAAGAACGGCACGGACAGCAGCAGGATGAGACGAGAGGATTCCGAAACTGCGGTCGTGCTCATTCTTACGCAGATTCAATAAGATCTTCAAAGTTTAGCAAATGCTTGTCAAGGTCAAAAAGCTGTGTGAAGACCAACCTTCGTTGCCAACCCATTGCGCCTGAAATCCCGACCGACACATAATTGAGTAATCCAGCCAGTTTTGCGACACTTATAGGCCCAGAAAGTTGCAAAGGCGTGTCCAGCAAGCTTGCCATCGACCGTAGCGCGAACCAGAACGCTGTCAGTTCCAGGAGCAAGAGATTGCTCACGAAAACGGTTTTTGGACATCTTCACGGGGCGTCCTACAAAAACATTAGCTGCCTATCCATTAGGATAGGAAGAGAAGTGTGCATACCCGGCTTGCAGAATTTGCCAAATGTGCCCATTTTCTTTTCGGCGTGAGGACTCCAGATTCCATAATCAGAGGAAAAGAGCTCAGCGGCTTGAGCGATCATCTCTTCTGTGACATCATGGTCTTGAACCTTCTCAATGACAATGCTGCTAGTCATGGTGTGGATGATATTTTGTTCTGTATTTTGAGAATTGTAGTTGTAAAAGAGAAGGATTGCGACCAAAGAACAGATTTCATAGTCTCAAGTCCTACCATGGTCCGCATGCTTGGACTTTTGACAACGACCCACTCCTGTCAGACCCTCATACGAACTCCACATACACATCAAAGTAATGAACCGCGTTATCGCAAACGTGCGTCAAACATTGGAGTGTAGATACTTTCGAAATTCTTGTTGCAGCTAAATACATGCCAGTGCATATCATCCCTCTAGTTTCCTAATACAGATCCATCAAAGAGAGCTTGGCTAGGCCCCAACAATAGACACACTGATGGCGAGAGGAGATGATCGAGAATATGGCATATCCTATATTTACCGGATCCGGAAGGTCTAGGAGGAAGACCAATACTTTTGAGAGATGAGCAGCGCCAAGGAACGGCATCGTAAGGGGGCATGCAGAAAGAAGCTCGTAAAACGTCCCAAGTCCAGCCACGGACACCTTGCAAATCGCGCTCGGATGAACAGGGCTGTCGAAAGGACGATGATTGTGCGGTGATGCAACAATATGGGAAAACCGCCAAACAAAAACAGCTGTCATAAACAGCAGAAGCCCAGAAACACAAAGGACGCCACCACGCCGTCGAATATGCGTTGCGTTCATCCCAGATACAGCATCGGGGCTAGTCTCAAAATTGATACGTCCACCTAAGACGCGATGGCGCGGGCTGGGGCACCTCCGCCTCCTCGGCGGTTGTTCTTAACGTTCTTGGTGGCCTTGGTGACAGTGCTCCAGCCATCGTCGTCCATGGCCTCGGTAGTAGTGCCTTCAGGTGCCGCAGCAGTGCTAGACTTCCGCCTCCATGAGCCTTGTTCAGCTTTCGGTGGGTCGCGAGTGACTTCTTGCGGCTTAACGTCCTTGTCGTGTACAATCTCTCCCTCGGCATCCTCGTCTTGGCCAGCAGAGTTACCCTCGTCCACCCGTTGAAGGATCTCGAAGTTGGACTTGGGCTTCTCCTCGCTACCATTCTCCTCCTTCTTTGTCGGCGTTGGCTGTGCTGAGTCCTTGGGCGCAGGCTTCTCCGCGGCTTCCTTGGCCTTCCTCTCCTCGCGCGCCTTGTCGTCGGCTTCCTTCTTCTGGCGTAGAGCAAGTTGCCTCTTCTCCTCGATCTCTTTCTCACGAGCAGCAGTGTCGATGGGGCGGGCAGCACCGAATGGGTTGGGCTTGTCAGAAGGAGTGGACGCGTCTTGCGCTGGTTGAGCCTCGGAGACTGTTCGCTTGGCCAGGTTCAAGCGAGGGCGGCCAGCGGGTGCAGCGGCCTGCGGTGCCGGTGACGATGGTGTGCTAGCGTCGGGTGTGGATGTAGGTGACTTGATAGGCGCATCGGGGCGCATCTTGGATCGCCACTGGTTGTCATTGTCTGCGGCAGTAGGCTGCCTCTCAAATTGCGGTCGCTCCTGGAACTCGCGACGCGGCCCACGGGAGCCTTCAGTACCCTGACCCTCGCCCCAGGCTGGGGACTGCCTGCGGCCCTCGCGGGGACCTCCTTCGAAGCCGCCTCGCGTGCGGCCGCCTTCGCTGGGAGGAGGTGCAGCGGCTGGCGAAAGGGGTCCTCGGCGCTCCCAGTTGCCAAAGTCGCGAGACTTTCCGTCACTCTCGAATGGGGGTGGGCGGCGACGCTCACCACGTTCGCTGCCGGCGTCAGATCCTGCGTCGAAAGCGCGGTCACGGCCCGAGCCGAAGCCGCCGCCGCGTCCGGAGCTGCTGCGCTGGCCAGGTAGATCAGGGAGGGGTCCCTTTCGGGTCCAGTCTGTGATGACGCGGGCTTCTTCGCGGTCCTTGGCTGTGACTTGTCAGTATTTGTTTGGGTGCATCCTGTAGGCACATGACGTACGTGGTTCTGCGACGCTGACACGGATATTCCTGCCCTGGAAAGATGTGCCAGACAGGTCAAGAGCCTTCTTCAGTCCATCAACACTGCCAAATTCGACGTAGCCGAAACCCTTGGGCTTTCGGTCCAGTTTGTCCTCGACGATGCGCACGTTGGTCACTTCGCAGTCTGCGAAGAAGTCGGTTACGTCGCCTTCGGTAGCATCGAAGGAGAGGTTGCCCAGATGGGCGGTGTACGGGGGCTTAGAGGGCATGGGAAGCGCCTCGCGAGTTGCGAATCCACGGTCGGCTGGGAAATTGTTAGCATACGCAAATGCGTGTAAAGAGGCTCTACTCACCAAAGCTGCCAGCGCGGTCAGCACCGAAGCCGCCGCCGCCAGAGCCAAAGGTAGGCCTGTCGCCGCCATAGCCAGAGCTTCTACCGGCACCTAAAAATGTGTAAGTCTACCGTCATTTGCATGTTCGCGCTGCGACAGTTGGTGGGGTGAATTACCGGCTCCTGCAAACGTTAGTATACCAGGCCACTCCCTAAGCAGAACGTGTGTAACTCACCAGGCATTGGCGCGTCCTCCATTTCGTCGGCCCATGATCCTAGCGCTGCTACATGTCAGTCTTCCGCGCGCTCGAGGGCAAGTAGGCGGGGCGTACATTGGTCTCCTAGGAAGTCTCCCAGGGACATCTTCTGCTGTTCCTTCTTCTTGGGCGCTGCAACACATCGTTAGCCATGACTTCTTGTCTTGGGCGCGGTACAGAGCGGGGCAAAAAAGCCGGCTCGAGTGACGCCTGCAATTTACGTGCGCACCACGACCACGTACCCATGATTGCGGTTTGGCAGACTGTGCGCGAGTAGGTTCCGCGCGCTGTCTGATTCGGGTTTGGAGAGCGGTCTCTTGCTCTCGGGTTGGGTTGCAGGTGGTTGCGGGGTCTGTCGTTGAATCGTGTGTGGGGTGAGTTCTTGAGACTTTCCCGAACGGAAATCTTAAGCTCAGGCTGTGCGTTCGTTGGGCCTCGCTTAGTCATCGCCTTTGCTTTTCCAACGGCGTCACCAACGCCGAGCCCTAGATTGTCATTACCCGAATCTGGTCCACCACTTTCGCGCCTCGAATCGCACCCATGAAAGAGCGATGAAAGCCAAACATGACCCAGACCAGGTCACGCAGCCCCTCGAGGTTGCCCGGCAAGCACTCTATATTGGTGGAGCCTCAGGTACGCACATGATCTTTTCACTGCTCCACGTAGTCTCGCTTCATTGTAGTCGTGCGCTTCCATCTCACTTCTGCATGATTGTCTTCTTGTCAGCTTTTTCTCACCTCATAAATTTTGCCTAACCTGGTCCAGCCATTCCTGGTACTGTGATTGGTGCCTTCTACGGTACGATCCGCACGCAAACTCCGGTTCTGTTCTCCATCGTTTCAGGAGCGCAATGGTTCGCCATTGGCAGCACGTTCTGGGGCATCCGCACGTCAGTCCTCAACCACGCTGGCTTACTCAACTGGTGGAACCTTACTCGCGAGGCACCCATCTATCCTCGCACTGACCTTAACCCAACCACGTCTGACAAAGTTCGCGCGTCAGCCCTTGCTGGTGGACTGACTGGATTCAATCTCGGCCTCCTCTTTCGCGGCCCTCGGAACGTCATCCCTGGTACCATCATGTTCACTCTGTTCGGCTGGGCAGGACAACATGGGTACAATTACCTCGATGCCAAGAACTCCAGCGAAATCCAGGAACGAGCGAGAGGCGAAAACAAGCCCAAGGAGAACTTTATGCACAAGATTGCAAAGAGCAAGTGGAGTCCTATGCAGGTCTTGACCGACGACGACTACGAGAACATGATGCAGGAAAAGCTTCTTCGGGTCGAAGCCCAGATCGCGGTAATTGACGACAAGATTGATGTATTGAAGAAGCAAGCATTTGAGTTGGAGACGCAGCGAAAGATGAAGGAAATACAAGAGCAGGGACAAGCCACCAAGTGAGAGGATGACCTTTTAGCCATGCATGTCGTAGACTTGAGACTTAGAATGCGTTATGTAAGATATGTTTCATTTCTCTTTCTTGGTGAACTCCTAGTATCTTTCTTTCCTATTGCGCAACAGGTGGTTTTGCTCTATGTTATCATCATTTCACCGAATACTTGTCTCACTCATCGTTCCGCTTCTTCTCCTAACCCTCATCATCATATATACATGTGCGCTTGACTATCTAGTTCCGCTCCACTATTATGCAAAATTCACGTCTTTAAGTTGTGGTTCGAGTATGGAAGTACATCACAGCTCGAAGACGCGTTACACGCGAGTCTATACACATCAACAGCCTCATATCTGACGTTTGGTACCTCCGCAGTAGCTACGCATCACCATTACTTCGTGAATACTCGGCGTAGCCTCCGCGCTCTGCTTGAGGCTTCTCAGTAGTGATAGATCTTCGCTCTGGAAAATAGCCATCAAGCACTGCGGACGCCTCCCCCGAGCTCGTCATCATTCTCACTACCATCACTCTCGCTTCCCGCCGGCGCCCTGACCTTCCGCCATCGCACACTCACCCGAAATGCAAACGCACACGCCCGCGCCCACACAGTGCTCTCACCAGGCACCCTCTCACTCGCCTCCAAACCTGCATTCACCTCGCCTCAAGTCCCACCCCACACTCCACACTTTCTCCCCCAATATATAGCAATTAAATCCCCAATCTTCCATCAACAAGCCGCTTTAGCTGAGATTCGAGAGGAACGACCAAAGATAGGAGCCCGCAATCACAACATTAACGGCTTCAGAATGGTTAATCATTCCACACCCAACTCACCTAAGGCGCCTTGTTCGATTCCCCAGTCTGCCTTTGGGAACATCTGGACCCTTGAAGGATACAACAGACAACAATGTCCAGAAACGAAAAACCAGTAATGGTTAGACGTCGTCTTCTACCTTCGGGTAGAAGATGCTTTTTGTCCTTTTTTTGCTTTTTGCTCTTGATACATTCTTTCTTTCCACCTACAACTGAGAGATACATCTTAGAGCTACTATAGATGTACTGTTCTTTCTTTTCGCGCTGCGTATAGATCTTACTTGCAGGCAGTCTGTTAGGTTTTATCTGCATAGCTTTGCATCGCGCAAAGACTGCTAGAAATATAAGAAAGTGTAAGAAAGTGTAGTAAAGCTGAATAAGAGGATCTTTGATGCAGACATAGCGCTTTACAGCGCACATAGATACAAGAGCAGCAAAGCTCTGCTTCAAGACTTATGTTTTACGCCTTGTCCATACGGCTAACCCTTTATACTCTACTGCTTGACATCAATCGGCTTGCCGCCCTGCTCTCCACTCTTCAAACAACTCTCCAATATCTCCAGATCCTTCAACGCCTCCTCAGGGCTCTGCATCTCGTTCCTCTTTCCTTGCTCTAGACTCTTTGCCCAAGCCTTGATCTCCTGGTTCACGCCGTTGCCCTCATCCGGGAACTCCTTCGTCTCTGGATCTTTACCATCCTTGGTGATGGTGACCTTGCCGCGAGCGACGTGTACTGAGCCCTTCTCGCACGCAACAAGGTATTCAGAACCGGTGTCAGTGGTGCCAAAGGAGATGGACAGAGTACCAGAGGAGTTGTTGTCCAGTTGCATAGTAGCATTGAGTGTGTCGATAGGTGGAAGGTGTTCCTGAAGCTGCGCCGTGAATGCGCTAACCTTCTTGATCTTTTGGCCGCCACCTTGTAGCAGCAGACGTGTCGCCGCTACAAAGTGTACGCCACCGTCAAGCACGAAACCGCCCTGGTGATCCGGCTTTTTGCGCCATTCTGTCTCGTAGTACTTGCTGCCTGCTGACACCATAGCAGCAACACGTACACGGAATGTAAGAATGCGGCCCAGGGAAGCAACCTGCTCGGCACCCCAGACATAGGAGTCGATGAAGCGGAAGTTTTCCGCTACAGTGTAGATTGCAGAGGTGTTGGAGGAGTCTTGTGTCCATGAAAGCAGTTCGTGTGCGGTCGCTAGGTCCTTCGCGATAGGCTTCTCAGCAAAGACGTGTTTGCCAGCTGCGAGAGCTTTCTTGATGTAGTCTGGCTGGGCGAGGATTGGTAGTCTGAGTTGTGCTATGTTAGCGAATCATGTTCTGAACTCTGGCAATCAGTATACGTACGCGACGACTACGCCCTTTACATCGTCCCTCTTGAGTAGGTCTTCGAACTTCTTGCCATCCTGGTCGTCGCTGTAGAGTTCAACGTCAGAAAGCTTCTCCGATAGCGCTTTTGCCGATTTGAGTGATCGTGAGTAAACTGCTTTTAGGCTCAATGACGGGGTATCTTGAATGGCGGGCAAGTGTTCTTCTTTGGCGAAGATGCCGCTTCCGATGATAGCTACGCCGATAGACATCTTGATGGAGATTTCACAAGTTGATAGCACAGGAGTTCCTGGAAGATCTTGAACAGCTCACTCTCCTCGAGATATGTAGTCCCAGTAACGGCTGTACTGCGGCTAAATGGCAATTGTAGTGGAGGTAGTAGTCCTTTCTTCCAATAGCATCTACGCCATGACCTGTCGCGGGGTACATGTCGCTGCCCCACGATGGCGATGACGTCGGGCACCATACTGCAAATGGTCAAGCGCGATCAGCTCCACCGGTTGCCGACTCCGTCACAGTTGGCCTTTCATCAACATCGATATTTCACAACGCCCATCGCGCATCTGTTAAGCTTCCTGTCCTGCATGATCGACGCGACTTTCATGCATACCATGTCGCGCATTGGACACGCGATCATCACGCGTGTTGTCTTCGGCAGTTGAAGCGAAACGTTCAGAGCGCTCTACATTCACGCATGAACGCGTACGCTATGCTGATAACAGTCACAGAGGGCACCCTGGATTACTGAGAGTCGTCGCAATGCTTACAGAAGATTTGCGCATTCGCACCCAACGCGCAACACGCCAACAATTGTATCATCTGTTCCAGGGTCCGGCACCACATACGCGCATCGGATCGACTTGTCTGCCCCCACCTTCCGATGACATAAAACGGCCTCAACAAGACAGTACGATGGCGAACTATGTGATTGTATCACCGCGTGGATATGCTTGTGGTGGTGTCTTGGTAGATGTCAATGTCTTCAAAGCAACTGGATATGGCTGGGACGCGTCCACAACCAACTACCAACGATTGCCTCGATAGGTATGCTGCCAGTCAGGCATGATTTCCATGTGTATTAGTACACTAAGGTTTTCTATGACTGCGGATTTTGCCTTCGGTTGGGCGTATATATCTCTGGGAAGTTCCGACATACTGAAACACGTCGCGTTGGACGTCGCGTTCGGCTAGCCCAGGTCAGGCTTCGGCAGTCAAGCCCATGCAACGCGTCGATCGACGAGCATGGTTGGTATATCGCTTTGCCTCAAACGCTTCAGCGTAGTTTCGTTAGTATCAGGCTACCCTTGATGCCTCGAGCCCTATCGCAATGCGGTCATAAGAGAGGTTGGCCCAAGGCACTCATCGTTCAGAGCTGGCCTCGCTGTCCTACTGCTGCTGCTTCATTCGATATACATTTTAATCACTCTTTCTCAACGCAGCGCGTTCCAAAAGACTGCCGGCAGTCAATCGCATTCCGTCCATTCTCGTTACCATTCTTTCTCTTTCACGTTAGCAGACCTGGGTACCACTAAGATGGGTTTCGGCATTCTAGAAGACCGCCATATGGCAGCCCCTCCTGGAACATCTACCATCAACGACTCTGAACCTGCCCGTAGGATACATCCGTTGAAACAGTAACACGTTGTCACTAATACCTGCTCAGTAGACTCAAAGGTTGACTTTAGTGACGTCAAGCGCGATGGCGATGTTATATTGCAGCCACAGCCTTCGGACAGTCCCAACGATCCGCTCAACTGGTGAGAGATAATGAAATTTCCGTCATGATATACCGTCTCACGCGTGGCAGGTCACCGAAAAGGAAGGAATGCATCATGATTCTGCTCGCTTTCAGTTCCGGTGTGACAACAGCGTAAGCATCGAAGACACTACATTGTTTCCACAAGCTGAGTCTCTGCCAGCCTTGGACCCATGGTGACACCCGCACTTCCACTCATCGCCATGAAGTACAATGTCAGCATCGATATGGTCTCCAGTCTGGTCATTGGTTTTCTGGCCTTCTGGATCGGCTTCACCACGTTCTTTACCGCTGCTGGAGCGAACATCTGGGGCAAGCGACCCTTCTTCATCATTTCCACCGTGATACTTCTTGCAACGAACGTCTGGGGATTTTTCACCAAGGTGCGTATCGAAAGATGAGCTACACCGTTCTTCGTTGACGCAAAACAGTCCTTCATCTCTCTCGCTGTCATGCGAGTCATACAGGGTATTGCATCAGCACCTCTCGAGACACTTGTCACCTCCACAGTATCCGACATGTACTTTGTCCATCAAAGAGGTACTAGGATAGCAGTCTGGGGCTGCATGTTGGCCTCTGGTGTGCTTCTCGGGTAAGTTTCTCTCCACCCCGTCCATCGCATCCGCGTACTGACCCAGTCTTAGCCAAACAATCGCTGGTGCTATCATCCAGAACATCTCCTTTGAAGCTACTTTCGGTATCTCCGCCTTGATCTTCATCCCGATCCTCTTCGGCATGTACTTTTTCGTTGTCGAAACCACTTACTATGGCCCCCGACCTACTACAGACAAGGTTGCCGTCGACGAGAAACACAAGTCCATTTCCTCCGTTTTCGAGCTCGAAGATGAGAGAGAGCCGTATCGCAGCCAGCTAGCTCTCTTCCGTGGCCGCTTGTCACAAGAGTCATTTTGGAAAAACGCTTGGAAGCCTGTGCCACTCATAGCGTTCCCGGCAGTGCTGTTCAGCACTATTGTGTATGGGTCTTACTTTGTGAGTCAAGTCCATCAGCTTTCCGCGAGACATACACTAACTTTCCTCTTTCTTTCTAGACTTGGCTGCTCACCATTTCAGTCCTCTCCGTCAACATCTTCTCCGCGCCACCGTACTCGCTGAACCCGGCACAAGTCGGTCTTACCAACTTACCTCTCCTCGTTGTCGCACTTATTGGCTCGCCCCTCTCCGGCTGGACAGCCGATGCTCTCGCGAAGTTCATGGCCCGCCGCAACAAGGGTGTCTTCGAACCTGAATTCCGCCTGACTCTTATGGTACCTGCCGTCATCTTCGCCACAATCGGTTTCCTCGGCTTTGGTATGAGCACTTCAGCTGGCTACCCCATTGTTTGGCCATTGGTGTTCATGTCCATCCATTCACTTTCTGTACCGTTCGCCTCCACAGCCAGTCTGACTTATGTCATTGACTGCCACCCCAAAGATGCGAACCAGGCTTTCGTCACCATCAACTTCACGAAGGCAGTTTTCACGTTCATCGCGACAACGTACGCGAACGGTATCATGGCCAACATTGGGCCGCGTGCGGTATTTGACGGGATCACGGTCATCAACCTGGGAATTTGTGCGCTTACCATTCCGGCGTATGTGTTCGGGAAGAGGTTCAGGAGTTTGGTAAGTCACTCAGGGCTGTGGCATCTATTGAACTTGTACTAACGTTAGCGATAGGTTGCGCGGAGCTCGTTTGGGAAGAAGGTCTCAGGCTGAGGGCTTGGAGCCGTGTGTCCTCTACTGCGATGACAAAACATGGGCCGTAAGGGATAGTGATGACGGGTGTAGTTTCATGAATGCACACAGTCGTTATGTATCTGACTTATCAAAAATGCATCGTGTTCAAGACGAGACAGTCTAGGCTTTGTACTACTTGCGCAAACTGGTCCGTGTTGGGCTGCTTACAACAGAACCTTGGAAGCTGCGAATCGCAGGAGTAGATCCCATGACTTTGAATGCGTACTGCACTGCCTGATCTGCACAAGTGGACATACTGACCTCGTGCTGAGGGAAGATGAAATACAGTAAGTAAACTTTTGGATTTGAAGAGAATTCTTTGGTATCGTGAATCTAAATATAATGTAACCACACCCAAACGCCGTTGGCAACTTCTGTAGTGCACTATGCCAAACATCCCACGATTTCTTCGTGAGTTAGCAGATGCGTCCCGCGCTTCGGTTATGGTGCTGCACAATGATTCTGGTTTTGCGACATGCTCAAGCAAGTTCGCTGGCGCTGCGTCGTCTCTACTGACGGCGTAGCGTGGTGATGCAGGTCTTCGCGTCTCGGCATCTATGTCGCATCGAAGTCCGTTCGCTAGACCCGTACAAGTGACCTGACGTTCCTGGGACTGGTATACCGGCGTAGTGTTCGCTTGATAAAAGTGAATAGTAAATCGGTGCATCATCAATTCGTCACTCGTCTCGCGCCGCCATCCATCTCTCTAGCCCCTGGTCTTTGCGATAGCATCTGTGCCATAGACTGCGACGCATTCGAAGCTGACGAAGTTGCGTATCTGGGGCTCAGCGGTGATGTCAGACTGGCTCGTCGTGATGTTGAGATGGTAATGGGTGATGGCGATGATGAGGTAGCGTTCTTGAGGAAGACGCGCGCAGGTGGGAATTGGCTGACTGGCGGCATTGTGGTTGTGTATGTGAGCTGTCTTGTTGGTCTGGTGTGGTATGCTCGAAGATGAAACGTGGTGGTCGTTCGGTGATAATAAGAGCAGGGCTTGTTGTTTGATGTCGTCGATACAATGGTATGATGTGTAGTAATCGGATGTTGGATGTCTCCTCTCAGCTGATGGAATGTCTGTTATAAGCAAAAGCGTAGCAAGAGCAGCAGCCACTCATCTTATATCCATCAACGAACCCAATTTGACTCACCCAACTTTAGACCCACACTAACCCTCTACCCTCGGAGTCACAAGCAACTCGCCCATCCACGCAACCCTCTAGCGCGCGTGCCCCCAAACCCGCCCGCGCCGTGACATGTGAAGCCCTTCCCGTTTCGAGCCATGATCACCCCACGGCATCGTGAGCATCACGTCTTGCACATGCGGATCCGGATCCAATCGGCGGATAATTGTCGTTCAAAAGGAGACGAATACGATCAACGCAGGCTAAACGACATGCACGCGATCGTGGGTTGCGTCCAGCTCATCTAGCTCCCGTTACCCCGGGTGGGTTTTCCGTGTGCGACTAGAGTGCTTTGAGCAATTTGTCTTTTCCTCCAGTTTGCGCGAGCCGACCCTCCACCCCCAAACGCCCGGAAAAGCAAAAAAGGGCCGAGAGGCGCATCGCATTGCGCATATACTTGCAGCTTACACACCTACACAATTCGAGAAGCAGCCAAGGTGCCGAGGCGTGTGATGGCAGTTGGTGCGTGTTTGAACTTTGTATGGTGCTCGTGTGTGTGCTTGTTTGGAGATGGGAGGCTGCGACACGTCATGCACGGAGCTTAAAGTGCGGGGTGGGCCTCCGCCGTTGTCCTGTAGAACGCTGGCTAGGGCGAGCAACGGCGTCTGGTTTGATGGCCACAGGGCTTCTAGCATGCTTCCACCGAATGTTTGGACAGCTTTTAGCCTGAGATGAAGGATACGACGCGAGGTATATCACCGACGTCGGAGGATCTCCCGTGTGTTTGGATACGAGAGAAGTTGTTTTGAGCGGAGTAAGTTTAGATGGCATGTACGACACTGGCGTGGAGATCGCGATGCGGGGCAGATGATGGATCACAGGTAACCTCAGCGAACGGTGTATTACATGCTCTGCTCTACAACATTTCTTTTGCGGCTTGCACTAGCGCGAAGAGATATGCGTAGTACATGTATACTGCGCGTGTAATTGCAAAGCACTGCATGTGAGAAGCCTGACTCCGCGGGTACTGAGGAATCAGCCTGACATGTGAGCCCAGTCTCGTCATTGTTGCGGTGTAACGGTGTACTAAGGCTGCATCCACGACAGCACGTTCAGGCAGATGTCTGGCAAGTCGTAGTCAGAGAAATGACATTTCTTTTCCTATCGTACAAGGTCGGTCAACTTTTAGACGTCGCGATATAGTACATCCAAATCATTATCCAAGCCTTCTGCATCCCAAGCAGTAACGTATCTGGTAACGCGCAACTGCGCCCAGGTATCTGAATATGCAAGCATACCCACACAGCACGCATGGTTACATGCTGTTCGTATTATCCAATTATCCCAACGAAGTCAAACTTGAGGTCAGGGAATCTAAGCTCGGCCACTGCGGACGCGCTTGGCTTCGGGGCGCTGAAGGTGCGAGGCTGGAATCCAGCTCTCATCGTAGGCCTTTGCGCCCGAAGTGACAGCAGGACCATCAGCACCAACAACGGAAACCTGGTCGGCAGGGTCGACCTTCTTGCTCTGGCCCGAAGACGCCTTAGCACGCTCACCACCCTTGCCGCGGCCCTTCTTCTGCGGGAAGAAGGTGGAAATCCAGGTGTTGTAGATGAAGTACACAGTTCCACCGAACGCGCCGAGGAGGACGAGGTATAGGAAGATGCTAGAGAGAAGTAAGTACATGTGTCCAGGCTGAATGGTGCATTGCTACGTACATCTGGGGGTCGAAGAAGCTGGTGGGCGCCTCAACAATGCTGACAGTCTCGTTGTAGACCGGGACGGTGATGAGGTTGTTCTTGCTGTCCTTCAGCACAGTTACGAGCTGCAGGCGGAGATTCTGGGGGTGCATCTCTGTCGTGAAGCTGTAGGGGACCGTCTCGTTGGCGCCAGCGGGGATCTGAATGGAGTAGCGCTGGCGGGTGAGGTTGCGAAGAATCTGAGATTCTCCCTTAATCTCCTGGATCAACGAGCCGCCGACAATGGTGACGCCGATGGGAGTTGGCTCATTGTTGACCACGGACAGACGCGCCTGGGTGGCCTGGCCGTTGACGAGCTTGACGCCGAAGATCTCAGACTGAGGGAAAGAGACGGAAACGGCGACATTGAGGTTGGGCGTCTGCGGCTCGTCTACTGCTTGTTGCACCTTCTCAGCCTGGAGATGCGATCGTTAGCCATCTGATGTCATGCTGCGTCCGAAAGTTTGGAGCTTACCGCGGGCTCAGCATAGGTGCCGAGAGCTCGGAGAGAAAGCAAGAGCAGAGATGAAAACTTCCAATTGACCATGATGAAGACGACACAAGACGAGGAGAGGGATGAGAGGAGGAGGGACGGCGTGTGGGAACAGATGGGGTAATTCGAACGTGGCTTCTGGGAAGTGACGTCCGGGCGCAGCTGCCTCTTGGCGTCGGCGGACGGAACCAGAGCCGCGGCAATGCGAAGCCACCTTCACCTCATACATGGAAGATGGTGAACAGGTGCACTGCAGCCTACATCAGTAGGAACACGGGACTTCACAAATTCCAAAAGCAATGTAGACTTCTAGGTCATTTTGCTTCTATCATCTTTGCGAACAAGATGAGCTATCGCTTTTCATTCTCTGGAGTGGCCCCTTCCTAGTATAGACTGTTCCCTGGAACGCGCCACATCGCGTTGCACATGGCATCCACGCCGCAAATGTCGCTCGTTCTATTACAAACCCAGCGGCAACTATTGTTCTGTAGTTTGCTATGACTGCATATACACCGCCCTGGAGTGGCTTCCCGCCGGCATTGCGCAGTGCGCCTGGCTGCATTATACCATCAAAAGCTGGACTGGCAATTTTGCGTCTTGACTGCTACTGTAATAACTCACTTTCATCCGCAGTTACCTATTCGAGCTTGAAAATTCCTTACTAACCGTAGAAGGAGCGCTCGACCCTCCTGTACCTACTTTCTCTCCCTCCGCTGCCTCTCATACACGTAAATCGCAGCCAATCCGTCATCCATTCTCTATCATTCAGTCACACTCCTGTTCGCCGATCGTCACAAGCTCAAACTTGACTGCGCTCTGCGACATGTCGCCTTCGCTCAACGGCCTTGGCCTGGCTTCACCAAGCCCCTCAGACGCCGATTTAGCAGACTTTACCAATCGCTTCGAGCATTTCCAGCAATTCGAGGATGAAAAGTCCAAGTTCATGACCGTACGCGCACTGTCACTATCACTCAATTGTGACTGACGCGCACTAGGAGGTGAAAAATCGGTATGAATATATGCACCAGCAGGTAAGCTCTGACTGTACGAAATACAGGCGAGGCATGTACTGATTTCGGATGCTACAGTACCATGCATTGGCTGCCGAACGCGACCGTGATCGCAACTGGATCCTTGCATGGCAAAATGAGAAGCAGCAGTATGAGAAGTCGCACAGGAATCTGCAGCGGAATATGGTAATCCCTTCCAGCCACACATCACTGTGGAGCTGACTTTGATGTGACAGGCTGAGAACCCATTTATCATGGTCCTGATTGACGGCGACGGCATGGTTGTGAGCTTCACGTACTGCGAGTTGAGTGCAGTCTGCTGACTACATACCAGTTTTGTGACGACTACCTTCGCGAAGGAGAGCAAGGTGGCCGCCGAGCTGCTGTCCAACTGTTCGCAGATATACACGAGTATATTGAGAACGAGTGTCAGGATATTCCCTTCGGTTACCGGATCGTCTGCCGCATCTATGCAAACGTTCGGGGGCTCGGCGACGTGCTTGTACGCAGGGGAATCTACGAAGATATCATTGAGTTCGAGGACTTTGTGCGTGGATTCACGCGGGGAAAGACCCTTTTTGATTTTGTCGACGTCGGTGCGGGAAAAGATCGTGCTGACGAGAAGATCATCGGTGAGTGGTGGTACCCTATGCAACAACACCAAAGCACATTTGCCCTCCCCAGGACTCCCCGCATACCCATGAGGAAGGAGTCGAACGCTGCGATGGCAGCGGTATCAGTCTCATCTACATTACACTCCCTCGACCTAGTCGTTTAGCGTCATCTATTGCCGGGTCTCCTACTGACAGCTGCAGAATTGCTCAAATTATACTCGCAAGATTATCATTGCCGTCGGATTCTCTTCGGCTGCTCACACGATAATGGCTACGCGCGAACGCTTGAGCAGTGCTCCGATCGCCTTCAGGTGACAAACAAGGTCGTCCTCCTCGAAGGTGTCCCATTTGAGAAGGTAAGTCCTGACTGATTTTACGAAGTGCATGTGAGACATACTGATTTCGTACGTTCACCTCTGTAGGAACTTGTATGCCTCCCGTACCGAACGAAGAAGTTTCCAGGTCTCTTTAGGGACACTAAGCTTGTGGTTTGGGGATATGGTCCTACTACATACGCCAACACCTACGCCAACGGTCTTCCTCCAGCATTCGTTCCCGGCAAAATCAATTCAAATGATAGTTCGAAGGCGTCTATAGTTTCGACAGGCCTGCCAAGCCGATTTCCCGCCCCATCGAGGTCTCCCATCATGGACAGTCCTTTGCCAAACCGAGCCGCAACGACGACTTTGCCTAGAACGCCTTCAACCTCAACACTGGCTTCGGACAATACGTTTCCAGCACTCAAGCCAGATCCACCAGCTCCACTTCTGAACTGGGCCGCTAAGGCAGCTGCTCCGCCGCCACCCGTTACAGACACCCCCGTGTACAAGCCCGCAAACCGCGAAGAAGTCATCGCTCGTAACCGTGCAGGCCAACGCATCGATCTGCCGTGCAAGGACTACGATAAGACTGAGGTGGACCGCATGAAGAAGATCAAACTGTGCAACGTTCACTTCCTTCGAGCCGAGTGCCCCTACGACACAAAATGCACCCACCTCCATGCGTACAAGCCTACTAGCGACGAGTTGGCTACCCTCCGCCTCGTCGCCCGCATGGCACCGTGCAGCAACGGTAGTGTTTGCCAGGATATTAGGTGTATCTATGGTCACCGCTGCCCAGCACCGCCCCACAAGACTCACTACGCCAAGGGCACAAAGAGCTGTATTTTCGGCGAGTCTTGCAAGTTTCCAGCGAGCTTGCATGACATCGACACCAATGTAGTCAAGACCCTGGTTGTTCGCTAGAGGGGGAGTAGGGAGGATTATGTGGGTGAGTCGCTATACGTTATTACTCGTGGAGATGGAAAATGGCCTAGCAGAACCTGACTCATATTGCCACCGTACAGTCTACATTGCCATCAGAACGAAAGTTGACAATCTCTTGATGCGATGTAGACTCCTGAGTGATTGACTCCCGGTATCTGCTGTAGACGGTTGTTCGGTTTTCCTTGGAATGAGCTGTTGCTCTGGACATTGTGTGGGGTGTGCATAGAGATAATATGTGCAATTCGGGAATTGTATTAAATGCCAGCAGTTCCATGTACGGGGACCTTCTCATTCCTTCCTCCATTCCTCAAACTCTTCATTGAGATGTTGTTTTAATGCCGCAAACTTGTTCTTAAAGTTCTCCCCACATCGCCAGCATTTCATGTCCCAACTAGGCCAATCTCCAGGATGAAACCTCTTACTATCTTCTTCTAATGGAAACTCGCCTAATTGAACCAGAAAACCACTGTTGAAGCTCAAATAGTGCTTCTTGTGCTTCATCCAGTCTGAATGCATGTCACGACTGAAGATATGTATGTGTAAATGGTTCATTGAGGGGTGGGTATGTACGCCTACGACAATATCTTTAGACCAATCGCGACCGGATGGGAGAAGTACCGCGCGCTCCTCGGGCGGAGGTGGTGGGTCGGGAGAGCTCATCATTGCCTCGAAGGCCTCGTTGTAGGGTTTATCTGAAGCGCTGAAGTCGCCATATTGCCGACGGAGTTCGTATGCAGCGAGTTCTCTGAGATGGATGATGCGTTTTCGTACTTCGGCGAGGAATGCTGGGTCTGTGGAGAGAGCGTGGAGTGGGTGCTGATCGTAGTAGACCTTTTTCCGCGGGATGAGTAGAAGGTGTACGCTTGTTCGTCGTCAGCCTACTGGTTCCCTCCGATGATTGAATACCATCGATGCATACCTCGCTTTAGGATACTTGTCGGTTATCACAACAAAGTCATCGTCGTACTCCAATACTTTGTTCTCCGGGTTCGTCTCGGGGCTCTCGATATAGACGCCTAGCCCATTCCGTCCATCCCAACGCTTAGCTGTCTTGGCAGCCTTCTGCGTTGTACCTGGACCGTCTGCGGTGGGAATGATGGGTGGTTTTGGTTTCTTCGACTGGGTCATGAGTTCTGTAACTGCACCGTGAGTTAAGGTTGCGCGTTGAGATTGTACGAGGCGTGCAATGAGACGTACATGCATTGGGCCGCTTTGAAGAGGCGGGTTCAATTGCGGGCCGAGCTTGGTTCCCCGGCTCCGTTCCTGCTATCTCTTTGTTCGTAATGGCATCGTGGGTTTCCGTCGCATTAGGGCGGTCCGTCATTGTCGATCTGTTATCGTGTTTCGGTTTGCGAAAAGGTCTCGTATGCTTGTTTGAAGTTTGTATAAATATGGCGCGAAATGAGCGGGCTGCTATCAAGCTTGGGGCCAGTGGGCGCATAGAAACTCGTGAATGCTTGGTGAGTGTTCCGTGAAGCAACGATGACGATGAGGCTCTGGGATGGCCCAAGCGCACGGTACCGAGGCATCCCTGCAATCATCGGAATTTCGGATTGCGCATCGCATTCGAGTGAAAGCGCCAGGAACTCGCAATGGCTGCCACCATAGGTTTCACTTTCCCCTTTGGATACGCCGAAGAGTGGTGCAATATCGATCCCGGTGGTTGAGTTCTTTCATTAGCGACTTGCGCCCTTTTCGCCGCCCACCAACGAAGAACATTACCACACCTACACTCTCTCTGCCTGAGTATACTTCCATGGAGTCTGAGGGGTCCGACCACTCTACACATATCGCGCACGATGCCTAAAAACGCTCACCCACCCCGCGGCAAGCCTGCCAAGAAGACTGTGCCTCCTGAGGAGGATACATCATTCATCGTTTTCGGTGACGGCAAAGCCAAGAAGAAGAAGGGCGAGAGTTCTGGCGGAGACGCTGCCCAGAACGAGAGTAAGGGAAAAGGGAAGTCCGCAGCTGGAGCTGCTGAAGATGGGCCCAAAAAGCCGGATACAAGGACCCTCGTCGCCGGCGCATCGTGGACAGGAAAGCTCCCAGTCAACCTCCTGTCCGAACATTTCCAGAAACAGCAGTGGAGCAAGCCTGACTATCGCATCGTACGTAGCGCCATTATAGTAGTAGGTCATAGCTAATTACAGCAGCGGAAAGATGGCGACCAGCATTTTGCTTATGCGGTGGTACTATCCAAGATGAACCAGAAGACGCGACAAACGACCACCCTACCACCTATCAAGATCCCGTCGGAGCTCGAAGAACAAGCGCATCAGCCTACCGCCGTCGAAGCCCGCAACTTTGCCGCGGCCTATACTCTCTTCCGCGTCGCCAGCGGGAAAAATCTCCACACCATGCTGCCCCCCACGTATAAAGACCTTTGGAAGGGACAGTTTATGGACCTCAAGAAGAGGGATGAACAAGAAGGTAAAGGATGGATGTATGAGGCAGACCCTTTCTTCGGTTTTGTGGAAAGGGAGAAGGCAAGAGAGGCAGCAGCAAAGGCGCGTGAGAAGAGGCAGAAGCAGCAGGAAGAGGCGCAGAAAGCCCACAACCAACAGCCAGGTGCTGCCATGCCAAGTTCTAACGGTCCAGCTCCTAGCCGGAATTTGCTCAAGGGATGGGAGAGAGTGCCCAAGATCGAGCTTGGGAAGAGAACACGCAAAGAAGCCGAGCGTCTCATCCGCCGGGACGCACTCTGGAACCCGAACGGCATCGAAATGAATCCATCTACAAAGAACCGACTAGTCGATGAGATCGCGGACCTTGGCTTTCGGAGAAGCCACGTCGAGGAGGCCGCCGATATTTGCAAAGATCGCGAGGAGATTATTGAATGGCTTCTCATTCATGTACCTGAAGACGACCTACCGTCGTGGTCACTACCAGAAGGCTACGTTGCTGGCGTCAGTATGGCTAGCTCTAACCTCAAGCGTGAAGGTGCCGTAAAGCGCCTTGCTGCAGCCGGATACTCTATGGACCTTTGCGAAGAAGCATACGATAGTCAAGGCAGTGATGAGAGAAAGGCCGCAGCTTTGCTACAAGCTCGTCTACTCCGACCAGATGAGGACGAGAGTAGCCTAGCACAAGACCTGAAAGATCTCTCGCTGAGCAATGGGGAGCTTGAGACGTCTCCAGAGGACGATCCGTGGGAGGTGGAGATGTCATCACTTGAGGCAATATACGACCGTCTGTTTTCACGCCCTGCTCCCGAATCGTGTCGCATCGAGCTAGACGTCAAGCAACAAGGAAAGCGACTCATACTGCAGGTCAGGAAGCCTTTCGGTCCTTACCCCGCTGTTGTACCTATCATCACATTCGAGGCGGCTATCCCAGCATATATCCGCTTGAGCATCATTCGCCAAGCGCTGCTCCACGCTGAAGCCAACTTCATTGGTATGCCTATGGTATACGATATCGTAGACTGGATCCAAACGAATGCTGGTGATATCTTCCAAAACCCAGGAAGACTGACCGATGTTTCGTCTGGCCTTGCAGCAGCAGATCACTCGTCGGAACAGCAAAGTCAAAAACGAAGAGCGAAGGGGCGACCTAGAAGGCCTCTCGACTGGACACCCGCCACGCCTCCTAGCCAAAAAATATTGTCGGATTGGCAAGCTAAGCAAGGATCCCCAGCTCAGCAAAAAATGATGAACGCTCGGCAGTCACTTCCTGCGTGGAGGTTGAGGGACGATATTGTCCGCACCGTCAACAAGTGTAAGGTCACTATCATCTCAGGTGAAACTGGATCGGGGAAATCGACTCAATCGGTGCAGTTCGTCCTCGATGATCTCATACAGCGACAGCTTGGTGCTGTTGCGAACATCATCTGTACCCAGCCACGCAGGATTTCTGCGCTTGGTCTTGCTGATCGTGTGGCCGATGAGCGATGTTCTCAGGTCGGCGACGAGATTGGGTACACTATCCGCGGAGAATCTAAACAGAAGCCAGGAGTTACCAAGATCACGTTTGTAACGACTGGTGTACTTTTGAGACGTCTTCAAACGTCGGGTGGCAATGCCGACGATGTCGTTGCCGCCTTAGCCGATGTCAGCCACGTTGTCGTCGACGAGGTTCACGAGCGTAGTTTGGACACAGACTTTTTGCTCGTTCTTTTGCGCCAGATCTTACGAAAGCGGCAAGATCTCAAGGTCATCTTGATGAGTGCCACTCTCGATGCTGCTGTTTTCGAAGCGTACTTCAAAGAGGTGGGACCCGTAGGCCGTGTCGAGATTGAGGGTCGCACTCATCCTGTGACGGACTACTATGTCGACGATGTCGTGCATTTCACCGGGTTCAAGGGCTATGGTATGGGCGACGAAGATGCTTCCGAAGACAAATCGTTCTCGGCAAACCTTCGGAGTATTGGATTCGGCATCAACTACGACCTCATCGCAGAGACTGTTCGTCACATCGACCGCCAACTCGGTGCCAAGGATGGGGGTATACTTATCTTCCTTCCTGGTACTATGGAGATTGACCGCACGCTCCAAGCGCTCAGTCAGTTCGCAAACCTCCATGCATTGCCCCTACATGCATCACTCATGCCCGTCGAGCAAAAGCGTGTCTTCCCTCCTGCTCCTCACGGCAAGCGTAAGGTCATCGCGTGTACCAACGTCGCAGAAACGTCGATCACTATTGAAGATATCGTCGCTGTCATCGACACAGGTAGGGTCAAGGAGACAAGCTACGACCCGCAGAACAATATGGTTCGCCTCGCTGAAACCTGGGCTTCGAGGGCGGCATGTAAACAACGAAGAGGTCGAGCGGGGCGTGTCCGAGCAGGCGACTGCTACAAGTTGTACACACGCAACGCTGAAGCTAAGATGATGGAGCGACCGGATCCGGAGATTCGGCGTGTGCCCTTGGAGCAGATGTGTCTATCTATCAAGGCAATGGGGGTACAGGACGTCTCAGGCTTCCTCGCTTCAGCTCTCACACCACCAGAAAGTACCGCGGTGGAAGGCGCGATCCAGTTGCTCTCGCAGATGGGTGCTATCACAGACGACGAACTCACTGCACTTGGCCGACACATGTCTATGATCCCGGCAGATCTCCGTCTGGGCAAGCTACTCGTATATGGTGCGACGTTTGGCTGCCTTGAAGCTGTGCTAACCATCGCATCTGTTCTCACGGCTCGCAGCCCGTTCATATCACCACGAGAGCGAGATCAGGAAACTCGAAATGAGTTCGATCGTCTCCGCGCATCCTTCTCTAACAACCAGGGAGATTTGCTTGTAGACCTGCGAGCATACGAACAGTGGTCTGCATTGCGCAGCAAAGGGACGTCAACACGAGACCTCCGCTTCTGGTGTCAAGACAACCGACTGAACCCCCAAACCATGTTCGACATAGCGTCCAATCGCACCCAGTACTTGTCGTCTCTCAAGGAGATCTCTTTCATTCCCACACATTACTCCTCCGCAAACCCTGCCACACACTCTTACTACAACAAACACAATGCGAATGACGCGCTGTTGCGTGCGCTGGTCGCTGGGTCCTTCAATCCGCAGATCGCACGCATCCAGCTCCCCGACAAGAAGTTCGCAGCGGGTATAGCCGGAGCCGTAGAACTCGATCCCTCAGCTCGTGAAATTAAGTACTTCAACCAAGAAAACGGACGCGTATTCGTTCATCCCTCATCCACACTCTTCGCCAGTCAGACATTCCCGCATAATGCTTCTTTTGTCGCGTACTTCAACAAGATGGCTACAAGTAAAGTCTTCATCAGAGATATCACGCCGTTCAATGCATACAGTTTGCTGTTGTTCGCTGGAGAGATCAAGGTCGATACGCTGGGCAGGGGCTTGGTGGTCGATGAGTGGATTAGGTTGAGGGGGTGGGCAAGGATTGGTGTGTTGGTGAGTCGGCTGAGGGGTATGTTGGATGGCGTGCTGGAGAGTATGGTTAGGGAACCAGGGATGGGAGTTAGTAATAGGCAGAGTGAGGTCATTGATGTCGTGAGACGGATGGTTGAGAGGGATGGGTTGGATGCTTAGACAGTCACCTTTGCTCTACACGGGATGATTGTATCAGAGGGTGCGAGTTGCCTTGCACTGCTGGGACAGATATTCGTACAGCAAACCTTTAAATCGGCAGATCTGAAGAGCAGCCTGCAACATTGCTTACGACCTCTCAATCTATACTGCATAGGGCGGCGAGATTGTCCCGAGGTCCTCAATCGAAACTTGTGCGAGGGGCGTATTGCCGCGTCTGCTCATTACGCTCCAATTGCAAGAAATATAGGCAGACTTCACACGGCACAGCCCCGCTCATACCAACACTCGCCACAGCAGCCTGAAGCAGTTCAATGAGCCATCATCATCGCTTTCACAACTGAAACACATGGGAGACCTACGACACAATTACCGGGGCATGTGAAAAGCTATGGCAAATCACAGCTCCAATGCTGAGGCAATGCCGCGTCGCCGCCAAGCACATATCGATAGAGCCTCGCGGGCTCCATATAGATACCGGCCTCTAAACGACATGAAGAACGAGATCAGACTAGTCAAGGTACGTGCAGGCAATGGCTCTAGCGAGGTGCTCGAATGCGACATTGAGCACAAGCTCTTGAGCAAAGCCAGGTACACTTACGAGGCCATCTCCTATTTTTGGGGAGAGTCCTCACGAAGTCACGACGTACTTTGCGATGACGGTACAAACCACCTCAAAGTAACTTCCAATCTTTGCGAAGTCCTTAGGCAACTTGCCTCGCTACCAGGCAACACCAACTGCAGAAATCACTGGATCGACAGCATTTGCATCAACCAAGATGACGCGATCGAGCGAGGGAGTCAAGTTCAGCAGATGGCAGATATTTATCGACTTTCAGAGCAAGTGCATATCTTTCTAGGTGTTTTAGCGCCAGGCATAGACCCACTGCAAAGTGAGTGGTTCACCAGGAGATGGGTAAGCAGAGCCTAAGCAGAATTCTACGTGAATCCACAAGCTCAAGCTAATTCAATATAGGTCGTTCAGGAAGCGTTTGTTGCACAGAAGATTCATATCAGTTTCGAACAAAGTGGGCAGACCTGTCACTTTGATGGTTGGAAACCATTTTGGGATCACTGCTTTCACCTAAACGGCTACAATGGTATCACTGCTATGGCTGGTCTCAAGTTCTTTGGCTTTGCTACAGATGTTCCAGGCTCTGTGCAGCATGATATACTCGACCTGATGTACACTTTTCACGATGCAAAGTGCAGCGATGACCGAGATCGTCTTTTCGCTCTTGTGGGAGCATCGAGAGACGTGACAACCAAACAAAAGCCTGGAACCTCATTGAATTACCCGGGATCGATATTCTATTACAAACCAGACTACACAGTAACTACAGAACAAGCATATCGCAGCTTCGCACAAGCTGCTCTTCGTTCTACATCAGCATTCAAGCTTTTGTCTTGTGCCGGTGCTTTCCGACATGCTAGCAGCAAGTACACGACGTCCATTCCCTCATGGACACCGGATTGGAGGTGCAAAGCTCCCTTAGCACGGGCACCAGACTACAGTTGCTTCACAGCGGGCTTCCGACGAATTACAAACGGACAAAGTACCGAGAGGAGACCAGCGATCTTGGTGGACGAGACCGATTGGTCCATAAATTTCAGAGCCGTACACCTTGGAAAAGTAAAAAACATTGTCTTCCTCGTGATAAAATCTCAATGGTCACAATCTGGGTTAATCCAGGCTCGTTTGGACGCAGGTAACGACATCTACGATGCAGTAGGGGTGGCGCTTGAAGACGAGGTTGTTATACCCATCGGCTCGCCAACTCCATTTATCATAAGACGGCAGGCCGAAGAACTTGGCTCGTCCCTGAACTACAAACTGATATCGGATTGCTGGCTACTTGACGAGCACTACAATGCCCATTCGTACCCTAGAGTCAGGGTTATGAACGGAGACTACATAAGCCAGACGAATACTACCTCCATTTGCGAATATCGCATCATTTGAGTATGACCTTTCCTTGGATTTAAATTAGCAGGAGACAATAAAGTGTCGCGCTAGAACTTTTTGGCACTGCTCGAAATCTGCGGTCATTTTGCGCACTCGTCTTATTTGCTCACTACACTCACCACAAATTTGCAATGTTCTCATGAATAAAATCCTCTAGCATCAACTCATATGACCCAACTGGCGTACAGAAACAGTAAGAACTCATGATAGAATGGGCAACGGGCATGGGGGACATTTGATCGGTGACGGTCGTACATCCTTACATAGCTTGCACATCTTTTCCTCTTGATACAGCATACATTGAGCTTCCTTGTACAGTCTACGTTAGACCGAGCATTCCTGTACTAAACGGTGCCTACGTACGACCTCAGTCCACAGTGATCTTCTCGGTCCCATCAAAATCATCACTTCTTTCATGCCGTCCGGTCCTAACATTTGTCCCGCAGCAGCATGATTGTAATTCTGCTTCCAAACTTCGGTATCAACACGACCTGAAGGTTTCACTGACGCCAACCCGGAGATCTTATCATCGGAGGTGAGACCTCCATACCATCATTCACCGCGATGATTTGCGGTCAGGTAATGTAGAACTGGTAGTAGTGTGAATTTTGCACGGCAAGGAGAGCTAGACTTTGGGCGTGAGGTAGAAATTTGCCTGGTGGTGCTTGGATAAGAAGCTCGAAGTCGGGGGTATCACATATTGCGATTTGCTCATTCGATGATGCTGTCGCTGTGAATGTTCCTCGAGTTCAGAGAGTGCATTACTGTCAAGATCCCTATAGGATCTGTACAGCGAACTCCAAGATCGGCGATGTTCCGGAATGATAGAGTAAGACGCATTTGGTTGTTGTAATGCTCTCAATGCCTATTGACACTCATCGTGGCTTTAGGCAGTGATCTCGTGCAGCCATAGCAAATGTCCCTTCTACTACTTGTGGAATCGAAATCATCGCCATCCTGCTGGTCGCCACCCCAGCCGTGTATGCCGAACCGGCCGCCAGACACAGGCATGCTACACAAGCTACAATGTGGGTCTGACAACGCATCGGGGCGAGCTTCGAGCTTGCTTGTCGTGCGTACCACATTTGCGACGATACTTGGGAAGTTCTCTTCGACGGATTCGAAATACTGCGTCATGAGGTCGTCAATAGTTGTATTCTTTGAGCTTGTTGATGCTTGGGTAGCGCCTGTTGACGTTTCGTGTACGAGTTCTGATAGTCCAGGTTCCGCCATTCTGGTATATGATACTAGCTCTTTTTTCAAGACATCTCGAAGTGGATAGTGAAAATTGAGGCCAAAGGGCGACATTCCGTCTGAGACTTGCCATGGTAGAGAAAACCCTCGGCCCTTGGCAGTTTCGGCAAGCGTCTTTTGAGCGAGCCTGGTCGTGCTATCTCCCCAGAGGATACTCTCACATCCAGTCAACTTCGCATGCTCAACGATTAGCCGTGTTCTCAGGGTAGAGAGCACGTCCGCACGAGCGGTAGCCGAGGTGAGGGAGCTGATCATGTGTACAAATTGCTCTTCGGGACTCAAGTCTGCCCTTTGGTCGACCTGCGGCACCAACGACCGTATCGATGCATCTTCTGGAACCAGGCGGAATACATCGTGCAGCGGCAGTGAGGCGTATTGATGGTCCGGATATTGCTCCCGAGCCTTGTTGAGTAGCTGCGTAGCTTGCACCTTTTGCTCTGGATCCTCGATATATATAGCGCTAATCTCAAATCCGGTACGGCCAGTCTTGCTCTTTTGCGTCTTAAGGTGCAGATCCAGCACGTGGAGGAGAGTCGTAGATGAGACCCCAAATGACAGGGGTACTAAGATCTTACGCTGCTGCTCTGCTCCAAAATTAACGCGAAACGATTCCAGGCGCTTGATGCACTTTGTATGCACGTAGCGGGCGAAGCAGTCACTATAATAAATTTAGCGAATTCTTCTTCCCCTCCAGGTGGCGTAAACTGACTGGCAAAGCGGCTCAGAGCGCACAACGAGAACCGATGTGTCTTTGCATCGTCTGCAAGGCTCATCAGAGGCGCCAGCAATGTGTTTGCCTGGCATGATGTGCGTGTGTTGGGCGGATATTGGTGAATGCGTTTGGTAGGGCTGACTCTCGGCGGCGGTTTTGCTCGTGGTTGCCCTTTGACGCCCGGCTGCGCCACATTCTGGGAATGCGCGCTAATAGCTACCGGGAAGGCGGCCGTAGGTGACGATCGGGAACGCGCAAGCCAAACATCGTCAACTAAACACCAACTTTCACCCATGACCCGCCTTTGACCAGGAATTGACGGAAAGAATCTGTCGCCAGTTCGAATCGAATCGCATACCTCCGCCTGAAGCGCTGCAAACCTCCAGCCGTCAGCTCCGCCAGCTGGCCTCACATCCGGCAAGATGAAGGCACGGCTGCGCAACATCGCTCTACTGCTGTTCACTACGATAACAGCAGTAGCAGCGATGGATGTTACGCTATCCGACAAGGAGACGCAAAAGTGCAGGTATGTAGGAAGATATACATGTTGGGTTAGCCCGAGGCGGCATGCTCATACGAGTCCAGCGGCATGTACAGCAAGAAATCGTGGGGCGGCAAGGTCGATCCCTTCATACTTGTCAAGTTTATAAAAGATCCCAAGAAGAACGAGGGCATCAAGGACCATACTGTCAGTCTGGTGATCTGGGAATGGAAAGACACTTTACTTCTGGGCGCACCTTCCGACTTGCCCGTGAATGATGTACGTGTGCCCCAATGCTGTCCGCATAACCAAACTGACTTCCTCCAGGAAAACCGCCATTACATCTGCGACGACGAATCTATAAAACTGAAACTCTGCAACGACACAGATAAAGGCAAATGGGTACTTGCAGAAGGCGTCGAAGACGCCTCTCAGATGCCTATTCGAACCGACGCCATCAATCTCGACGACCCGAAACCGATCAAATACCCAGTCTCCACTGCAGAAACAAAGGTCCCAATCAAGACGGGCTATTATTGTGTGGCTGCGAATGCAGCAGACAAGGAACTGGAATTCGAGGCTATTGTGACATTCCGGAATGCCTATGGCGAGCTTCAGGCAGCCCAGATTGCGAAGCTCCCATTTTATGGCGGTATCACAATTGTGTACTTTGTTGTGCTGGCATTCTGGGGCTTCCTATACTTCCAGAATCGCCACGACATTCTTGCCGTCCAGAACTATATCACGGCCATCCTAGTCTTCCTAGTTGTGGAGATGCTGATGACCTGGGGCTACTACGACTACCAGAACCGCCACGGTAACAACGTCGGCACCAAAGCTCTCATGATCGTCGTCGCCGTACTGAACGCTTTCCGCAACTCCTTCTCCTTCTTCTTGCTGCTGATTGTGTGCATGGGATATGGCGTTGTCAAACCTTCTCTTGGCAAGACAATGACCGTTGTTCGATGGCTTGCTGTGGCGCACTTCATCTTTGGCGTAATTTACGCTGTAGCTTCGCTCACTGTTCGCCCCGATGACGCTGGACCTCTGGTCTTACTAGTCATCCTTCCTCTGTCGGCTACCCTCACAGCATTCTACATCTGGACTTTGAACTCGCTAAACCTCACGATGAAGGACTTGATGGAGCGGAAGCAGCACGTCAAAGCTACCATGTACAAGAGATTATGGTGGTGCATCTTGACCAGCATCGTTGTCATCTTTGGTTTCTTCTTCATCAATAGCTTCACTTTTGCCGGAGCGTCGACCCCTGACTTTGCGCCAACCCATTGGCAAACACGGTGGTTCGTGCTTGATGGCTGGCTGAACCTTGTCTACCTGGCCGACGTTTGTTTTGTCGCGTACATGTGGAGACCAACGGCCAACAACCGAAGGTTTGCCATGAGTGATGAGGTACGTTTTTGCAAGGATGGCACCTACAATCTTACTAACCATTTTTTAGATTGCACAAGATGACGAAGGCTTCGAAATTGCCTCGATGAGGGACTCTCTTGATGAAGAGGAGAGAGGAGCAGACCAACCCCCTTCATACGACCCAGCCCAGAGGTCAAACAACAACATTGCGCGCGATGTATCGCCTTTGCCCGCACCACAAGCACAGAAGCCCATTGTACCTCCCAGGGAGAGTCTCGATGGCGACACGATCTTCGCAGTAGGCGAGGATGATAAGTGGAGCAGTGAAGAAAGTGACGACGAGGAAGAAAGTGAAGATGAGGAGGAAGATTCGGACGACTCGGATGATTCAGACGAGTCAGGACCATCGAATTCAAAAGCGAAGGATAGCGAGCGGTCCAGATTAACAGGTCGAAAGAACGACTAGGTGTTGACTCGACGTGGCAACACTTCGGTTCGTCAAACAACGGCGTTGGATGGCCAACAACACTTTTTATGACGTTAGCGTCACCCCCAACAGGTTGATTGATAGATTAGGCGTTCTCAGCGTTTTTTGTAGTACATTTGGCCTGAAGGCCTAGATCTAGCATATTCGATGAAATCAATTCGTCGCATTTCGCTCTAGTCGTAACTCCGTAATTGCCGAGGCATCTTGAGCTGTGGTCAAGCCCTCACGCACCTCACTAAACACCCTCACCATTACCATGGCGACCTCTTCGCTGAGCGCACCGCTACGGACGCCCAGATATATTTGCGATGCTTGCCGGACGAACGTGCGCTCTCTGCGCAGACCGGCCGTTGATGCCTACCGGACCTTCAGCACCGCATCATCTTCAAATGGCAAAATCCCCACGCGACCGATATCACTTCCGTACTGTCGCGATCGAGCTATTATCTCACCACTGCATAATGAAAATGCTCGCGGACGATTCGAAAGGCGTCAGTATTCGATAACGAGCTCCTCTTCGCCAGCTGCCAGCTCAGGCTGTGCACCGCTCCCGCATCGCCGCCTCATCTCCCTCTCTGGGCCCCATACCGTCAAGTTCCTGCAGGGACTGATAACGAACAATGTCGATCCGAGCCGTCAGTCGCCTTTCTACGCGGCCTTTCTCGATGCGCGCGGTCGGGTGTTGTGGGATGTCTTTGTCTGGGTGTGGCCAAAATTAGTAGAGGGCAAGGAGCACTGGGCATGTTATATTGAGGTAGACGAGAGCGAGATGGGGTCTCTGAAAGCGCATTTGAAGAGACATAAGCTGCGGAGTAAGGTCCAGATCGAAGAAGTGGGAGTGGACCAAATGCGCGTGTGGGCGGCTTGGGGCCCTGAGGTTGAGCATGCCAATACCGACGGTATAATCGCTGCGATGAGCGATCCACGTGCACCAGACATGCATCGCTACCTCGCAAGTCCCAACGCAGCGACAATAGTAGAAGGAGTCGAACCAGTGGATATCCAGGAATATCACCTTCAACGCTATAGAAACGGCATCCCCGAAGGACCGCAGGAGATACCAAGAGAAAGCGCATTACCGATGGAATGCAACATCGATCTCTGGCATGGAATAGACTTCAAGAAAGGTTGTTACGTTGGCCAGGAACTTACCATCCGTACGAAACACACCGGCATCGTGCGCAAACGCGTCCTCCCCGTTCATATCGATAATGCTGCAGCATCAGCTGCCCTTCCAGACCATGGCACGGATATCAAACAGCTAGATGGAGATGGTAACACAAAGAAGGGTCGTGCGACAGGCAAATTCATTGCGGGCATTGGGCAAATAGGTCTTGCAATGTGTCGGTTGGAGAACATGACTAGCATGAAGATTAGTGCCGAGGGAGGCACATGGAAGCCACAAATGGAATTTGGATGCGAGACAGGCGAAGGCATCGTCAAGATTAAGCCCGTTCTGCACGATTGGTTTGTACAGAGGGAGAGGGAGCTTTGGGAGAAGAACAAGAATAGACCAAGCCTATAGACATGTTCAGAGCAACACTATGTCCGCAACACTATGTCTTCTCTACGATTTCTCTTTTACCGTTGAGTTTCCTGTCAAGTTCGGTTCTGCAAGTTTCGTGTTCACCGGGACGCCTTGTTCGCAATAGTCCGTAAGCTTATGGTCGACGGGTGGGGCTGTGTAATTGTGGCTTAGCTCGTGTGGTAGGGGAAACGTCATCTGGCCATTCCGCATCGTGCCTTCGATATATCCATGCCATACCCGTAGTCATAATCGCAGCCCTTTTCCTATTCTTCTGCGAATACTCACTCCTCTAGTATTCCTCGTTCGCGTCTCGTGTGTCCATATACTGGTTCCTCGAAGAGATGGCGGCCACACTGCCCTCAACATCATCGGAACATCACTTCTCTATCTCGAACATCATCTCCAGATTTCGGTCAAAGAAAGGGAAAAGCAACAGAAAGTCCGATGCGCAACCGCCTCAAGAGATCTTGCAAGAGACGCGCCTGCCACTAAAGCCGGCGCCATTACCCTTAGTCCTACCAGAACATCAACAGACCCTGTCAGCTCTCGGCTGGACGACCGTTACTTTTCCTGATTCATCACCAGCCCAATCAGAAGCGACAGATCATAAGCATCAAGCCCCGGCGCCTGGTCCGCACCCTCTCCAGGCCGCATATGAACAGCTCTTCGCAGCGAGTCAAGCTTTCTTCAACCAACCCGATAAGGAAAAGCAGAGATGGAAGCACAAACTCAGATCTGAAGAAGGCTGGTCCAAGATCCCCGGCGAAAAGGAATTCATTACTTTGCGATCTCTAGAGTATTGCCCAGAAGTCTTGAGAGGACCTGCAAAGAGGTATTGGGATCTCGTTGGACAGCATTGCTCGAATACGTTGGGTAGAATCTCGACATCCCTTGGGCTACCAAATGGCGAAGATGAAGGGCTGCGACAGTTTGTTGGACCATGCGGTACATTGCAAGCTTCTGATAAGGAGAAGACAGCGACGATGCTGCGATTGTTCAGATACGAGGGCTGGGAGGCGAAGGTCGTGGCTGAACCACATGCTGATCTGGGACTGCTAAGCGTAGTAGTTGGCGATGTGCCTGGCTTGGAGGTGTGGGACGGGGCCAACTGGTTCGAGGTCGAAAAAGTTGTCGAAAACTCTGGGATGAAAGGTGCTACCATGCTCGCTGGACGGCAACTCGAAAGGCTTTCCAATGGTAGATACCCGGCTGGTGGTCATCGGGTCGTGGCTTACGGGTCTCCGGTGCCTTCACCAAACCCTCCCGTCTCCACCTCTCAGGCCTCCTCCACCATTCATGATCCTGCCTCTTCGACGGACGACAAAAGATACCGCTTCTCGATCGTCTTCGTTCTTCGCGCCCACGAACCGCTCATTATCAACTCTGATTCCTTCGAAACTGAGGTCACTGGCAAGTGGCTTGAACCTATGAATGGTATTACCGCGGGTAGGTTCTACGAGAAGATCAGAGGCCAGCACTTCAACATTAATATCGATATGGATGAGAGGGAGAAGCAGAGGAATAAGCTGAATAACGTCAAAGGTGGGAAGAAGCAGGACTGGGAAGTCAAGGAGGGCAAGGTGGTGAGTAGTGGTTAGACTTTGTGCATTGAAGCGCTCGTACCTAGGAATCGTGACCGTTTTCTCTTTTGTTGTAGCTTTACTGTTCGCCTAGGTGGTTAGCCTTTCCGAACTGCTTAGATGTACCCAACTTCTGTACTCAACGCAACGTGACTGACGCATCGGAGCTCTGTGACCTTGCTGCTACTAGTACACTAGCTGCTAGCTGTATTGAGATTAGTGGTTTTGATATCATCTGGAGCAGCCCCGATGCACTCTCGCATCTGCAGACATGCATCACTCCTGCCACTATTGACATGTACATTGCAAAGAATAAGCAGTGCATTTCATCACTGACCTGTACCGCTGACATAAGCTGACATGCACGGCATGATGCATACCGCGAGACGCTAGAGGACAGATACAGACTCAGCCGCACCTCTTATGGCGGGGTCGGAATTCGAGGAGCTTACCCCCCGCCCCCAAGGATACTTGGAAAGTCGTCAGTAATCTGAACTTCCCAAATTCACTCCGTTCTATATATACTCTTAATCATGATCTTTATCGACACCACGACGCTGGCCCTCCACGTCCGAGATCATGCAGATCCGGATCAACGATATGCCATCCTATCACACGTGTGGGGTCTCACTAAAGACGAGGTGACCTACGAGGAAATGCTAGTGCCGCCGCAGGACCGTCCAAAATCAACGCTCGCGAAACCAGGGTACCAGAAAATCGTTGAGACGTGTAAGATGGCTTCTTCGTGGCGGTACAAGCTCCCGTATGCCTGGTGCGATACTTGCTGCATAAACAAATCTAGCAGTGCAGAGCTTAGCGAGGCAATCAACTCCATGTTCAGGTACTACAAAGAAGCCTCTGTGTGTTTCGCATATCTGTTCGACATCACTCACACCACATTCTCTTTCAATTCATCGAAATGGTTCCTTCGTGGTTGGACGCTCCAAGAGCTCATCGCGCCAAAGAATGTGGTGTTCTTCGATCAAAACTGGGAGTTTAGAGGCACCAAGGCGAGCCTAGCGACTCAGATTACGGAGATCACAGGCATTCCGGACGATATTCTCAAACACCAGATGGAGCTAAGCGAAGTGCCTGTTGCTCAGCGGTTTTCGTGGGCGTCTACACGCAAAACTACCCGAGAAGAAGACATTGCCTATAGTCTCATGGGCATATTCGACATCAACATGGCAATGCTCTACGGGGAAGGGTCAAAAGCGTTCATCCGGTTGCAAGAACACATACTCAGCGAAACTGCCGATGACTCGCTCTTCCTTTGGAATGATGCCTTCTCGTATCACAAGCTGTCAGGTCTCCTTGCTCCTTCTCCAAGCTGTTTTCGACAAATGCGATCAATCACGCCCGAACCGGCTGTTAAGCCGCGAGACTTCTACATGACAAACCGTGGCATCCGACTGAAATTAGGACTCGCCTGGGATCACGATACTGGACTTGCTATACTACCAGTGAAACATTCGCTGGGCGCGGTTGGCAGACCTGTTGGAATTTACCTCAGGAGGGTCGGACCCGATCTGTTCGTTCGCGCGCTGCCTCAAGAGTGCCCTAGGGTCAAGACTGAAGTGACTTACACTGAGTTCACTGCGGTCAAGTCGTTGACAGGTCCGCAAGCTTCGACGATCATGGAAAAAGTCATGCGGGTAGAGAAGCCCGCCGGTGTGCATGTCAGTCGAGTAGAACCTCATGGTCTATGGGATCCAACTGCAAAATGGCTGCACGCAACACATACGGGCGCCATCATAGGCTACATGGAGTTCAAGAAGGAGGCGTATCCCACATTCGCATTTGTGTTCTTCTTCAGAAATGGTCATTGGTCGGCTACAGTAGTAGTTGGAGAGCAGTGGACTAGCATACAAAAGAAGTTCCACAAGCATTACCGCGACAACCTTGAAGAGCTCCGGTACTTCGATACAATGGGCGATGCCAGAATGCAAAAGATTGAAAAGATCAAACCCGATTCAAAAGTTCTCACGTTGCACATGCGAGTTGCGAGAGGTACTGGGCGACCCCATTTGGCGATACGCGAAGTAGACAGGAAAGCTGGCACGCCTTGATACGTGTTGTTACGCGAGCACATCTGGATGTCATGTTGTAGCAAACTATATATGTTTACGAACGTATATTTACAAAGAACAGAACAAAGTTGCATGACCCATAATCACAGGTACATGAAATCGTACTCCTTCTTCAATCTTCCGAAACCAATGGTCGGTTGGTACTCATCGACCTTGTCAGCACCAAAGTCGAAGACGGAGTAATGTCTTCGCAGGAACGGCGCGCCGACCAACGCGAAACCTTGGTTCTCACTACTGTCAAATGGCGGCATGCATTGGTGGCCCGGCAAGAGGAACTCGTCGCCTCGAAGAGTGAACGAGACGTCGTCCTCTGGGGCGCCCTCTCCAAGTGTCATAGTGATGGCCCACGAAGCGTTCAGGTGCTTACACTCCATGATCTCTTCGCCGTGGTTGGTGAGCTTGGTGTAATTCCAGCCGAGGTTGAAGTACATGGCATCAATGATGTCGCTCGGAAAGGAGACACGTCCAGATCCAGTATCGAAAACCGCTCCACCTTGGTACATTGGCCATGTTACATTGGCGTCTGGATAACCACCGCTCGACACGGCAGTGGTGGGAAGGTGGCCGTTCCGTATTTCAATAGTTGCGTTTGGTTCCGATGGGTTCTCCGCAACGAGTACGTTGACGCTCCTTAGTGGCGCTCTCCAGAGCTGGTATGGATCCTCTTTCCTCAAGGGCGTGTAGACCATCTCGCCATCCACGTACTTGTCCTCATGGCTGCCGCCGACAGTCAGCACGCCGTCTTGTACACCGTTCCCTGCGTCCTCAAAGTTCGTGCCATAGAATAGACTGAAACGTGGTGCGTCCAGTTGTCCGTCCCACAACAATGTCTCGACCAGCGTCGACGTGTTCTTTTCCGCGATGGAGGAGAAACCCAGGCCCAGGAAACCATCAGCAGTAATGAAACGCCAGCTGCTCTGGTTGGCGGATAGGAAGGTCTGGTTCCATTCTACGCTACCATCTAGAGTGCTGAAAACGTCCTGGATAGTATCGCCGGCAACGTCGCCGCCTAGGTACGGAATCGACGCGGGGATGTTGAGGTCCACGGATGTTGACGAGGCAGACGCATTGTATTTCTCTCGAACGTAGGATGTGACCTTGCCGTCTGGGCAAGATTCCTCGGTGCAGTCAGTGTTGACGACGAACAGCGTTGAAGACCCGGTGTCGAACAACAATCGGTGTTCCTTCGGAGGTGTTCCAATTTCGAATTTGACGCTGGAATAGCTGTTGTCGATGACGACGGGCAATTCAAGAACGGATGCCGAGACGGTGGTGGCGACGGCCAGGAGCTTCTTCATTTGGCCCACCATGGTGAAAGATGGTGTTCTGGTAAGACGGAGTCGCGGGTGTCAAGAAATGAGATGCTCTTGAATTGAAGGGAGAAATACTAGGCGGCACGTTGGCGAGGTATATATTAGTACCTGCGCTCGCGCTACCCAGTTATACGGCATGAACATCGTATCTACAAGGGTACCCACAAAGACGTTTCAACGGTCCTGTCCATTGACATTCGAGCGCGAAGACCAGAAGATGACGGTCGTGTTCTAAAATTAACAAAAGTGGTCTTCTGGAAGACTTCAAAGCTAGATGAGGCTCACGGGCCGATGTGCACTGTCCGAGAAGGGGCGCGCGAGGGCTGTACGAGGACTAGCTCTTGCCCATCGGCCCGGAGAGATCCACAAGCGTGGGCCGTTTAGTACGGACAGGGCTGGAAGGGGATTGGAAAGGAGTTTTGAGCGGATTTATGACGTGCGTGAAGCACGCAGAGAACGAAACAACGACGATGTTCTCTACAGAATATGACTGATCTCAAAGCCCTGCAGGGAGTTTCGCAGGAAGCTTGTGCGAAGGTGCTATCGCTCCCTAATACTAATACGGAGTCCATAAGCCGAAGAAATTCCGTGAGAACAAATCTCCGCGCGATCCGCAGATCATGCATTCATTCCTGATGTACGAACTTGAGCTGCGCACCGTCATTGTCTTTCTTACACCTTGGACCTGATGCGTGCGATTGTTCTCCCACGATGGCAACGTCGTTCACGTCTGCAACGACAGAATGGAGCTCGTCGGCACCTGGTAGTTGTGACGCCAGCCCTGCAAGTGTAAGGTCGAAACTCCTATCGCGAGAGCCTTCCTTCCTCAGCGGGTCTACAACCTCTCAGCGTCTAGCAACTCTTCTCCGTGGATGAATGGAGACATCATGGCATTGGCCGTTACTTCTGTCGCAAGCGTCTTTTCTTGTGCGAAGGAAATCCACAAATCCTCGAGTAACTCTGGACGACGGCGAATCTATGATCCGCACGCGATTCCGACCCTACCTGGGTATCGAAGCTGTATCGGACGATTCAGCGCAGTCGAAGCGAGAGGCCGTGGCGGATATGTCGATCAGAACGAAAGCTCATTTGCCTAGTTTGCGAAGGGAGACGTGTAGAAGGTAAGAATGATTTTGGAGGTTGAGGGTGCGAGACGCGAGACGCTGCCGCACAGCCTCCGCATGCCTGACTGCGGCTGAGAGTCAGCTCAGCCTGGTTGCATCGGTGGGCAGGCAGCACTTCATCCTTTCGACGGTTGTCTGTTCATCTCCATCTTCATAATAGACCAGAAACAAGAATACAGAAGACCTTCATCAAGCGCTATTTCGTACATCAAAGTCGCGCATGTCGCGCACCTTCCCCTAAGCCTCCCAGCTTCCCAATTACGCGCGAGAATGACCAGCGGAACCCCATCTTCCGCTTTCGAGCACGACCCACTTCCCGACTCTACCACGCATTTCCGCCTACTACACATTCTGTGTGGTGACTTTGGCCAACACGTCGAATGCGAGATATCCTCATGGCTGATTGACGATGCAGCGTCGTACTACGCGATATCGTATACCTGGGGCGACCCAGCCGAGACGACCGAAATCACTGTCAACGGCAAGCCGCTGGTTGTACGTCGGAACTGTGAATACGTTCTTCAACAAGCTTTTGCGACGAAAGCCAGTCGGTATTACTGGGTCGACGCCATCTGTATCGATCAGACCAACATACAGGAAAGGAGTCATCAAGTCGGCATCATGGGCGACATCTACTCAGAGGCGAGACACGTATTTGCTTGTGTCGGGCCACACGCAGATGACAGCAAATACTTGATGGCAACTATTGATCGGCAGCGGCCCATTCTCGAGACGATTAACGAATGGGGCCAATCGGTTGTAGGGTATAATTTTACCCAAGAGAATTATTTCCCTGCGCTCAATCCAATCTACGGGCATATGCGCCAGCAGTTGCGATGTCTTTTTACTATACATACTTCGGAACGATTACGAATCGGCGAAGCGTTCATCTCATATATACAGAGGCCTTATTTCACACGCGTGTGGGTCTTACAAGAGCTGCATCTAGCCACTAGAATGTCTTACTGTTGTGGGGCGGACGTACAGCCAGGCGAGTGTTTCCGAGCACTAGACTCACTTGTCGACTACTGGATCAACCGTCACGAAGCACATTTCCAAGGGAAATTGAAAAGATACCAAAAATGGATTTTACGCAGATGTGTTCTCACCGACAGGCCCTCGAAGAAACTGTGGCGAGTGCTACAGCGCTCTTATTCAACAATAGAGAAGTCCAGGAGTTGTTTGCGACTCGGTGTATCAACGCAAAAGCAAGGTCTCGATGGAATGTTAGCGGTGCTTCATAACTTTCATTGCGTGGACACCCGAGATAATCTATATGGCATCCTGTCCCTTATTAGGTGGCCGCAGGGACAGGGGCCAACCCCGGATTACACAAAAGATAACTTCGAAGTTGCTAAGCACGTTCTCGGCCTTTGGTTTTGGCAGCGCATCTCTAAGTCCTTTACAAACCTGTGTTCTCGACTGTTCAAACTCTTCCACATCAGTTTAGAACTAGCATCTTTACGCCACGCCATCGCGTTACGTTCGCGCGTCATTCCTCAAGCGGACCTTCGAATACAAGGAAACCGTACTTCCCAGAGCGCCAATGCGCCAACGCATTGGAGTGGTGTACAAATCAGCGATGAAATTCCCATGTGTGAGTCCATCGGCGACCGAAGGCAGCCTAGGCCAAACTCATGCTACATGGAGCGAGAGCGGGATGGGTGCTTTGTTCGGGTACGGATAAGCTCAACAGCTACTGTGTGCGCGCCTGTAAACACGAAAGTGGGCGACTGGTGTCTAGTTGCAATTGGTCACCCTAATCTTGAAGATGGCTGTAAGTTGATACTTAGGGAGTCGAAAGATGGTGGATACTTCTTGGTCGGACCAGCATTAACAAACAATCGGGACCATCATCGAGATGTTGGGCTCGGAAACGACTCAAGATTGGTGAGATCTTTCGTAGGGTACTTGGATCCCGAGGACATGATGGTCCTGGCCTGGACGCTGGATCAATTCGCGGACAAGGAAGAGGCTTCCGATAAAGAAATCGAGAAGTTCCTTGGTATGCGAGTTTGTGGCTGGAAAGACTCTTCGTATTTTGAAGCGGCTCTGTAAGATACATCGACGAATAGCTTTAACAAAGGAGGTCAGTCGTCATGATGTAGATGCTAGTGCTACAGAGGACGTTGCCAAGCCTCTCCTAGATACATAGGACTACCAAACCATTTGGCGCTCGCACGTCAACCTAGGAAAAAGCTGAACAGGTCTGCATCCTACATCAACATAGAAGCATGCAAAGTAGGTGACCTTACGTCGATGTAGGCTCCAGACCTATTCAGTTTTGTTTTCTTGTATGAGGTGCTCGCAAGATAGGAAGAACCTTGTCCAGGACCATCAAAACACATTTCTAGAACTGCTGGACTTGAGACAGTGTATGCGACATGGCGTCGTGCTGCTGTCGCAAGCTGCCAAAGTCAATGATGTTTGACATTGTTCCAAGTTAGTGTTTGGCGGCTTGTTGTTGCAGCCGGGATCCCCACATAACGTCGCCCATGTGGAAACGACTCCGCGAACGCATCATGCGTTCAGGACAAGACGGGCAATCAGACAGGAGTCGGCTGCAGATGCAGTCATTAAAGCGGTGATATAGAAGGACCGAGCCGCATCTCCTTTTTGCAATGGGATGGCCAGGAACAGGCTAGCGCAGGAACTAGAAGTGAGGTGTTTCAAGTCGACCTGAACAGGGCACAACTTCGGGAAGGCGCGACCCCGAAACAGTTCCCTCTCGTGCCATACGACGTTACTTTCACCACTGCACCGCCCACGACGTGCCCCTCACTGCCAGCAGCAGACGCTTTCATCGCTATCCCCTCGCCCTCTTGCCGTCCCGCCGTCTCGCCCTCGCTGCCGCGCCAGTGACTCGCATGTCCCCCAACGGATCTCACTCCGCTTCACCCTCGCCCGACCCTCAGCCGCTCCTTCCTCGAAACACGCCCAAATAACGCATGCGACACCTGTAACGCCTTGATCGACCCACGTACGCGACGCTCTGCTCTTTGTATTGTTGTATTTCCACGGCAACTGGAATCGCGCTACGGCGACCCTGCGCAAGTCGACCCAGCCACCGATTGCGCCTCATCTCACCTAGCCATTCCTCCGAAAGAAGATCCCCCAACGTTGCACGCGCAGAGAGGAATGAGCTAGGATGACGCGACCGCACATAATCAGAGCAGGTACGAAGATGGTAGAGAGTGCGCAATTGGAGATGCGCAGGCTAACTAAAGTGCGTAGACACCATCGACCTGCAGGACAAATCATCGCCCACCGCTCAAGACCACTCCCATCAGCCCCAACACCCTGCGCCTCTCGGTATTGGCCCAGCAGCGCCCCATCAGCAGGCTGCTATACGGCATGTAGAGCAGGAGCGCACCTCAGAGGAGGCGCGTCTGCACGATGCATGGAGCGATGCTGGCAACACGCTACGAGACGATCCCGGCTCAGATGACGACCGCACCGTCATCAATGGAAACAAGGGCACACAGCAGGACGAGCAGGCCGTCAGGCTGAATGGCGGTACATCTAGCGACGGTGATGATGGCGACATGCAGGACGCCGACGTGGAGGAAGACATGGACGATGATATGATGGATAAGATTTCGAGTTCGCCCTCGATAGACGATGGTGGGTATTCTTTACCTTGTTTCCCCATGGCCTGGCCGGCAAGACAAGAGTCTTTGATTCCGCAGTCTTCGCCGTTGCTCTCAACGGTCGCTTCTTCTTCCCTGTTTACGAACGCGCCCATTTATTTTCCTATTTCTGTCGCCAGCGCTCGAAGACCATCCAGCGTCCCAGCGTCCGACACTTCTCCCATGTCAAGGGGTCGACCTACATCGATTCCCATTTCTTTTCGATTTCCTAAACTCATGGAAAACCAGTCAGCGGAGCATCATCGTGGTGAGTATTCCTGGACAAGGGCCGCCAATGCACTGGACGACAGCGACACCGCACGGATTGAGGTCGGCATAAGCCCAAGGACGAGACAACTCAAGGCTGTCGAACGCCGTATCGAGATGAGAGAAGACTCGCAGGCATCTCTAATCTCCGAGCTTGACGAGGAGCAGGTCAAAAGCATATTGAAACCGATCAACCGCACGCTTCTGGACACGCCCGACGATCCTTTCTTGGAACCCAGCCTGGATTCACCTCGAGGGACGAGCAGAACACCTTCTCCTGATGGTGGGCACTCCGAAGACGAGGAGGGCTCTTGGACCACCGACAGCGATGCCGACTCCTGGAATGAGGACATGGACCAAGACAACGATGATGCATCCAACGACGTCTCTTTCTCTGCTGATCCCAGATTTATCGACTCAGGATGGGGAGGCGAATGCTTACGAGAAACAGAGGACATTGACTTCGAATTCGTTTACGCCCTGCACACATTTGTCGCGACCGTCGAGGGTCAGGCAAACGCAACGAAAGGTGACACGATGGTGTTACTTGACGACAGTAACAGCTACTGGTGGCTAGTACGAGTAGTCAAGGATAACAGCATTGGTAGGCATCCGTCACCAATTTGAAGCTTTCGCTGACTCAATCTACAGGGTACCTGCCCGCCGAACACATCGAGACACCGACGGAACGCCTGGCCCGCCTCAACAAGCATAGAAATATAGACCTCTCCGCAACGATGCTTGGTGATACGGCCGAGAAGTCCAAAAACCCGCTTAAGAAGGCTATGCGACGAAGGAACGCTAAGACCGTACAATTCGCTCCTCCTACCTACGTCGAAGCCTCCGACTACGACTACTCTTCCGACGAGGGTGAGGGCGAACTTTTTGGTGGCCCGGAGCCAAAGCAAATGCAACAGCAGCAGGCAGCGACACAAGATGGCGATTCTGCGCCGGAAGAAAACCTCGAAGTGCAACCTCTCAAGGTTAACGGCGCAAAGAAGGATGCCCAGACTGATGGTGATGCGCGAGGTTCAAGCGAGGAGTCTGCCAAACGAGGAGAAGACCGAGAAAGAGGTAGTGAAGATGTCGACCGGCCTTTGGACCCAAAAGTGTCTCGGAATGGCACTCTCCGCAATACGGACTCTTTCTTCAAAGACGAAAACACCGAGACACGCAAAATTACCCTCACCCCGAATTTGCTTCGCGACGACTCCAGTACATCGACTACGGGCTCCCGCGAGCGCGGGCCCAGCCTCGAAAGTCTGGAGAAGAACGGTTTCGCAGACAAAGTCAAGGACGACAAGAAGAAGAAAGAGAAGAAGTCGGGTATGCTCAGTGGGCTTTTCAAGCGCAAGGACCGCAAAGGCAAGGGTGCACAAGATTCCGTGGACAGCGACATCGAGAAGCCGGAAGAAATGGACCGCAGCTCGCCGCAATCAAAACCATCGGATGAACTCGCAGAACGACCGTCAGCTGAACAGGCAACAGCACCAGCACCGCTGAGACAGTTGAGCAAGCCCAAGGTGCATCGAAGTCAACGCAACCGAGACGATTCACCGCAAAAGACAAAGGGTATCTTGAAGACCGAAAGTCCGACTGAGCTGAGCGCCGAGCCAGATGCCATGTCGGACGGGACTGACAACCAGCCAGCCGCACAGCAATCTTCGTTGACCATGCGTTTGGTTCCACCCGAGCAAGATCAGGCAAACAGGCCTTCTGTGGAAGAACAGACCATGTCGCCAGACTCAACATCCGCGCCTACAAGTTCAAGAAACCCATTCAGTGGCATGATGAAGTCACCACAGGAAGGAGAGGTCAAGCGTGAGAAGGTTACCAAGGCGAAGCAGCGCGTGCAGCTGGATGACTTCGATTCAGATGAAAGCAGCGATCCTTTCGCGGATCCTGATGCTCAAGATAAGCCAGGCGAAGCTGAGAAGTCAGAGTCTACCGGGCGCCTCTCTGAGTCTCCAGTACACGTCTCCGCGGCGGATGCGCAGCCTTCACAGAAAGAAAGCGCTGTCGACAGAGAAAGAGAGTCTGAATCCCACCACACTCCAGGCTTGTCTACCGATAGCTCAAGCCAGGAGACCAGCTCCCCCATTTCGACGCCTACGCCTGACGACAGCCCTATGAAAACCATTCCAGAGAACAACACGATTTCGACTTTCAGGTCTGACAACACTTCATCTCCTACGCATCATGCATCCGAACCGGTCGGCCCTCCACCGTCAAGACCAGCACCAATTCCTACCAAGGATCGCGAACCCTCGCCCCCCGTATCCTCGGAAAGCACGATGCTTCCTGCATGGTCGGACGCCTCACTCCGCGCTTACCTCGATGACGGTAGCGAAATCCGGGATATGCTCGTTGTTATCAATGACACTACGGGTGTTGTACCTGTTGGTCGCGATCATCCGCTGATGAAAGACTATCTCTCCGAGGAGACAAAGACCATGCAAGGCCTGAGTGGTGAACTAGATCGTCTGCTCAACGGGCTCATGGAGAAGCGCATGAAGAGAGCTGGAAGCGGTGCTAGCACCGCGCGCAGCACAAGCGCAAACGGGAGCTTGAGGGCGGGGTCGAGATTCTAGACACTCGTCCCGTTGTGAGTTACATTATTTGCTTTTTCGGTATACCCTAGGGGCTTATTTCCTCTATCCTCACCGGCGTTCTGGGGATTGTGGGACGCATTATGTGGAACGAAATCTTGGGAGAACTTTGGTTTGGGCTGGGGTTCTACTTTCTTGCTCGCTTCTTTATACCTTTGCTTGTCATCTCCCATCTTACATCTCTGTTTTCTTCCGGCCTGCATCATTCGCTCGCTCGCGGCGCGAAATATGTATCCTTATAGGAGCCCTGGTGGTGGCTGGTTTATATCTTCGCTACTGTCTCTAATACCCCTCTTGATTGCTCTGACATAGCGCTCGTTTTTGTTGGTTTTCCTTGCTCGTGTTTCACAAGTAGCCTTGTACCTATCAGTCGCATTAGTGCGCTCTTACTTTCATCGGTGGCGGCGTCGTATTGCTAGCATTTAGTGTACAAACATATACCTCCTGTGGGGGTTCGCTATACACTTCTTTGTCGCATTGGTGTTTCTGTGGTGTCGCAAACCTGGTGCTGATGCATTTCGGCAACACATTCATTGACAGTCGACATCATACGAGATGAGAAGAGGATCGCAATGATTTCACTGCCATTGTTATTCGGATGGGTGTTTCCTATGTCCAAGCTTTTGGCAGTAAAAACAGTCTTCGCCGCTGCCTTCCTTCCCAGCCGCACTCAAACGCCGAAATTCCATGTTCGACCCCGTAAACACCGCGCCGATGCAAGAAGTCGACAGAGACTGCGAATTTGACGAGCGCGAGCCTAAACCGCATTATATTCCTGAACTGTCTAACGCCATCGAGAGATTCCTAGACGCTCCCTATGGATCCCAGCTCATCATCCGATTCTTCGCAGCTATACTCAGTGAACGCGAAGCTGATGAGTACTGCCCTGTGTACGCGCCCACCCCTGAACGATATCAGGATGTGTGCGCCGCAATACCGGAACTCTTGGACCCGGAGGCACTGCAGTATTTATCTAGGCAATCCGTAAGACGAGTTTTGCCTCGTATCTTCTACAAAGGATTATATTTGCACGTTATGGATGAGTACACGCATTAGACCAACTGGAAGTCAGGAGAAGTACTATGGGACAAAGGTGAAGGATATACGACAGTAACTCGCGGAAGTCAAGCCAAGGTGCTCCCTTACCATACGAGAGCTGCCTTGAAGGAGATCAAGTTTAGGGATATCTGGGACGTTCTGTGGTTCGAGGCTTTTGCCCTCAACATGGAGAAGCCCATTGGAGACCGTATGTACCAATGGATGATAAACATGTTCGCTAGGGCTATGATACAGTCGAAATCGCAGACTGTGGATATGGAGGCTCTGCTAAGAGGGTTGTGGACAGACGAACGCCTCCGATTTTGGACTTGGAAAGAGATACCCGAAGCTGCTTCTTCATTGTCAGCAGACGGTATTAGAGAGGGCGAGTTCGGAGGCATTCCACGAAACATCGCTCAGGCGCAAACTATTGACACCGACTCCTACGAAAGCGAGGATATACATGCATTTTGGTCCGCAAAGTCAGACGGGCCAGTAGCTGTATCGGCTGGAGCGTCGTCAGCAGAAAACGCAAAGAGCGTGCAAACCGACAATGGACAAAACACTTCAGATGACTCCGAAGATGAAGACAATCTTGACACGGATACTCTACGCAACTGCTACGGAAAGGCTTATCTAGAGGAATACGGACCTTTCATACAGCCGTTGGAGCATGGGAAATGGGATCTAGACATCCCCCAAGATCAGTTCTGCGTTATGTGTCTTGAGACTCACCGCCTATTAGGTGTCAAAATGAGCGCTTGTGGCCATCACTTTCACTTCGCTTACATCAAAGAATGGATGAACGGCTCTTCACCAAACTCCAATCTCTATCCAGAATGCCGAGCTCAAACTTGTAATGAACGCAGGAAGGTACAGATTACGGGGTGGATGTATGATGAAGAGGATGACACTGAGAATGACGAGGATGACGACGAGGATGAGCCTGGGTATAGTGATGATGGTGGAGATGAAGACGAAATGAGTGACTAGAGAGATGCCTTCAGGTCAGGAAATGTTGTGTCCTTAACAGTATGCAGTAGTTAGATATACAGCATCCATTGTAACTGTCGGCCGTCCTGGTGACAGTTGCCGTGTGAATTGATGTCTGGCGTCGCCTATGTACTTTGTCCTCATACATTCGTCACCTCAGTCTGCAGCGCCTTCATAGGCTTCTCATCGAATGCCGCAGCCTCAGCTTCTTCTAGTCCCAAACTCTGCGCAATGTTGTACAGCCTCGTCTTCTCCTCGTGCGCAGTGCTATCACCAAACACAGCATCCATCTCTTCCAAACTCTTGCCCCTCGTCTCAGGGATCAAGAACCACGTGAACACGAACGCGATCAGAGCGAAAGCAGCAAAGAAGATATAAGTACCGAATCCGATAGTTTCCAGCATATCCGGTGTGACGAGGCCAATGATGAAGTTGCACATCCACGTCGATGAGGTAGTCAGAGACATGGCTTTTGAGCGGTTACCAATGTTGTAGATCTCCGATGGAAGTACCCAGCCGATTGGTGCCCAAGAGTACGAGAAGTTGACGTCGTAGATGTAGATGAAGGCGATGCCCGTCCAGCCAGCTGCGGGGTGGTCCTTGAGCGTAGATCCGTAACCGCCGATGACACCACCGACAATCAAAAGGGATATGCAAGTACCAGCTGCACCACAGAGGAGGAGTGGGCGGCGGCCAATCTTGTCGATGAGGAAGAGCGCAGGGAGAGTGGATAGCGTGTTGACTAGGGATCATGTTAGTTACCAAGTCTCGTTGTGTCTGACTGCAGATCGGATGACATACCTATTCCATAAACACCGGTTGCGAGCAGACCAGTCGTCTTGCCACTAAGTCCCAGCTGACCAAAGATTGTTGGCGCATAGTAGATGATCGCATTACATCCAATGAACTGTTGGAAGAACATAACACAGCAACCGATAGCGGTACGCTTGAAAGACGGCCAGGTCGAAAAGAGCGTTGAGTATCCGGAAAGGTACAGCGAAACCCCAGACTTGCCCGGGAACTTTTCACGGTTGTATTGTTCCTCAAACATGACTTCGGCTTTGATGGAGAGATACTCCTTTTGTAGGGACTCATCATCTGGAGAGGTGCGACGAACTCGGGCGAGCGCTCGCACACCTGCTTCCTCATTGTCGCGCATACAGTAGTAGCGAGGTGATTCGGGGAAGAACAGCATGCCGATACCGAGAACAAGACCGGGGAAGATCTGAAGCGCAAAAGGAACGCGCCACGCAGCATCGCTCTGACCGGTGCAGCCGTTGGGGCCAACGTCGTTTCGTGGATCGAAGGCAGGCTCTGCCGCAGTCCCACCAGTATATGGGATGTCGGGCGCGCAACGTACGCCTCCAATGTACTGAGTACCGAATTCGAGCCAGTAGGAGACAAGAATACCGAGTGTGATGGAAAGCTGTTGGAGAACGACTAGAGTGCCTCTGATGCCGGCGGTTGAAACCTCACTCATGTACATTGGCACAATCATCGTTAACATGCCAACGGAGAAACCAGCAATTGCGCGGCCTGATTGTATTGTCAGTCTGTATTATAGTTGTATGTCGCCGGATATCTCATACCTGCAAAAGCCATCGGAATGTTGATCGCGCCAGCTTGAAGCGCAGAGCCAATAGTGAAGATGACGACAGCGATGATGATAGATCCTTTGCGACCGAAGCGATCGGCTACTGGTCCGTTGACGAGAGAACCGAACCAAGCAGCGAGTAGCAATGTCGAGACGAACCAGCCCTTGAAGGAGCTGTCTGTAGAGATTCTTGGGAAGGATGCCGCAAAAGACTCCATGGTCAGCACTCCGGAGACGACACCTTGATCATAACCGAAGAGGAACCCGCCCAGCGAGGCGAACTATGCATGTCAGTTGAAGCTGAGGTAGATTAGGCTTGATATCGACTTACAGCGGATAGACCAAGGAGGTATGGGTTTTGTCTCAGCTCCTTATAGACACCAATCTTTGGCGCGGCTGCAGTAGCGGTAACATCCTGAATTGAAGACATGCTGATTGTCTTCTATGTGGATATGCCAATGTCGGCTCCGATGGTTGGAATCAACTATGAGTAGGCAGCCTAGTGATGGTAGTGTCGCGTGCTTATATACCTTTGCCGATCGCGTGAGAACTTCACGATCGTAGCTGGGATCCGACACCTTCGGAGTACTGTCGTCCGACTCCACGATTCTCCATGCGTCTACGCCGGTAGTCGTAAGTGCCATGCGGGATCCCCGCATGGTAAAGTTGCCTGATTCAGTTGTGGGAACTGGGGCTCCAACATGACTTATGCTCGGACAGCTGTCGTCCGAACTCCACAACGCCAACGTGATCTTTAGATCATAGTTCGTCTCATGTAGTACTGTAGGTCTGTTCACCTTATGCCAGTCTTTTCATCCGAACATCTCGTACATTTTCGCATATCATTAAGAACTTTGTGTCTTCTATTTTCAGGATAGCCGATGATGCCAGCCGAATCAAAGGTGGACGCCTTGCGTGCAGCCATACTCGATGTGGCCAAGCGCACGGAAAACCTTCTGTCTCGCCAAGCGACCGATCCCGGTCATCGCATGCTCGTTGCCCTTGCGGGCGTACCAGGTGCGGGAAAGTCAACAGTGTCTGATGCGCTCGTCTCAGAGCTTGCTGCACGAGGTATCAAAGATGTTGCTGTTGTACCGATGGTAGGGGCCAAACGCAAGCCGCGACGCCACATCTCTGACGACCACTAGGACGGCTTCCACTACACTCGGGAAATCCTGTCGACTTTCGATGATGCTGAAGTAGCGTTCAAAAGACGTGGAGCGCCGTTTACATTTGATGCGAAGGCGTGTGTGACGCTTGTCAAGACACTCAAAGCAGCTCCCGTCACCAAAGACGACGAAGCCGACATCTGTATTCCTGCACCCGGCTTCGACCATGCTGTCAAGGACCCCGTGCAAGACGCTATCGAAATCTCCTCTCGTACTCGACTTGTTATTGTTGAGGGCAACTATACACTTTTGAAACAAGACCCGTGGGATCAAATTGCACAGATGTGTGATGAAAGGTCGGTCATGGTCATATTTTTCGCCTGGCGGGTTGGTGCTGACACTTTGTAGATGGTTTGTCGACGCGCCTGTGGACACAGTTCGTGATAGGTTAGCAAAACGTCACCTTGCTGCTGGCATTGAGACGTCGATGTCAGCTGCAATCGCACGAGCAGAGGAGAACGACATTCCAAACGGCGAACTGATACGATCCATGATGGTAAAGCCGGATGTCATCATCGAGAATTGAGGAATCGTGCCATTAAGATTGCGCCCGAGGTCAAAAACCGGACGTAGTAAAATCCCAATCGAAGGAGTTGAATAACTCATTGGATTCAACGGACCATGGAAATGTACTCAAGGCATCTTTATCCAGCTCCAGATCCTGCAGTGTACCGGAGTCCAACTCGCTGTCAGATACCACTTGGTCGAGGATGGCCACGCAGCGTGCTGATAGCGAATCCCCAACAAGCCGTTCGCGGAAGGTGGTTCGGGCCAAGCGAACATCTTCGTACCAGATTGCAGTCTCCTCAGCGCGTGGGAAGCTGATGATACAAAGCGTTATTACTAGTGCCGCGTGGAAAAGGAAGTACCTGTAACTCCATTAGCATATTTGTTCATTGGGGTCCAATTGAAGTGCTTACGTCGCGTACCAACCCTCAAGTCTATTCAAGTCCTGTATTGCATACTGATGTATCGAAACCACTGTAGAATGCGCAGCTTCGAGACAAATTCGCTTACAGTCCTCTTGGCTTGACTGCATGGCTAAGTCTGGGATCTGGCCTCGCTCCGAGATGGCTCGGCGCAACAAGATCTGTCGGAAAATGATAATCTTGAGATTCCAGAACCTCCACCACAGCCGAGAGCGGGCGAATGAGTACCAAGGAGCCGATAATCTGGGCGCATGCGAAAGCTGGAAATACGTCGGAACTGTGTGTGTCCACGCATCCATGGAAGCGTTCAAAGCGAGAGCGGCCTCCGCAGAGAGCCCGGGTTCGGCTAGTAGTTTGTTTGAGATATGGTTCGTCTGTAGGTGAAAACTACTCTGCACTCTGAGGGAGGAGTATATAGTCGGTTCTTCAACCTCAGTGGGCAGCGTTGTAGTTTGTGGTGTAAGTGACTAGCATGGGTCAGTTTCGCAACGGCTATACAAACTTCGCTGGGCGGGCATACCTCGTCGTGGATGTTCAGCACAGGATGAACATCCATAGTCTCTTGGTCAGGTAACATGATAGCGCGACCGAATGTCGTCGAAGCTCCACTGTCGAAGATGTAGAGACCCCACCATACTCTACGTCTCGTCTCGCGCTCGATCAGGGTGATGTTCCAGTGAGGAAGTTCTCTGTGGAGGGCTAGACTCAGCGCTGTGCGAACGCCGAGGCCCAACAGATTCCATCCTGTATTTGGGCTATTGCGCTTCTGACTAAGGTTGCTCAGAAGTATGAGTGCTTGTACAGAGGTCAGACTGGCAGCCTCAAACACCGACTCTTCCTGACCCAAGGTCAAGGCCCGGCGATATAAGTAGTCTTCGAGTCCTATTTGATCGTTGTTCAACGACCACGCACCAAGTGCTATGATCGCATGAGAAAGCATGTTCCATGACTTCTTTGAGGGCCGCGGGACGACTTCATGATATTGCGCTCGGAATGTTGCTTCGTGAACGAACGGATAGACCACGTGGTAGTTGGAAAAGTAGGCATCAATCAAGCTCGATGACAGTTGTGTTGTGAGAGCTGCATGCGAAATGTGCGATGATGCCAATACATTTCGAAAGGAAGCAGATGGAGTCGCCGCACTCTGCTGAGGTCGGGGAAGAGACTGGTGCAGAAACCCGGCCCAGTCAAGCAAGCATCTGAGAAAAACGACACCAGAAGTCGAACCTAGATAGTTTCAGTCACGTGTATTGCTCTATGAGTGAAGCAACTGACCCAAGTAACCCACACCAGTAGGCTCGACTGACAGGGCAGCCATGCCATCAGTCAGCCCATCGACGTTAACGTCTTCTTCCTGCCAATTGAAGCCATCGACATTGTTGGGCACAGCTTCAGGTAACGCAGGCTCATGTGTACTTGAGTGCGTGCTGCCCTGGGGGCTTGGAGCTACTTCTGGCGTCTGAGACTGGATAATGACCGATCGTGCAGAACCAGCCACATTTGGAGATGACAGCAAGTCTTCAATATCAACTCCCGGTAGCAACTGTGTGACCAGAGATTCCAGGCTGTGCAATCGCTTCTCCACACCCGTCAGGTATGCCCGAGTTAAAGGTGATCTAGCGACTTTGCCACTGTAATGGCAGTGCGAGCCGCTATGGGCGCACGAAGTGCATATTGGCGCGTCTTTCGAACACTTTAGCTTCTTCGCGCGACAACGATCGCATGAGAGGGCATCGCGTGGTCTTCGGTGCTCCATGCATGGAGCTTCTCTAGTGTGCAGAGGTGGGGGCGGGATGCGGATGCAGAAGCATCGCCCACCTTGGAGTGCAGCTCGCGCGCTGATCTATGCCGAAATCGGGCCGAGAGGCTGCGCACCTCTGGCGTCCTCTACTCTTGGACGACTGCTCATTGACTTCGTTGGGAACATCACAGACACCACGACCACTCATCGTCTTCGTCTTTATTCTTATCGGGATAGCAGTGTGCACTACTTGCGAAGGTTGCAACAACGCCGCAGCACGTACTACATCCGCTATAGCACAGAGAAGGATCACCATGTTGCGGAAGTATGATGCATCGTTGATCATATGACATTTCTGATTCGCATAGGCCTCTGAATCTCTTCGCCGTGTTGATGCAGCTATAGATAGTCGGAGAGACGGTCTGCGCAGCTCCAATTTGGCTACGAGGCCTTATCTCCGTAAAGAGTTGGCGAACTCACCCTGCATGAGATCCGCTTTCTCCGAGCTCTCCACCAAATGCCAAAGCCAATCCTCGAAGTGAATCTTGCTAAAGTCTCTACCTCTTGGAACATCATACCTGTTAGACCTCCATCTGCTCGACATCAATCCAAAGTCTGGGTGAGAGGCTGGCTTGTCTATCAGGTCCTTCATCTCTTGTGTGTTCTCACCGTCTTCGCCTACACAGATGAGCAACGCCTTGTACGCCCTCTCAGCGAATACACTTGCTCGCGCCTCATCACTATGGAAGACACTGAGCTGTACCGCATAGCAGTAGATATCCGCCTCTGGGACTTTGGCAGCGCCTTTGAACTCCTGGAAGCCATCAGTATAGGGCTTGCAGTCTCACTAAAAGTGACCACGTACCTTGTTTAAGAGTTCGATTATCTTCCGAAGGTCCAAGAATGCCTTTTCAGGCTTGGACATTGCGCGATCTGTTGTAGCAAATGTGTCCCGGAGACGAGAGATTTCTTCACGACGCGCGTCGCTGGCATTCCGATGAGTAGCTGAGAGCGAGCAGATTGCACACGAACAGTCGAATCCGAAGTGCTTTTTCAGGTAAGTTTGGCGAACACTGGCACTTCCAGAGTCGGTGTAGCAGATACTTATCTCTTCTCCAGCGCTGAGATTGCGAGTGACATGGATAGTCTGCATCCCCATGGAGTCATTCCAGTTATAATGACTGTTTGGAAGGCAGCTGTGATTGATAAAGCTGATGGTGAGGAAAATTGCAATGGCGGACAAGTCGCTGCCGCAAGCCATCGAGTTGGTTTTGAAGATGCTGCCAAGGACGTGCTTGCCAGTGTAGCTGTTGTGAAGTGAGAAGTATTGTCGCTGCTGATTCTTGTCCAGAGCCTTTAGATCTTGTGCGAGTCGAGCCTCCAGTTGCTCATTCGACATGTTGTTAGGTATCATGAGCAGCGGTTTCTCAGAGAGGATGCGGGTGCCCTCAGGAATGTCGGAGCGAGCTACCAGACCTCTGCCTTTTCCGGGGATCGTTTGAACATCGTAGAGTGAATAACTCATCGTATGGGGTGTGGCCGTAGTCGAGCTATGTAGACCTCAAGTATATATTCTTTTGCAAGTGCCGATGCGATAGCAAACTCTGATGGTTAGCACGCTCTTGTCCTGCTTTGGCGAAGACGTTACTGCGTACACTGTGCGGTGAGCGAGGGCAAGAGAAGTGTAGCAGTCTAGAAGGAATAGATTGTGAGTGAGTGAGCTTCTCTACACCAGTTAAGCGCAAATGAAAATCTCATCACATTGTCAAGCCGCTCTATCACCGCTCAAAACCATTGTTTGCTCTCAAACCATTACATCGACATTGTAACACGTATGTAGGTATCTCTCACACCTGCAGGCTCACGAATCAACCGGATTGGGACCGTTAGAGCCAGTCTTCAAGCTCCGTCTCACTCAGACCTTCCAGAATATCACCTTTGCTCGCTCTCCATATCAGAGACGATGCTCCAAAGTTGAATTGCGTCTGTGGGTCGACTTGAAAGTTCTTCATTGTCTGTGTGTCCAGACTATCATCTCCGTCGCAAACGAGCCGGACGTCCTATCCTCTTCCCGCGAAGACGCTGGCACGAACTTGATCACCATACACAATGGCGATCTGGAAGGCGTCGTAATATAGTCTCGTCTCCATGGTAGTGGCGCAACCTCTGAACTCTTCATTTAAGAGGCGTACCATGTATCGGCAGTGCACTAGTACTTCACCCTAAAGCACACGAGCAGAAGTTAGCGGATGTCCTGAAAGCTGTACTGGAATTTATTCTTGTGTCTGGTTTCGGTCTAAAAGGCTGTGATTACTATCACGATTCGACTAGATAATCACGTCGCGCGTCGAAAGCCCCTTGCTTGCCATAGCAAATCATAATCTCCTCTCACTCTCCAATGTCGCGAACTGCATATATCATCTGGCTGTTCTTCATGATATTCCAGCTATGCTTTGAATTGGGCATACAAGAGTGGTTGATGAGGCAGATAGTTGGGAAAATGCCGGCTGTCGGTGGTCTTGACTCAGATGGTAAAGCATTCGTCTGGATGGTACCGGTAAAGAAATTGCCGCTGGGGTAGCTATTAAAGAGACCAAGATACTGGCGTTGTTGATTCTCAGAGAGAGCTCTGACTTTCCTCACGATGTCATCATCGAGGCTGTCAATCTTGCTAGCCGATGTGAGAAGGGGCTTCTCACACAGAATTCATGTTCCCTTCGGCATGTCAGAGCAAGCTACAATGCATCTTCCTTTTCCTGGAACTGGTCGTATCTCGTAAAGCGGCGCCCTCGTCGGTTCGTCTGCACGGGATGAGGATGCATTGAGTGACATGTCGGATTGATCACCAGAGTTGGTCTAGGCACTTCGCAGATGATTAATGACCTGCGCAGATTATGTATTAAGTATAACTAGTTGTGAACCAATCAAATATCTGAAAACATGTCGAGCTTGCTCTCATACTTTGTCCGCAAAACGACAAATCGCTGCGACTGCATCTAGCCAGCACGTTTTTCCGTAACTTCTCTAGTGCAACGGATCATACATGCATAGTCATGCGTCATGTACGAAGGTAGGAAATGTTCGTTTGTCTCAATCTCGTGGATGTACTAAGTAGGTGTGATTTCCAACTGCCAACCACGAGACAGTACGGTAGGTACGTGACATTATATCAGCCTTGGCAGCCTGACCCGGCGCGACCTCATGCGACAAGCCTACCTTTACGAACCAGAAAATGGCGAGCATTGTCTTAACAATTGGATGTTTTACTCCTACGTAGCACCAAGTTTTGGGATTCATCCCGCAGGTCACAAGTACCTTTCCCATTTCCGGCAACAGCCCATTGACAGGTGGCTTCCTGACGTAATCACAAACGCGGGATTGCGGGATCCGTCGAGAAGAATCACACTAGAAACGAAGGAACGCGGCTCGGACGGGCCAAGAGACGAGTTCTGGTTCGAACGTGGATCCCGATAGCTCAGTCATTACCCTGTCCCAGGAAAGTGCAGTGCATTCTTGATCTCGAACCAGGTTCCGTTGAACGACTACCACTTCACTCTCAGAGTTACGCACAACACATTTATTCCTAGAACTGCCTAACATCTGAGCGTTTGCAACCAGCGATCACGTCATACCACCAGCTACAACACTCACCTTCCACCCCAGCCTATTCCTACCCTCAATACCTTCCTCAATCATCCCGCCGGCTTGAAAGCACCATTATTACCAACATGCTCATCAACTCTACCCTTGTCGCTACCGTGCTCCTGCGGTTGGCTACATCTGTAGTCGCTCAAGGTGTCAGCCCTGACTTCTCACCCGGTCGCTGTTCCTTCGACGCTGTCGTCACTCAGGACTGCTGGGACAACCGCGCAAACACTTTCGTCGATCTATCACCCATTTGCGATGGTGCTGGCGCCCAGTTCATGGAGCAGACCGACTTCATTGACCTGACCGATGGACTGACGCTCACGGGCGTGGTTGCAGGAAAAAAACTAAAGATTGGATTTGAGAGGGATAGTATCGGATGTGTGTACTATCGCGAGCCACTGGGATTCCAAATCCACTGACGCGGGACAGTCATCTACGGCGACGCTGAATGGCCCAATCAGAATGGAGACAGCGAATTCAGCTGCACTACTAAGCCGTGGGATAACCTGCCGCTGGATTGCAACGATAGCAACCGCAAGCATCGGGTTGGTCCCCAAGATACCATTCTGCTTACTCCTGCTGACCATTATCAAAGTCCCAAGCCTTGACCTGCGAATTCGACTGCACAAAGCCCGAGTCAGACTTCGCCGTGAAGCGCGCGCGCTCAGAGCAGCTCCCTGAGAACCTTTCGACGCCGCCCAATTCAGTCGCTGCCAGCTCAACCTCGGATAACTACGCCCCAGGATTCTGCTCCTTCAAGCTGCAACTCTTCCAGCAGTGTCTTCACACGCCCGCTGAAGGCTGGCACAACCAAATGCTCGGCATGCTCTACAGCGTTGAAGACAACAACCGCGAAACTGCCGTCATATACCCCGAAGGCACTGGTCGTATCGACAAAGGTGGTGTGAGACTGATGGGCATGGGTGGCTTGATTGTAGTGTACAGTCCGCAGGACAGGCAGACGTACTTTTCGTTTGATCCAAAGGGTGGCTACTGGAGCACCCTAACTACCAATACCCCGGATGCGAAGGGCATTTGCTCTTGGAACCCGTGGACGCGTGGCGAGACAGGGTGTGATGAGAATCACCAGAACGATCACCCGAGAGTAAGTTATCCTAGGATCTCTTGATGGTATGACACTAATGGTGTTGCAGCTCTCGGACATGACCTGCGGGTTCTGGTGCTAGGAAGCCCGGAGTAAAGCCAGGGACCGCATATTAGACAGATGCAACATTGGCGTCATGTTGACATTGATCGAGGTGGCTGTCTGGATATATTGCGTTGCTGAAGGGTCTTGGAGGATATCTTGAAGGTACTCACCTTCAAGATCAACAGGTGCTAAGCGTGCTGGCGTTGCATGTATGCATATCTCCAGGGGAAATATAATCCTACTTTCTGTCAAAGGCCTGCAGCCATCCTTCCTGCCTGGGTACATGCTTATGCAATCGTGCGCTAGTAGAAGCTTTGACATCCACGGATGTCATCGAGACGCGACCTCAGGCTGTTCGTGGCGCGTGAGTAGCAACAATATATATCCCAGCCACCAACCGTGCCAGATCGAGACACGGACGAAGACGACAGGAATGACGTTCGTGGTCTCCGCTCACTGCCCATTGCCCGGGTTGGGTGCTGTGCCACGCGTAGAGTGCACGAGCAGATCACATGCCGCGAGCAGTAGGTACAGCCAAGAAGCATCGGTCGCCCTGACGTAAGCAGCGGTTTGCACGGCCACTCTCAACGCGTGACCGGCAGTGCATCGTGAGGTACCCGAGGCGGTTTGCGACTGTTACGTGGTGTTGTGGTTCAAGATTGGAGGAGCGGACACGCCATTCCGTAATAGCCAAAGCCCCCGCGCTCGTGACCCGCTCCCGAGTCCTTCGACGCCTCAGTACCGTAAGCTCAAGTCGACGATAACAAATAGCAGAATTACGCGGAGTCATACACGAAGACCTTCCTGTAGGCGTTACCGTTGCGCACACTCGCTGCATATTGCATGCAGGTACCGTCTCGCTGGATTGAGGAGCCTCGGCGGTATTCCAGCCCTTATCAGAGCCAAAGTCCGCCAGCTCTCAGCCGGTGCAAGCCGACCGTAATCCACCACCACCATGTCAACAGCGGGCTCCAACGCTTCTCCACCGCCGCGCACGCAGAATGCCCAGCACACGCGCACCTACCAGGCCTGCATCCCGTGCAGACGCCGCAAGGTGCGATGCGGTACGTCTAACGCTGTCGTGAGCTTATCGCGCAATTGCTGATATGGCTGTTTCGGCCTCCAGATCTTGGCCCTGTAGATAACCCACACGATCCGCCCTGCGTGCGATGCAGGAGGGAGAGTAAGGAGTGCTTCTTCTCTGCGACACGGCGGAAGCGCAAGGCCGACGGCGAGGACGACTATGACGAGGTGGACGACTACGAGGTGCGCAATGGCAGGAAGCGTCAGCGCTCCGATGGCCTGCCGGAGCCTCTGATCACCACGGCGAACAACCCGGCGTATATATCGCAGCCTCTAACCCCGGGCGGCTCCATCGGACGATATGAGCCGCTGCGGCGTCCAAACACGTCGGGCGGCCACCAGCCCACGCCCAACGAGGAAGAGGACCAGAAAGTGAACAACGAGACGGTCGCGACGCTGCAGGCGGGCGAGGTCTACAGTGGCCACGATGCGCTGAACCTGCTGTTCGAGGCGGCCGGCATGAACAACCACCATCGCACTGGAAGCAGCTCGAGCATGCAGCGACCGACCCTAGGCAGCACACCAGGCTCGCAGACCAACTTCGCAAGCCCTCGGCCCAACACATCCCATGCGCGCGCCAACTCGCAAGCCACCGTCGAGCCCTCAGTCGATCCGGCTATACAGCAGCCCATGCTGCCCGACCCTCCGAACGAAGCTGCCTTCGCCGACGCCGTGAGAGCCTGGTCAAAGTTCCGCTTTGTGCGCGCAGGATGGCTCACGGCAAAAGAGGCCATCGCATACATCGACTACTTCTACGCCTTCCTATCGCCCCTCACACCAATCGTCGTGCCCGACTACCGCGACCATGCCTTTCACGCAAAGCTGCTTAAGGAAGAGCCCATGCTGGTCATCACCCTATTGACCATCTCAGCGAGGTACTCCCAACCCAGCGGTTCGAGTGGTGTTGGCGCAACGTCTCGGTCGTACCTCATTCACGAGAAGCTATGGAAGTACCTGCAGGGCATGATAGATCGCATGATCTTCGGACAAGAGCAGTTCGGCGGCGGCTTCTGTGGCGCAGGCCAGCAGCCTGGATCCGACGTGAACCCTCTGTCGCGGAAGGGCCTTCGTACACTTGGCACTGTCGAGAGTCTGATGCTCCTTACCGAATGGCATCCTCGCGCGCTGCACTTCCCTCCTGGTGATGACGACGACGAGCTCGTTCTACCCGACGATCCCTACGAGGCAGGACCCAAGGCTGATATGTACAAAGGCGTGGGCGACAAGCGCATCGACAGTTGGCTGGAGCCGTGCTGGCGCAGTGACCGCATGTGCTGGATGCTGCTGGGCAACGCCATGACGCTTGCTTTCGAGATTGGTGTCTTCGACGAGACGAACGAGACCGAGTTCGAAGAGGCAAATCAGCACCTTTCACATGCGACAGTAAAGGCCTATTACCGGAGGAAGAACCATCTTCGCGACTTGCTCATCATATACGTCACCCAGACCAGTGGCAGATTGGGTCTTACATCCATGCTTCCCAAGCTTGAGCGGGATGAGAACCTAGTCGGCGGTGCTTCACCACTTGAGCTATACAAAGAGCGCATCAGTCGCATCAAGGCTCCTCCAGCTCAGTTTGGAATGCGCTCAGATGGCCAGCGCCTTCCGCTCGAGTCCATCGCTACCCAGGAACGCCATGCTGTTCAAGATCTTGTGCTCGACTTCTGGGCTCGCATTGCCAAGATCATGGAGATGGGCAACCTGAAATTGTTCTCCAATCGACGCAAGACCAGGGAGTTGCTCAAGTCAGGAGGTTACGAGGAGATGCTGAAGTTCTTTCAAGGGCCACTGGTGGAGTGGAGGAAATGCTTCGACCGAGCCCCTCAAGGTAGGACTGTCACTAGACTGTTCTCACGTGTTTTGTCTAACAGCTTCTAGTACCGGCGCAACTCCGCCATGTCCTCATCATCGAGTTTGAGTATACGCGTGTGTATCTCAACTCGCTCGCTCTCCAGGCAGTGGTAGAACGCTGCACACACAACACTCCGCTACAGACACATGCTCAGCCCAATGGCATGAACGGACGCACTCCAAATGGCAATAGCAACGGCAGTGGCAACGACGACGGCGGCGCAATTCCATTTAGTACACTCGTCAAGTGGTACGCCAACGATCGCCACTACATCAACGAGGTCATTGACGCGTCGCGCAATGTACTCAAAGTCGTGGTGGAGGGTCTGCATCCTGGTGGCTACCTACGGCATGCGCCAGTGCGAACGTTCTTCCGCATTGTCAGCGTAGCCATCATTTTGCTGAAAACATTCGCGTTGGGTGCAACCGAAGAAGACGTGGCTGTCAGCCTTAGCCTGCTGAGCGACTCGGTCGATGCCCTACGAACGAGCATAGTCGACGATGTGCACGTCGGTAACCGCTTCGCTGACCTCGTCGAAACCCTGACCCACCGCATCCGTTCGCGCTTCGTACGCCTTGCTGCCAACGGCTCGAGTGGCATATCCCGCGCTGGGAGCAAGAGCCCGAACCAGGCACCATTGATGCCTCCACCCGCTCCACTCAACAACACCAACCACCTTGCACCGTCATACATGGGATCACAACAAACAGGCTTCTCTGGTACTGGTACCAGCGTGCCCGGCTCGCCTAGCATGGGCCTCGGTGCAAGCGGTCGCGCGACACCTCTCTGGGGCATTTCAGCCGAACCCTACGACCCTAACAGTAACTCCATCAGCATCATGCCGCCGCCTGGCAACTACCAGAACTACCAGAACAACAATACAAATAACAACTCGAACGGCAACAACAATAACAACTGGAGTCAGTGGGCGAATAGTGGAACGAGTTGGGGCGCAGGCCAAGATCAAGATTGGCTTGCACTACCACTTGATCCTTTGCTGGATCAGTGGGGTGCGGAGATCAACCAAACAGCCATGGGACCGGATATCGGTGGTATGGACATGTTAGATATCCTTTTGAACATGGGAGGGCCGCCGGGTAGTGCCTAGACTACGTGTTCTGGGTCATGCCGACGGAAAGGATGGTGGGTTTCGATACGGGAGAATATGTCAAGGTTTCATGGTAGGCTAGGGTGCCACGATGTTACGAAAAGGTCATGGAGATGGGATGGGATGGTCGTCTACATCTCTAGTTGATATGATTATGGGGGAAAACATTGACACGCGATATCAATCTATGGGCTGCGGCTTCGAGCTGCTTTTCATGTTTAGTTTGTCCGGACGGCTAATTCTAGTGAGACACATAAGGATTGAAGAAAGAAAAGCACGGTGTCTGCTTTCACTTGGTCATGAGATTCTTGTCCTTTAAGTAGATGTGATGTGACCTGAGGTGCGTACTAAATAACACGTTCAGCCGTGACTTAACGAAAGCTACTTTGCGAATCGCCATGGCTACGGTCTTCCACAACCTCTCCATTTTGTCGATGACCGATTGGTCCACTTCACTCCATGAATTTCCTCGGTGTAATTTTGACACGCACAGGCGTTGGTATCATCAAATCCGAAAGCGACATGCAAAGTCAGAAAACACGTACGAGCATCGAACCCGCCCCGAGGGTCAGGATATCTTTGAAAAGAGGCTTTGGACGGAGAACATTGAGTGATGGGAACGCACTTTTGCCTTGAGCAAGAGCACATTACTTTGGAAGAAGTGTTTTTTTTTGGTATGTATTTCCAGTGAAGGACCTGAAGCTGGCTTGAACTTCGTAAATCGTATAGCCTGTGGCAAGACCGAAGAACATGAGTCGTAACGTGTCGGAATTTGGCATCTCACACAGAAAGATGGGCATGTTGACTAAAGAAGTCGTCGCCAAGGACGAGCTTTTATAGATTGATCTGCTGTAGCACGAATGCTAGAGCAATGTGGAGAAGGATTCCATGAGAGTTAATCGATGTTTTTTGTAGTAACGTATGTGCAAAAATCGCATTGCGTTATCCCAATCTCCTCAAAGAGACGTTGAGTCAATAGCCATTTTGTTCTAACAAGAGGCACAAGACATGAGGTTCGGCGGTGGTAATTCGGAAAAAAACAAGCCACAGGTCATATATTTGATGCGAGGATCTTTTTGGGCTGGAAATCCAGGAATTGAGTAAGACGAGAAGAGGAGGAGGAGGAAAGGTAGACGAGCAGTATTTTATATCCTCCTTCTGACGCACAGTCCCTCCCAAGTGAAAGATAATCGTTATTTGCTTTTCTATGTAAAGAACATGAAGCAGAGCTCTCGACCCACATCAGCGGTAATGATGTCCATTTTGGCTGTGCTATGTGCGACCAAGCGATAGGTGCGACAGCTTATGAAAGCGCTGCCGATCAGTTTGGTCTCATGTAAACCCAGTGAAAGCCATGTTTCGGCTTCCGTTCTGTTTTAAGAAAAAAAAAAAAGGCGAAAAGACTTCAAAGCCATGACAGTGTACTCGTACCTTTTATAAGAGAGGGGAAGATTTTGCTGTAGATTCTCAAGTCAAAGGAAACTTTTGTACGTGTCCCAGTCAGGCACGAGCGATAGCAATTCTGCATTGAGTGTTTTTGAAGGCAACGCAGGGCAGCGCGACATCAAGTTGTTCGCCGCACGTTTTCGACGTATCGATTTCGAACAAGAGAGGAAAGACCTTAAGAAGCATATAGTTCCATGTTGCCGCTCTTGATCCATTGCAAAATCCTCTGTAGATGTGTCGAGAATGGATATTGCAGATCGAAAGAAGCGCAGCCATGGTGCAAGCCCAATAGCGTTTTCCTCAAATCGGTCGACAACAACCAAAGCACGACATCACATCGTTCGTTGCCAATTTTGAACTCGTGGCACGCCTCAGAAATCACATCAGGCTGATTCTCTGATGTTTTTGTGAACCCAGATAGCAAGCCGACTATCGTAGCATTTCCTTGTCTTTTAGGTGTAAGAAGAACGAGGCCAAGGCAAACTCATAATCAGAAAATAAGCACCTTTTGAGAAGAAGGCCTGAGAAGGCGCAGGCATGCTTTCACAAATCTTTTTACTTGTCGCACAGTTGCATGCACGAAAGGAGAGTGTAGAAGCGCTTGGGGGCCTTTATGTATGCTCTTGTGGAACATCGCTTGCGCCTTATCGATTGAACGAGGATTCATCATATTGTTCGCCATCATCGTCGTCGTGGTCGTTTCAATCCATACTCTAAACCAGTCCTCTAACCCCATGTTCCTTTTGTATCCTACAACACCAAACTACCTTTTCAACGTCTTCTGCTTCTCCGCATCAACAACCACCTTCTCACCCGCAACCCTCAATCCCTTTCTCCTCCTTACCTTATCAACGTATCGCTTGGCGACATTCTCTCGATCCGCCAATTCACCCAAATCCTCGAGTTGGTCTTCGGTGAAAGGTACCCAGAAGGGATCTTCATCCAGCATCTCAAATCCAGCGAAGCGCAATTGCGGGCTGGCAGAACCAGAACTGCGTTTCCTGATCTCGTCGCTGAAGCCGAAAGATTCGGCGACGGGGAGTAGCGCATTGATGGTGAAAGTCTGCGATCCAGTGGTAGATGCGGAGGAAGTGGAGGAGAGTGTTTCGGACAAGATGGTTCCACGACGGCGCGTCAAGACTGCGTAGACGCGGCCGAGGACGTCGGTGGAGGCTTGAATCTCGCAACTGTACATTGCGAGAAGCATGCGAGGTGACCAGTCCAGGAAGCCTTGGTGGATCGATGAGCGTACGGCTTTGATGACTTCACCTGTCAAACGACCGCGGTCCTGTGCGCTTTCGTCGTCGGGAATGTTGAGTATGACGTCCTCAAGGAAGACGGCGATGCCTTGAACGGGCTCGGCGCAACAAGGGCCTTGCGCGGTGGCAAGCTGGAATGCGTATGAGATTGTAGAAGAGAAGGTACGTGCAGAAATGGTGCGATCGGCGGGGTTGTCTGCGTCGGCGTCTGGGGAAGTTGACTCGCGGAGTCTGCGAAGGGTTAGCAATGACGTGAAGATACAGACAGGTATACGCACGCTCTACCACATATCCCATCCTTGGTTGCATCGACGAGGATGTTCGGTCCTATTCTACGAGGACCAAATGCTGTGATCTTTTCGATGACTTCGGTCCAGATTTCCTTCTGTCCCTTTGCCTCTGCGAACGCTGCCTTGAGCTGCTTCTTGAACTCCTCAAAACTCAGACTCTGTCCGATTTCGCGCTGCTCTGCTTCTTGTATGCCATCGTCCTCGGCGCCATGTACATGATGCGGTGCATGTTCTCCTTCGTCTTCGGCTCGTCGTTCAGAGTAGAGCTTCTTAATAGCACCTGCATTCTTACCCAGGAATTCGGTAACGCTGGCTGGTAGCGGGCGGACCCGAAGGCGTACGGAGACGTGCTTGCTAGCTGTCTCGCCAACAACAGTACCTCGTGGTAGGTTGGGATCTTTTGGTGGATTCATCTCTGTTGCAGCCACGATCGACTCTCGGTATGGTACGATAGGCTCACCAGCCTGAATCTCGCACTTGGCGAATCGCTCTTTGAGATCCTTCAGGCATCGCTCAAGATGCAATTCACCGGCTGTTAGGATGACATGCTCTCCACTTGGCAGCTGCTCATACTCTGCGCACGGGTCACTCTGAACAAGGAGCTTCAGACCCTTGATCATCTTGTCCAAATCATAGGGATTTTCAGGTTCGAGCGCAACACGCACAATAGGCTCTGAACCCATCTGAACACCAGCAAGGTTGAGCGATCCAGGAAGCTGAGAACATAGCGTACCCGACTTCAAGATGTGGCCCTCGAGTCCACCAATGCCGAAAACGACACCAGCGGGGACAGTTGTGAGAGGTTCTAAGCCTCGCCCCATCATCAGATATAGCGCAGTGATCTTGACCTTCTCCGGCTCCGGAGCGGCGTGTGGGTTGGCTGGGGTAAACTTCGGGCCGAGAACATAGACTTCATCGCCGACACTTAGAGTGCCGGAGAAGATACGTGCGAATCCGATGAGATGCTCGGCTTCTACGTCCGGCTCTGGTGTCTCTTCGACAGGTGTCTCAGTCTCGCCGATAGCGGCAGAGCTCAGAGCGTCGGTGACACTACCGACATCAGCATCCTCGCCGTTGGCGATAGCCTGCTGGCGGGCGATCTCTGCCCTCTTCTTTCGCCCCATCTCCCTTGCTTCTTCAGCCGTGAGCGCACCACCTCTTCTTTTGTTTTGGGGTAGTTCGCTGGAGGGTATAGAGATCATCTTGCTGACGTAGGCTACGACAGGATCGTTCTTGGAGGCCTTGAAACTGATCATGGCGTCGCGCACCCCTGGTGCAACGTAGTCGGCGCCCGGAGAGCTGTCGATGAGTTCAGGCATGCGCTCGGATTGCGCTTTCGAGGGTGGAGGCAGGTATTCGGTGACGGAGACTAGTAAGGCGGTCGATAGCGGAAGCCAAGCTGCGAAGAGTGCCATTAGGAGTGCGCGCGGGTCGCGCGAGCGCATGATATGTGCTGGAAGGTTAAGGTTGAGCGATTTGGTAATCTTCTCAACCAAAGCAGGATCTCTGTAATGGAAGGTATAAGTATATTGCTATGATACATGCAGACAAATCACGCAAGGAAAGGAAATCCACGCACCCCTTCCCGTTGTTACCTCCTGTCGTGGCCTCGTATACGGCCCATATGTTGTCTAGGACGAGCTGAACGAACATGGGCTTGAGGTGGCGGCCCTTGAGATGCTTGGAGCTGAGTACGCGCTTCGTCTTGGGGTCTAGGTAGAAGTCGCCCCAGAGTACCTTTTCAAGAATGGAGCGCTTGATGCCTAGTTTCTTCTCGTACAGGCTGGCGAACTGTCTTACCGTGAATGCCCAGCCGTCGATGGCACTGCCGAAAATCACATTGTTTTTCTCCGGGGCAAAATATATGTCCTCGTCATCCTTTTCCTCGTACTCGGCGGGCGTGTTAGTGGTGTCTATGCTGTCGCCGTTTTCTAGTATGGATGAGGATCGTGTGTCAGTCTTCTCAGCTGCAGCATTTAGTCTCTCTTCCATCTTCTCGCGCCATCGGAGGTCATCTTCCATGCGCTCGCCTTGGTAGAAGCTGCCCATGACGGCGTTTACCTGTTCGAGCAGTTTGCTCAGATGTGTATATGCCTCTCCAGGGCTCATCTTCAGTTCTGTGATTAGCCTGTCCATCTTGTTGATGACGAGCAAGGGCTTCAGCTTCTCTATCCATGTCTGTCGCAGGACTGTGACAGTCTGACTACACACGCCTTCGACGGCATCTACGAGCACGACAGCGCCATCGCAGAGACGTGATGCTGTAGAGACCTCGTAGCTAAAGTCTATGTGTCCAGGCGAGTCTATGAGGTTTATCAAAAATTCTTTTTGCTCTGGCTGTGCTTCGGGCGCAGACCGTCGCAACAGGGAAAAGTATAGCGAGATGGCGGACGATTCCATGGTGATGCCGCGCAGCTGTTCGTCGGGTCTCGAGTCGAGGTAGCGTATCTTGCCGGCGAGTTTGGGGGAGATGATGCCGTTGGTGGCGATGAGGGCGTCGGTGAGGGACGTCTTGCCATGGTCCTGCTGCATTCAGCACGTGTCGCCGTCACGCGGACAGTCAACCTACCACGTGAGCGAGGATGCAAATGTTCCTGATGCCATCAGCCGCCTGCTGCAGCGACACCAGCTTGTCGCTCGGAACGACGGGCATCCTGGGCGAGCGTGGTCGAGACTCGGAGCTAAAACTGCTGAGGCGGTTGTCGTGTTTCGCGTGTCGATGTAACCCAGTCGGGCGTGGGGAAGGCCGTTTCACCGCAGATCAGAGGCGCGCAGGCCAAAAAGGGCAAATTGGAAGGGTTGAGGGTATGCAGTAGTGGTTGAGGTTACAGATTCGTTGTGTGGTTTGGGATGGGCGTTGAAGATTTGGATGAAACAGAGGCGCTACCACCCCGCCGCGTCACTATGGCTCATGGACAAGCTGCACCCTGACATCAGACCCTGCTGACTGCGACATACCCCCAACGGCCACCCTGCGGCCGCGTCGCATCGCGTGTGTGTTAGTCTTGGGATCATCGTCGCCGGTCTTTTGTTTGACCTCACCACTCAGACTCGGGCCTTGGTGCTGGCCATGTCCTTATAGCCTGTGCGCCTGCCGTTGCTGGTGTGGTTCGTGCCTGCCCCATGCCCATGCATTGCCCCTGTCGCCCTTGCCGATCTCGAATAACAGTTTGGATATAACGACCGCGCTCGAGCATCGCAACGCCCCTATAGCCTCCCGCCTACCTACCTTCACCCATACCACTATCGACCCCGCTGCCCGTGAATGTGACTCCCACCGCCGGCATGGCAGCGACACTGGACGGCCAGCACACGCCCGCCAAACCCGTGGCCATCCGCTCTGCTGGCATGAAGCTGGACCCGCCCCAAATACAGAACCTCAAGATTGCGAATGCCAGTGTCGACATCATGTCGCCCGTCAACCAGAACGGCTGCTTCGAGTTCGACCGCATCATCAAGGCCGGCACCGTCGTGAAGCGCACGCGCAAGACAAAGGCACGCATGCACGCACGCTGCCGACAGGCACGCCATGACGTCTGCTAACACGTGCACAGCAATGGAAGCCCGTCTACCTCGTCCTGCGCCCCAACTGCCTTTCCATCTACAAGGACAAGGATGAGACGAAACTGCGCCACCAGATCAACCTCTCCGAGATCACGGCCGTCGCGCGCCAGAGGGACTCGAAGAAGAAGATGGAGCATGTTTTTGGCATCTTCTCGCCCGCCCGCAATTACCACCTCGGCGCAACCACCGACAAGGACGCCCAGGAGTGGGTGCACCTCATACGCACAGAGGCGCGCATCGGCGAGCACGAGGCCGAGATGACCGTCATGAGCCCGACCACGGGGAGGAAGACATTTTCAGGCTTCGGTCGCGCGACCAGAGAAAACATCGTCTCCAGCTCCTCCGAGACAGAGCCGAGACCCTCGAGCTCCATCGCCCCAGAGCATATGCACAGCGCCCGGCGTCCATCGCAAGCCCTCAACTACTCTGGCGGCGAGCGCGGCTCCATCTCCGACTTCGATTTCTCCGATACCAACCAAGCCTCCGCCCAATCCCTCCCGAGAACGCCGCAACAACAGCGAAATTCAAGCCAGCAGAGCAACATCGGCGCCATCCCCGCCAACGAGCGTGTAGTCTACCACGGCTGGCTGTATGTCCTCAAGTCCAAAGGCGGCGTGCGCCAGTGGAAGAAGATCTGGGTGGTTCTGCGGCCAAAGTGCCTTGCGTTTTACAAAAACGACGACGAATACTCTGCGACCCATATCATCCCCTTTTCCAGTATCATCGATGCCGTCGACATAGACCCAGTCTCGCGAAGCAAGCAGTATTGTATGCAGGTCATATCCGAGGAGAAGAACTACAAATTCTGCGCTTCCGATGAAGACTCACTGGCCAGATGGCTCGGCGCATTCAAGAGCTTGCTGGTTAAGAAGAAGGAGGTACCACAGACACGCATACAGCAGGCGACCCCCACCGCCATCAACATGCAGCAGCAACCCCAATCGTTCTTACCGTCACCCATCGCGCCAGCTCAGCAGCCTCTCACAATCAGATGACCACCGCTCAACATACCCGACCCTCACTCTGATAACAATTGTACATACGCTGGCACACGTATACCCTTACCAACCGACCTTCCACCGCCACCACTAATCGCGCAAACATTCTCTAACCCCATCTCCTTACGATACCATCACGATTTACGACTTTAGCCTTACCGCCGCCCGTTGACGGGGCCCTTTGATACCAGTTGGATACTTTTGCTTGACGATATTGGATATTGCAGCATGTTCCTTCGCAGCTTGTTTCCTTTGTCTAGACTTGTCTCATCTTGTCGTCAACAGTAGTAGCCTTTGTAATATGCTTGTCGCCCTTGATCTGGGCTTGAATTCAAATCTCATAGCTATGTTTGATGACTCTGCGATTTTCCGTGCGATATGATGACTGCTACAACTTGTGGCTCTTGAATTTACGATCAGACAATGGAGAACACATGTTCGAGGTATGGCGGGACGGCGCGCTTGCCCCTTTTGCGACCAATCAGGATGGCTCAATAGCTGACCAAATCGGACGCTAGGCTGGAGTCGAGCTGAACCCCGGAGAGGCTGAGGTCTTCTTCACCTGCAACTGCATGCACATACTAGCGTCTGACTCTCACTCTTCCTTTAGCTCAGCCTTTGGCCCCCATACATCATGTCTGCCTTGTCTTCTTCCCTTCCTCTCTTCGTTCCTCTCTCCCATGCCGTCGCACCTCCGCTCGCCAACTCCCAGATTACCTATCTATGGAAGGCGAAACGCAAGATTCGGAAGCCACGCCGCGTCTCCCACGTCAGTATCAAGCTGAGGTGCGGGAAGCTTCCGCTGATGAGGTTCCGCATGATGATCTGCATCGGGGCGGAAATCAGCCCCGACACGTATCGTTGAGGCCTGAAGATGAGGAGGCCTAGGACGCAGCAAGCTCGCAATGGATAGCCGACCACATCACCGAGGAGCCTATCGATTATGCTCAAGAGCTTCAATCAACCCGCTCGGGACATCAGCAACCCACCACAACGCGCAACGATGGTCCTTTGCGGAGAAATGCCCGACGACCGTCACGACACCAGCCGCGAAACACTTCACGTTTAGAGCCTAGGACGAATATTCCTAGAGAGGGACTTGCCCTCAGATTCGAGAACATGGCTTCGGTCTCAACCCCCGAAGAATCGGAAAGCAGTATCATTACCGAAGACGACTTTAGTGAGAACGAGACATCGAGCAGTGAAGAGGATACGGCCCTGAGAGACCCCCCGCTTTTACAGCCCAACCACTTTGTGATGCATCCAGTGGACGTCGAGGGCAACAGACTCTCATTTCAGGTGCAGACCAAGCCTTCAAGCAGTATCATCGCACCCAGCGAAGAATCTGATACTCCAGAAAATAAGGAAGTGGTGAGAGCGGAGAAGAAGGAGCCGGGAGACAATAACCTGCAGATACGGAGAATCATCAGAGCAACGGCGATCGATTCTGAAGCCCAGAACATGCTTACAATTCACACTCTACCGACTCTGGCGAGCCCTCGATTACGAGCAAGCGTAGCAACGACATGGTACCACCTCAATGGTAATCATCTCGACTTTGACCGCTTCGAAACCGTCTGCCTCACCATCCCACACTTGTCTGACCGCCTACAGACCCTCACCCGTGAGATTTTAGGGAAATTGCGAGGCAAAAAGATCAAGTCATTTGTAGGTGGTAGATACATCGAGCCTGGGACTGTTCTTCGAGCCGATGAATCCGATCCAACAGACTCTCAGCCTGTGATCTTCAGCTACGTGCCTTACTTCAGCCTCCAACAAGTCGCAAGGCCTACGCCTGGGCAGGAAGATTCGCTATTCCCTCCACGTACCTTGATGCAGGCTTTATATCCGTATGAATCCGTTCGTGAGCGAGATGATGAACAGTCGTACAGGAGATTTGGCAACGATCCGATAAATAACATCGTCCATGTCCCCAGCCTTTGGATCATGAACATTGGATCAACTGCTGTTGTGACCTACGGACACCAACCTCTGCCTATAGCGTTGAAAAATTCGATCAGCATTGTTGAAGAAGATATTAGGCCTCTTGGCAAGCAAGGCATCACCGAGAACACTCTGACCAAGGTCCACATTACCGACCGGGACGGAAGCAGCCTGATATATCCAATCGGTGATTTCAGATCCTATTTCCAGCTGGAATCGCGAATTCTTCACAGCGATCCGTCTCTCGAGGGGGGCCTTGCTGGCGAAGGAATTAACTTGAAAGTCGAAAATCTGGATGGAGGCACTACGGCCGGCGCCGGGAACTGGAAAAACATCATCTCTCGAGCAGCACAGCTAGTCTCGATTACCATCACGATTCCATACGACCAGATACGTGACGGACGAGATGAAGAAGCTTCAACCGCGGAACCAGCGGCGGTCGGTCCCCCTACGTGTGTTCCACCCTTCTTTCACTGGCCGCAGTCTAAAACCAACGATCTTTCCCATAGAAGTGGGAAGCCAGTAGTACTCGGTATCACCGGGAAAGACCGATCAATCGTATGCCTGGAGTACGTGGAGAAGGTTATGACGTCGAGGTATCTCGCTCGTTCAACCAGTCCTGTAGAAGATGCTTTCACTTCAACCAACTACTACTACTCCTTGCCTGAGACGGTATGTGAAGGCGTTTCAACGCGACTGTCCGAATTACAGGAGCTGGTCAAAGCAACGCCTCTACCGGATTTGGGTTCCATAAACCACAACATGATTGTCACCACTCATTGTCGTAAGATTCTGATAAGATCAGTCGAGTTTCTCGATACTGTCCGCAAGACCTTGGGTCTCTTCGTCGATGATCTGGATAGTAGCACCATACTCCGAAAGCTATCGAGCGCACTGCAAAACATCCATCAGCAAGTAACGACCATTGAACAACGTGAAGCGGTTGAGCCTTACTCCGAGGAATACACGAACTCTGATTGGAAACACCCCGACATGCTAAATAACTGTATCTGGTCCATTCGCACCTCCGCTTGGGAAGTTCCATCGTCACTCCCAGAACCTAGGAAAACACTGCAAAGGTCGATTGAGCGTTGTGGAAGATATAGACGCCCATTCAGAAGCGCAACATCTGCAATGACACATCTTGTGAGACATGTGGAGAAATATTCGACTGGAACTGCGCATCCTGACGCTGAAATACCGAGTTTCAAAGAACTGCAAGACTGGATAATCAACTCCGTACAATACCGGCGCGAACTGACGAATGCTAGCGCTCTAGTTATTCTCACTCATGCCAGTAAGATCGCCAAAGACTTTTTAGTTCGAGCCAAAGAGCTCGCCGAGGGTGTTCAGAATGAGGACGGACACTTGTCTTCATCATATAAGCTGCCGCAAGAACTGATTCATGCATTTCAAAAGATTGTGATCTACTACCTGGCGATCGAGCGAGCTTTGCACGAGAATGAAAAGGCGTATGGACTTGACCCTTCGTTCCAGAGCTCTCGCAGGCTTACAAAAGATCCATACTCGTTAAGAGATGTTGAAGTACTCAAACGCTTTGGCTACCACGCGCGACGGTCGCTGCGCAAAGCTCGGTTTCTGTTATGCGATATGGTCAGACCCGAGTCACCACCGAGCCTTCGCAAGCATCTTTCCCTGGGACCAGAATATGTGTCTCTATGGTTAATGAGAAGCTTATTGACGGAGCCTCTCGAGCGGTCCAAAACTATCGGCGACATGTATCATGTGTACATCTCCAAAGTTGTAAGTACATCCGGTTTTCATACTATATCTCCACAGGAAGGAATCTGGGGTTACCTACGCTTCAACAGCAGTGAGAATACAAAGAGATACTTTGTTGGTTTTTGCTAACATATACTAGCAATTCGAAATCAATCACAGGCCAAGTAAGCGTCTTCTGCGCGCCATTAACTTGATTCAAGAAGAGTTGCAAGTCTTACAATTAGTAAACGTCTGGCAAACTAATCTGGTACGAAACTACATGGCAGTCATCGATGACAGCACATACGAGAAGATAATACCATCTCGTCAGGCCATGTATCCTTATGAGAACGCTCTGGGTAGGGCCTGCCTAGATCACCTTTGCCTAGTTCGGCAAGACTACGCTGACTTAATCCGACGTTGTGCCCCGCTCTCCGATCGCACGAAACAAATCTTGGAGATCAACGAGGAAGATCACGGAAAGGCTATCATGGTCTTCACCGTCGTTACAGTCGTCTTTTTGCCACTGTCATTCGTTACAAGCTACTTTGGTATGAATGCCTGACATTAGAGACATGGACGAAACTCAGGCTGTCTTCTGGAGCGTTGCCATACCACTGACATGCGTGACGGTGGGCTCTTGCTTACTGATCGGATACAATGGCGATAGCATACGAGACCTACTATCATCGATGTATCGCAGTACGGTGGGGAAAGAGAGAGACACTGTTGAAGCCGCTAGTATAACCGTTTCGCAACGCCAAGGGCCCTCCAAATCGAAGGGCGGACTAGACAGCATCTTCGACTCGTTCGGCCCCGCCAACGACGAATTCTCCTGCCGAAGGCGTCACATCCATAGAGCGGATTACAATGACGATGATTATGATGACGGGTGGTATGAAAAGGGACACCCAAGATGGCTAGATAAGTACAACATGTCCACGTATCACTCTGGACAGTATCCGTGTAAGGCCGCATTGAGGAGACAAAACTCTTACCCCATTCCGACGCGCCTAGCGATAGAAGCACGCCGGCAATCACTATATCCATATCCACACGTACCCGATAGAAGATCGTTACATAATGACTACGAAGAATCGCCATACTTGGCTCCCAAAGATGTTACACTAGGCCAACCTCGTCGAACGGGAACAACAAAAAGTCGCTACGCCAACTCGATCAACCCATTTAGTCCAAGCGATCCGGTCGACCCTTTCAGTCCATATGCAGATGGCGCCAGTCGGCGCAGACTTGATGCTGCGACTGCTCGCTTACGCTCGAGTTACCGTGAAGATGACGAGTGGTTTAGTCCGTTCCCACGCGGTGGTGGTGTCGAAGCGAGATCTAGATATGGACGACGTGGTAGGATACGGAGCCGTAGTTGGAGCCGTAGCCAAAGCCGAAGCCGGAGTTGCGACCGGTTCTACGAAAGAGAACCTGTGCGTCGCGTCCACTATGCAGATGAACCTGTAAATCGTGTCAGACCCCATTTCCCATCTGGGGATTTTGATTCATATGGCGCAGACAGAGTTCCAGGCCGCACACGAAGGGGAAGAGGGCAGGAGCATGAGAGCGTGGAAGAGAAGCTTGAGAGGCTGGATAAGGAGTTGGAGACGCGGGAAGAAGAACTTCTGGGACAGCATAGGTATAAGTAGAGGCTAGGTCAAGAATCTGCGGCGATCGAAATTTGGTCGTGCTATGAAATCCGATGTCAATGTCTGCTCAAACATCCAAGAATCATACTGTACTTGTGTAAGGAAAATGTTCCCATTCCATACGTGCCTTGGTGCGATTAGGACGTGGCGGCCCAATCCTCAGCATGCAACCCGCGAAAGATCCGTGGAAACCCGCGTTCAAATTTTCACAGTTTTCGTTAAGGGAAGACGAAATTTTTGAACACCATTGAATTAACTATTACTACGGGAAGACGGCAATAGCGACAAACTAGGAATTTTTGTTGACCAAAAGCCTTTGACAGCTTCAGGTCCGCCCCGGCAACCATCTCCCCATTACGGGCGCAATCGTCCTACACGACTCATAACCCGTCGAAAGCAAGAAAGAAGAACCAAGAAAACATGCTATTTGCTACTCATGTGCGCGTGCGCCGTGGCGCAATCGTGGTATCATCCATGATCAAAAGGTAGGAAAGTCGTAATCATGACTCGCAGCCCCAAGCATATCGGGTATCACTGGTCGACTAACGAGCATCTAAACGCGGCCCTGGAAGACGGGGTTCTGGTCACCGAAGGTAGTGTTATACTCGCCAGGGGCCGGGGCACCAGTGGGGTGAGCGGGATGAGATGCTGAGGTAGTGGTGGTAGTAGGGTCGTTGATGCCAGTGGAACCGAGGCCAGTGGAACCGAGGCCAGTAGAGCCAAGGCCGGATGATCCAACAGGAGCGGCGGTGCCGGTGGTGTTGAATGCATCGTCAACCTGGGTACCAAAGCCTTGGCTGCCTGTGGCGCCGCCGGCCAGGCCAGTGGCAGCAGCACCACCCATCAGGCCTTGACCAGTGGTAACACCCTGACCACCACCGAGTCCACCGGCGTTGGTGTATTGGCTGTCGTACTGATTGGCTGATGGGTTGACGCCCTGCGAGGCTCCAAGACCGCGAGACTCGTCACCGGTGCTACCGTAGCCGCCTGCGCGACCGTGGGGCTTGCGAGTGACCTTGCCAACCTGAGGCAGGCTGGAAGTCTCCTTGGCGGAGCCGATGGAGAAGATCGGGCTCTCCCACTTCTCGCCCTTGCCGGCGAGCTCCTTGTACTCAGTAGCCTTGGAAGAGATACCTCCGGGTAGGGAGATGTTCTTGAAAATGGAGTCGTGCTGAGTAACAGCCATGTTGACCTGGGTATCCTTGGTCTTCTCCTTGACTTGCTCCTTCTTCTGCTTGCCTTGCATGATGCGGTGCTGCATAGCAGAAGCGTAGCGCTGGTATATGTTTTGGATGTTCTGAGGATCGGGGTTGCGCTTGGCCTCAGCCTCGGCGCGGTCAGCTTCAGTCTTGATGTCGAAGAGAAGGCCGTCAAGCTGGTTGGCGGAGTCCTTGATCTGCTTCTCCAAGACCTTCTGAATGACAGGGCGCATGACCTTGAGAAGAAGGGGCTTGAACATGTTGAAGAGGAGCTTGTGGTTGCTCTTCTTCATCTTGATCTGAAGGTTCTTAATGTCAGACTCAACCTTGGTGACCTTGAAGAAGTGGGTCTGGGCGTGGTTCTCGCGGGCCTTATCAGCAGTCTCCATCTCAACCTTGAAGCTGAAGCCGGAACCACCCATGAAGATGTCCATAACACCCTTGTCGGTAATGGATGGGAAACCTTGCTTGCGCTTGATGTAGTAGGACACGTCCCTGAGATCCATCTGTACACCTGACACAGAGAGCATGACCTTGTTCTTGTTCTTGCTCGAGATGGACTTGCGTCCCCAGCGCCAGTAGTTGTCCGAGCCGAACTCCAAAGAGTTGGGAGCAAGGTTGTCACCCTCGATAACGAGGTTCTCAACGACGGCGTCGACCATGGGGTCGCTGTATTCGATACGAGGGATGGGGACGTAGCGGACGTTCTCGAAGATCGACGGGAGGATGACATCGCTCAGATCCTTGAGAAGGTGGGGCTTGAAAACAGTCTGACCGTTCTCATCTTGACCGAGGTCAAGGAAGAGCTTGTTGACAGATTCAGCGAACTGCTTGTTCTGCGGGTCAGCGTCGAACTGCTCGCCAACGTACTTGAACTCGTCGGCGATGCGGTCAGTGTGTCCGCGGTAGCGGCCGCGAAGAAGGCGGTGGCCATCATCATAGATCTGGTTCCACTCCTCATTGCTGCGGTCTTCGAGGATGAAGCCCTGTTGTTGGAGAGTCTTGCGGATGAACTGGTTGATGCGAGTGAACCAGTTCCTGAGCTCTGGATCCTGGTCGGCATCCTTGTAGACCTGGTTGATTGACTCGATGAGGTCATCAAATGAGGTGTTGTTTGCGAAACGCTCAAGAAGGAGCTTAATGTTTGTCAGCCATTTGTTCTCCGAGAGGAAGCCTAGATACGCACCTTGAGATTAGCTTCAGCAGTAGTTAGGGCATCGTTTTGATGCGCACCTTGAACTGAACCCTTGCCCTGCTGGCCAAGGTTCTTACCATGGCCGGAGTACTGCTCGGCAAGGCTGAGCAGGGTCTCGATGGCACGCTGGTAATCCTGATGGCCCTGAATCTCGACCACCATCTTCTTAAGACGCCAGATGGTCTGCTCGCGGCGCTCCTCGGGCATCTTGCCCTTCAGGTAGTTGTTCAACTGGTCACGGCGGGCGCGAGCCATGTTCTTGTCCTCCTCAGAAGTGTTCGCGTCAACCTTCTGCTTGGCAGCATCCAGAGCACCACGGGCATCGATGCCAGTGCTCTGGCCGGTCTGACCCTCGTGGGCGCCAAGTTGGGCGGTGTGTTGGGGGTCGCGCGAGCCATCAGGGTTAGCAGCCTGGTTGATGTCTTTGGCATGCTCCTTCAAGTCGCTCTTGGCCTCGTCCTTGTTCTTGTTACCGAAGGGCAGACTGCTCTTAGCTTGGTTGCGAAGGTTCTCACGGTTGAGATCAGAGGTGTCGTGCCAAGTGTTGTCCTCAGCAGGCTCATCTAGCTTGTTGAGACGGTCTTCTGAGGGCTTGACCTTGTTGGCGGTGTTCTGAGCGGCATCGCCAGCCATGTCACGGAGCAGAACGGTGGCATCTGAGAGCAACTTCCTGAACTGGCCGTTGGAAATGAGGAGGGTACCCAGAGTCCGTAGACCGTCAAGCGCCTCATTTCCGTGCTGCTTTGCTGTGTCCTTATCAACAGGCGCATTAGGGAGGGCGGCGCTGTTGCCACCGAGGTGCTCTGCCTGCCAGATGAAGTCTTGGAGGAGGTTGCCCTCGTTCTTGGTGAGCAGTAGGATCTTGGCCTGCTCAATGACCCTCTTGAGGTCGGTCACCAGGTGCTGACCCTCACTTGACAGCTTCTTGGATGGTGAGTTGAGCGACCTGTGGGCAAGCGCGGAGTTGAGCGCGACATCGATTTGCTGGTTGGAGGGGACCTTTCCGTTAGAGAAGGCTAGTTACGGTCAGCGCTTGTTTACATTTGCGTGTGCGACGCGAAGGGCATCGACGCGCCATTGCACGTGTGAGCATACCCTCGAAGATGCCGTACAGCTGTAGCTTGTTGTTGACATCCTTCTCCTTCTGCTTCAAGTCCACCGGACCTGGAACGTATTAGCAATGTTTGGGGGTAAAGCGGGGTAGCTAGACATACGATTTACGGAACTCATGGTGTAGGACTGCTTCTGTGGGTATCAAGGTGGGGTATCAAAATGCAGACGCAGAGCTGAAAACAATGGAGGTAGGGTGGATGGGTATTTCGAAGGGATGGGTATCAAAGTGGTTTGTGTGGGAGGGAAGGCGGGTGAGGGCAGAAAGCAGCTTTGTATTTGGGCTGGCTGGGTAACACGCGCGATTGCAGCAACTACGTCACTCCGTCGTAGCTTGCCGCTTGCGAAGAGCCTGGACTTGGAACAGCGACCGACCACGACCAACTTGCTTGACCCCGCGACTACCGGCCACCATTTTCCCGCTGCCATCGATCGAATTCCGCGGACACGCTCAGCGAGCGCGGGAGCCCAACTCCCTGACGATGTGCCGTCCAATGCCACAACTGTACACGTTTTGCCTGGAGCACGAGGCCTGCCACGCCCAAACGAGGTCGCCCTGGCCTGTATGACGGAGCCTCTAGGTATGTTTGGGGGTTCGATCGGCGCCAGGTTTCCCAAAGGATGCCAAAACATGTGTCCCGCTTGCGTCATGGCTAATTGCGACAGCGCCACACCTGGGCAATCTCGATTCCGTCTGATGCGAAGTGTGGCGTCACCCCTGTATGCAGACTCTTCCCTGCATGTATCGGACAACCCTGTATTCTATGACATTTCTGTGTACTTCGCCTCTCCTCACCATTTCAAGGGTAAGTGGTACTCTCCTTTACTTTCCCTCTGTCTAGTTCGTTGCGCCACACCTGGGTATGGAAGGATACCAAGCTTTCTTTGGCGACACGCTAGACGGCTGGCCCTTCGCTAGCGCGGGTACCACCGGCCACACCGCTTGCACGATGACGACGTCCATCTTCCAGTTCACGATGCAATCTCGTGGGGCGCCTGCTCATTCGCCGCTCATCTACTTCAATGGGTCCTGCTGGCGCGTCGCCCTCACGTTCCCAAATTCATGTGCGCCACGCACGCATCAAACGGCTTCTACCCCAGCACGTGAAATTCGGAAACCGGGAAATTCCAGACAAGGCCAATCCTGGAAGCGCTCTCCCTTCAGATCTGCCCGCCCTGGCCGATCTTGTACAGAACTGCTCGACGTGCCTGCGTGCTAGGGCGTAGATCAGCCGATCTACTAAGCCTGTCAGGCGCTACTTGTGCCTCAACCTACAAAACGCTCTTACTAAAAGCTTCAGATACCATTGTACACCTGTCCCTGTATTCGGAACGTTCCGATGTATTATGTACAAAGTTGTCAAATGCACGAACCATTGAAGGGTTAGTTAGTCCAGAAGTCGACGATGTGTCGGACCACACCCTAGCCGCACCGGCTATCCCTACTAGCGTCCTAGTGTCGTGCCAACCTCAAAGAACTCCCCCCTAAAGTCATTGCCTTGCATGGCCGCATTGCTTAAGCTCGAGAGGGTTCGTGTCGTTACGGTTCTCAGCCTGTACTTGATGCGAACATGCTGTCGTACAAGCATGTCGAAAGTGCACAGCAGGCGGATCATACCTAGGTCACAGCCCAGAAGAAGGCGAGGCGTACGGTGGATAGGAGAGGGGAATACTATCATTGCTGTAGACGCCGACCAGCCTTTATCTACACATTCTCGTGGTCTCTATAAAGTTCTGAACTTGACTAAGAGCTATCCAGCAATGTAGCAGCCACCCATGGACTCAGGCGCTACAATTCATCTTCTTCTCCTCTCGACCACCCGACGACATACATATCTCAGACAACCACTAAAAATCTCCCATGAGACTCTCGATGACCTTGTCCACCTCGTCGACAAGTGCACCAATCGCATTCTTCCCGTTCTCGATCTTCGCTTTGACAACTGTAATCGATTGGTTGTCGAGATTGACAAAGACGCGGAGATACGCCGGACCACTGGCTGCGGTACCGTTGACTGCGGTGGCGTTCAAGTTGCGGCTCATGATATACACATCGCCTATTCCCGCCTTCACGAGATACTTGGACTGTTTGCTGGCAATGATGGAGGTGATGTTTTCTGACAAACCTATGAGCTTTCTGACTTACATTTGTGGAAGAAATAGCCAGAGGAGGGATTGCGCGCGCAACACGACCGACTCGATATTCATCAACGATACCATATAGGAAATATTGCTCAAAGAAGACACATAGAGAGATATACTCACGAGCCAACAATAGAATGTTCTGGCCTCCTGTGGCGCGCGAAGTGATGTTGGCATCCCGATAAGGCTGTAGCAGCTCCAAAATCCGGTACTCGAGGGTATGGTCGGCAACTGGGACATTAAAGACTTCGACGGAACTTTGCACTGGGCTATTATGCGTGCCATTCCAGGACCCATATTAGGGCTGCGGAGAGTAGGGACCAAATGACTGAGGTAGGGATGGCGTGTAGGAATTGTGTGAGCCATACATCGTGTATAACGACATTGTGGATGAGGGGTTGTGCGCAGGGTAAAGAGAGTCTGGGTACGGCCAACCCATATTTATACCCCGTCGAAACTCTCTGTTTGCACCAAGATGAGCCAAAGAGCCTATGATGGGGTTGGTGCGGGGTTTGACACTTCATTATTGTTGCGACCTTGGCGGCAAGATCTTCACTCCAATCTCTCGTCACCAAGAACACCAAAGAATCGCCAGATCTGTGCGAATGTCTTGCCCATTTGACAGCCCCGATGCTACATCTACATCTAAATTACCCAGTGGAAAGCTGTTCGTTCAGTTCTCGGATATGTAGATAGGGCGTGGTATACAAAACGATCTGTGAGAGTGGCATTTACTTGTCTATGCTGTCATCTAGATCCTGTTTATCTCGCTCCCCACAGAAAATACTATCTTCGACCGTTTCCATGAAGTAAGTAACTGTCGTTCTCACCGTCATCACCAAGTGGCATCAACTCAGCTTTCCTGACAACCCTGAATAGAAAGCCCGGGTGTAAAACCACCATGATAACCACCACCACTAACATGAGCGCCGCATCGAAGACATACAAGTACGCCTCTGTCCGATACACCTTGCTCTCCGGCCCCTCGATGAACTCTGCCAACCGGAAAATGCTCCGTACAACTACAAGCACGCTAACACTGTACAAAGCCCACATATAGCGGCGCCACTTGACATGTGTTCGACGTGAAGTACTGGTAGGTTCGTTGTTTAACCTTCGATGAAACACCACCGCCATCAAGATGAACAAGGCGAAAGCAACCAATTGCGTACCCAGTCCTGCGATCACAACTGTAGTTCCAGTCTTCACTCCGTCCGGATCACCGGAAGCTTGCATCGCAGATCCCATAATCTGGCATACAAAAGATCCGATATCAATGATGACGTATATCTTCGTTGTCCAGCGCGGATTCATCACAGCGTGGTGCGTAGCATCGAGAGAGCGAATAAGACGGCCGAGCGTCATGTAAATGGTGGCTGCGAGAAGCGGTGCAGCCGCAAGGATAAGCATGAGTTGAAGGAGATAAGGGCTGCCTTGTCGGATATTCTTTGAGGACCACGCGCGACCATAGTAGCCTGCTGCTTCGCCTGTGCATCAGATTATCAGCAATGTGCATTGTGTAGAGAGGTTGAAATATTGAGGCAACCGACCTACACAGCCCAGAACAAATGGAACGAAAAACCAGCTCCGCAATGGAATGAGCATAATGAGATGGGTTAGGCCGCCGATCGCAAATAATATGAGGAATGCGTAGCCAGCGCCTGCTGAGGGCGTGTAAGGGTACAAATCGAAGTCGGCTTCGCCTCTAGGAATGATATTGTGAGATGCCATTTGTGGGATTGGTTTGCAGATAGACCAAAGTGAGCCGGAGTAAGCGATAAACAGGAAAATTAGAGTGAGAGTGTGAAGAGAGGTGTAAAAGATGATGGAGCGAATGAAGATACCTTCCAGGACACGACTGCGTGCCGTTACTATATACACATTCTGACTCTGCACATTTCTCGCATTCCACTCTTTCGAATTCTTATCTCTCTCAAGCATTACCGCAAGAGGTGCAGCGCCGCGCGGCATCTTTTGATCCCATGTTTGGTTGTTTCGTGTTGGTCTGTGGGTCTCGTAACGAAAGAGAATACGCGCTGATACGTATTGGGAGGTGCGATCACCCTACCTCAACCATCTCTTCCGCTACGTCCCTGCTATTGTAATCTTGGATATTCTCTGGATCTTGCACTGCCCAAAGCTTTCTTCTCGACCATCGTTGATCTTAATGGCTATGATGATTGATGGAATTCTGGGAACATGACAAGATGACCTCGGGAAGCTTATCACGGAGATGGAGTTGACGGCAAGATGTTCGCGAAATGCCATGCAAGCCTGCAGATGTTTCAGATTCCCAAATCTTTATCCAGTGGTACTATTAGATATACACGAACGACGTTCGACAAACTAAACCAGCGACAGTGACCGAGTGGGCCTAGAAGATGGCAATAACTCCAGGTGGGCTTCCAATACCACCCCTAACGTGCAAGGGAGCACTTGTCATGAAGAAGGTGTACCGGCCCATATCCTTGCACCTCTCACTGAGCTTCTCGAGATCCCACATTTCGCCAATAGCAGTACCCCAATGAACCAGAAGCCACTCGTGTAGGCACCATCCGTCGGTGAACTTTGGTGGCCATGCTTCGAAAGCGACGGTATCACCAGCGATCGCCGCGAGGTGACGGTCGTAAAGCCAACGAATCGTCTTCTCATTTGCTTGAAGACCAATTGCGACACTGTTGTCGCGCGTACCGCTCTTGCGCTCCGCTTCGTTCGCATTGCTAGGATGGTCAGTCGCATCTCTTAAAGTGGTAAGACAACGTACTTGTGCCATCTTACGTATCCGCTGCGAATCATCATAATGTCTCCCTGCTTCAAAGTGGTACCTTGCCACTTCAGCGTCTCTTCAATCTCCTCGATAGGGATCTCATGTCTCGATACCGCGCTTGGTGCCGCCTTCCCGTTCTTCTGTTCATACCAACTAAGCCAGTCGCAAAGCACACCTCTTCCAACAATGCCGCCTCTTTCGCACCACTTGTGCGTTCCGTTCGTGACACTGTTGGCTGCCTCTTTATGCGAGAGACCGTTGTAATACATGCCGCTTGCTTGATGCGCGAAATGCTTCAAGCTATCCCACTGAGATCCGGCTTGAGTGTTGATGTGAAGTTCGTCATCGTTAGCACAGAACTCGGAGAAGTCCGCAAAATCGATTTGCTTTTGCTCGAGTTCTTTTCTGTTGAACCCTGGAAATTGCACGTTGTGTAATTCCCAGTCAAGCTGGATGTGTTCGCCGGTGGTGATCTCCTTGGATGCCGCTTTTACGACATCCGAGGTGAGGAGGTTGATAGCTGTCGCGTGTTAGATACAAAATTGCTGTATGAGGTGCAAGTTGCTTTACTCCCGACTTCGTCCTTTTGCCCATCTTTGTCAAAAAATCCCCATATGCTGCCCTGTGGCATGCCCTCGACCTTCGGAAGGTCGTCAAACGCCGGGAAGTTGAACTCTTGTTTCGCCATGTTCACTGTATCAATACTTCTGCTATCGTGGGTTATAAAATGTTACTCTACAAAGGACTTCAGAGTCGCTTTAAGGAAGCTTGCTAGATGGGGTTTTGTACACCGAGGTCAATCCGGACCCCGCATCCAACGCTGATCCGCATGTGGACGCTTTCTTCGCTATGGCTTCAATGACGTTGCAAATCATCATTTAGTGCGTCGCGTGAATGTGCTAGTTATGAGCCGAAACAGGGTGGTTGGTAGCCGGACCCGCTTCCGAAAGGTGGAGATAATGCTGGTCAGCGCACGCTTAGGCAAGCCGTCCGTCCGGCATCCGAAAGAGAGTCCAAGCAATGGCTCCATCCCTTTTGATCAGAAACACACAATTCCAGCGACTACCCAAGCTCGCTTAAGTATCATCTATGTAACCGTCGATTTCGTCTCTTTGTTCACCGCGAAGACCTGCGCACACGGCCCGGCATATAGTTCGCCTTCCTGAGGCTTCTCCACGGCCTCGACGGAGAAAGAACAATGGCCCACTCCACCTGATCGTGACCCGACAACACCCCACATCAATTTCTCAAGGATAATCTCATCGCTCCTCTCCTTGTCAGTGGCCGACAAATGACAGGCTGCGCTCATGGCCGCACTACAACTGCCAACTAGATTCGTTCCCGATCGCAAAGGAACAAAGCCTACTCCAACGCCAATGATGAGCATGAGGCTCCCAACTATGATCACCGATATCATGGCGATTGGAGAGTAGCCGCATGTATATCGCCAATCTGATGGCCCGCTATCATTATCGTCATAGAACTGGAGTCGTTGTGAGCTCCTACACAGCGCCCATAATGTAGCGAGGTACAAAGCCTACCTCGATAGCAGCAAAAAAGATGCTTTGAGAAATCATCCAATGCATCAATCCACTTGTCGCCATGAGTGGTATCGCAAATCGGTACGGTAGCGATAGAAAGTATGTCGACCTTTGCGATCCTCTTGGTTCGCTGGAAATCCTCAATCCCTTTCGGACGTATGCATATGATGCCCACTCTTTGCCCAGAAGCATACAAGTCAATAAGCTATTGTACGAGAAGTATATCCCCGAGAGCACAACCTGTGGCGCGTTCGCTATCAAAGTGTTGCCTATGATGGTGTCGACATTGTGATGTCTTGGATACTCAATCAGTGTTCGAGCGTCGATGGCACCAAAACCCAACGCAGCGAGATTGCTGAGGGAGTGACTTTTGCCAGAGCGGAGCCAAAACAACCCATAAGCTAGCAGTCCTCCTACCGCTGCTATTGAAATGAGCAGCCTGAATAAAGTTATTAAGTGCACCCAATGTTTGAACCGACGCTAGCAACAGGGAATGCTCCGAATTGAAATGGTGTCCACCTACATGACAAAAGTGATGATACGACGGGTAAGACTTGTCGTGTCCTTCCACTTATATTTCCGGGCTTTCCATCTCTTCGGGCCAGCGATGAAGTTGCTTTTGGCACTTCTAATGTTCTTGGATGAAGCAAGACACATGTTCATAGTCGAAGAGTCAGGTTGCTGCAGAAATGAGACAATCGCGTCGCCCATGGTCATTAGCGGTTGCTCACGAATGCGAAGAGCCGTGTAGAGGATCAGTATAGCCTTCAGGAGATTTAGCCCTGTTACCAGTGACGCGATGGGAACGCTCCATAGAACTCGACAGTCCGATTCGATGTTTTCTCGCAAACAGTATTGTATGGGGCCTTTCATGTAGCGAAATCCAAAATTGGTACTACCATCCTCGTAGTCTCCTGCTATGGTCCAATTTTGAGCGGAATTCCTGATGCGCTCTACGACTGCGTCGCACGACTTTTCTTCCGGCAAGAACCCCGATTCATGCCTAACACCCGAACACATCCACTCGAAAGTATCTTGAGGCTCATATTCCCAAGCACTTTCGAATGAATAGCGCCAGAATACTGCTGAGTTTTCGTTGTTCTTTTGATCGTCTTTCCACTCGATGTCATCGGATTTCGCCACTAGAAGTAAATCACCTCTATTCGATTGGAAGGTTGTTGCGTATGCATCAATGCAATCAACGTTATCCAGCTTCTCGAAGCGCTTCTCGCGGAGCTTTTGGTGTATTTCCTGGGTGAAGTCGAAATCAAGGCCACTGATAGGGTCTACACAGCCTAGACAATCGGGGCTGTTGATAAAGTTCTCTCGAACACCGTATACTTCGTAGCTGTAAGCTACAAGAGATAGATACACGACCGAGTTATAACTACTCACATTAGCCCATTTCCCATGTTGTTGTTGAAACAATACGTACAAAAGATGGAGAGGCAGCGAGGAGAGCGCAAGCGCCGACCAAAGGAAAACGCGCTTCTTGCTGATGCGATATAGGTTTCGGACGCTCAAGACACCAACGTCCAACCATTGTGCTTGAGCATGGGCAATATCGACCTCTTTACGCGTGGGTGCAGATAGACACTGCATAACGTAGTTGGACGAAGACAGCAAGATTGTACTCAATACGTTAATGATGATGTGAAGGACAGAGTTGAGTTTTCGCGCACGATCGCAATTGCCTTTGAACAGCACACCGCTATCAGCATGAGAAGCCCATGTTATGGTGGCGATCAGGTTGATAACAAAGACTATCAAGGCTGCGACCGCGCAGTTGATGACTCCGAATCTCCATCCTGTGATGAACTTAGATCTGAAGCTGTTCAAAGGTTCGGGATGCGACGTCCGCGCCTGAGTAAGGTGTTGAAGTTCTGATCCGGTATCTTCAGCGTATATCGGATAGCGTTTACGCCGCATGAGTTTTGTAGAGAAGGAGCTGAACATGAGGATGAACTTCAGGGATTGTGTGAGAATTCTAAAAGACTCCATCGGCAGTCGTCTCTGCATATGTGTGTGCTGGTGTTTGTCCGCCTTGCCAAGACATAAGCCTCGTAAGCACAATGGGGGCGGTTGAGAATTGTCCATGATTGGTGCTCCCTGGTACCGGTCAGCTTGATCTCGCACAGCTCATGAGTCCACGTGAAGCCGCCCAGTATATTATTACCAGACTTTCTGGTGGCGTTCCCCATTCCCGCGATTTCTTTGCCGGCTCTATGAACTACGCCCAGTCGCTATGCGTTGGAAGCCAGCTTGACCTTAGATGAGCTTGTGCAATCGATCGGCCACGTGGTCGCCCGCTCCTTCTAGCTCAAAGCTCCTCAAAGGGGGATTTTCATGTGGCGCGCAGAGCCTCCAAGCGCTTTAGGAAGCTGGGCTAGACGCTCGTCTCATGTAACATTTGATGGTCGCTGACCGATGTGCGCAAGTGATCGCGCAGGAAAAGGTCTGCATGAAGCTACCTAGGTAGCGTTGTTGGTCGAACGGCATGACCGCCGTGTCAATGGTTGCGACAATGTCCAAGCGCGTTGCTGCTGAGCAGGTGCGACGGGTTGTGCAGATGGCTGCAGCTCATCAGAGCTTGTCGGTGTCATTGGTGGTCTGGGATCTTTTGAGCGAATGATATTTTCATCAAAGCGAGAGGAATAGTGGCTATTGATAGCGCCTTGTGGTTCGAACGTAGATGTTGTTGGTGTGGCTTCGGTGACGGCGCGTGAGTGGGGAGGGGGCAGACTGTTTTGTATTAGCTCCGGGGCTCCGACGCGTCCGCTTGCTAGCCCCAGTCTGGACATTCGGAGCAAAGAGTGAACGCAATAGCTTCGGGTTGCAGAAGTCGTAACTCAGAACCTACATGATACGTGACAGATTTCCGGCATCCAACGCACCTTCTAGACGGTCGATCCAACGCATCATCAATCCCCAGCCACACTTTCCGCATTTCCGGGCTGGCGTAAGCCAAGCCAACCTACCCCGCCAGCAGCTGAATCTCAAACCTGTGGCTGTTGCTCATACACATCCTTACCTGCTCCATCTGTAGCGTACCATGGCCGAACTAATATCAGGCATCTCGAAGCTCAATCCCTTTGCGAAGAAGGAAGTCGATGATGAAGAGAAGGGCGAGTTTGTTGATGCGGGGACTGTAGCGGGCGGCGGTCACGCCGCAAGGCAGTCGCATATTACCAAGGACAAACTACGTGTCAGCGAAGCACTCAAGAGCTTTCTAGTCAAAGAAGGTGTTTTGCAGGAGTCAGAAGCCGGATTGAAAAGTGAAGAACCGACTGCGGCGTTGCGAGAACTGCTCGACAAAAGTCACATTCATGTGCCGCCAGAGGTTATCGACAGGAACCATCCACTTCCCGAATACTTCATCAGCTCATCTCATAACACATATTTGATGGCTCATCAACTCTTTGGCGAATCGCATGCTTCTGCTTACGAGATCGCGTTGCACACTGGATCGCGTTGCGTCGAAATTGACGCCTGGGACAATGAAGACAACAAGGAAGAGCCGAAGGTCACGCACGGGTTCACACTCGTGTCCAACATACCCTTCCGCCAAGTATGCGAGACGATTCGCGATGTCGTTGACAAAGAAGCTGTCAACGAGAAGAATGCTGCACCTATCATGATCTCCCTAGAAAACCATTGCGACGCGCACGGCCAGCTCCGCCTCGCACAGATCATGCAAGAAGTCCTCGGCCCCCGACTTCTCAGCAAGGCCATTCGCGACAAAGGCACACGCGAACAAGACGACCCTAGCAAGCATGAGCATGTCACCCTCGCTGAGCTTGGAAACAAAGTCGCGGTCATTGTAGAGTACCATCTACCGAACGAAGAGGAGAGTAGCAGCAGTGACTCGAGTTCAGACGAAGAAGAACAGAAGCAAGCTCGCCAAGAGTATGACGCGAAAAAGAAGGCTACTAATGCTGGTAATATTATCCCTGAATTGGCCGAGCTTGGAGTGTATGCTCAATCGGTCAAACCTGTCAACAACTCTTGGTTCGAAGCAGAGCTCGAGAACGCACCTCATCACCAACTCATCAACGTCTCGGAGTCAGGTCTGAGAGCGCATCTTCCCGCCAATAGCGCTAAGATCGCAAGACACAATGCGCACCATTTGATGCGCGTCTACCCCAAAGGAACTCGCATTTCTTCGAAGAATCTTGCGCCGGTACCATTCTGGGGTATTGGCGCCCAGATCTGCGCTCTCAATTGGCAAACCTTTGGCGCAAGCAGTCAAATCAATGAAGCGCTCTTTGCTGGCTCTGGTGGCTACGTACTCAAACCAGCTGGGCTACGTGCTGGTGGCTCGGGTAACCTCAGCACCGGACGCAGGAAGAAACTTCGCTTGCACGTTGCTGGTGCCACAGACGTTCCCCTGCCCAACGACCGCGAACATGAAGACATCAAGCCTTATCTGACATGCACACTCGTTCATCCTAACGACATGAACAATCTTCCACCCAAGCGCAAGACTGCTCCTTACAAGCCCCACAAATTGACCGGCTTCATGCACAAGGACAACTCGCCCGCAAACGATCCTATCTGGAAAGACGTTCTGGAGTGGGAGTACGAGGACAATGAACTGACATTCCTGCGCTTGTTAATCAAGAGTGACGACAGTTTCTCTCGCAACCCCATCTTCGCCGTTGCCGCGGTGAGACTGATGTACGTTACACCTGGATGGAATTTCATTCGGATGCTGGATTTGGGTGGACACGAGACTACATGCACATTGCTCGTCAGATTTGAGCATCTAGACTTATAGGAGTGGTGGGCTGGGAGCGATTATGGGAGTGATGAGCCTGGAGACTGCGGCAGAGGCTGGTTGTGTAAAGTCGCTAAAGTACGCGAGAAGTTGTGCGGTGACGGAGGAAGATGTTGAGCATCCCATTACTATCCTAAACCTCCTACAGCACCGAACTAAATTCTAATGAACAACGTTTGGTTGCCTCTGCCCCTCGGCACCATAGCGCGAGGTTTTCTCCGAAGCTTGCAGATCTCTGCAGATTCCTGCAGATCCTTGCGCTCATAACACAAGACCCTGGAGGTTTGACACTATCAGCTATAGTACAGTAGTGAGTACACAGCCGCTCACTAACACCCGTTAATCTCCACTTTTCGAAGCATACCCCAAACGCCCGAATGCGAACACGGACGCAAGCTCCTTGCTCCCGCGCCGAATTGAGAGATGCTTCCGTGACACGCCCATCCCGCACATTAGCTTCGTAGCTAGCTCGTGATGTCAGCGCCAGAATCTTGAACCCAGCCAGCCCACCCCTCACTCCATCATCACGTGTTCGTGCTCGCTCTATATTACCAAGCGATACTCGTGCTGCATGCATGCAGATTAAAAGGGACGGTCCGTCGCTGATACAATCGGAGTAGTTATACCACGCACATCTGCTGGTTCATCGCTATGGGCTCAAACGATGCAGGGCGTAAAGGGAAAACTCTATCGGAATGTAGACCTGTGTACACACAATCGAGAGTTCTGCGTGGGTGGGTGGATTGTGAGCGGATCGGCACAACAGCCTGAGCGATAGCCTCTTACTAGCGCACCCATACGTGCACTCACGAACCGGTTTCTGCTACCCATGGCCTGCCTGATCTGCATGATACCACACTGCTATGCGCATGGGGTCCCATAGCGCGGGTGGTGGACGATCGAGCCTGAACGGTGAAAAAGCAAAAGGGCAGGAAAAGCACGCATTCACTGATTGGATCAAGAGTCTGGCAGCTGTGAGCGCTATAAGCGATACCTTCGTATTATCATTAGAGTGCACAACGCGACCTATTATAACTTGTCCGCAGTAAAAAATCTCCTGGAAGAGAAACATGTGTCTGACAAAGACTCAGACCTTTTCTCCGCCATTGGATCCGTCCTTTTCAGTCTCCGCAACATACCCCTCTTTCGCTTCTCGATCTCGAATAACCACTTCGTGACCTGAAGTGATGCCTTCTTGCTCCAAAATATGGTTGGGCACTACCGCACCCTCCTCGGCACGATTGTAATTGGTGTCTGTCATGTGATAGAATCCCAGGTAGTAGAAACTCGCGATACCCATCAAGTAGAATAGCAAGATGCCACCTGCTTCAGCGATGAACGGGATTTTGATGCTGTCGAGACCAAAGCAGATCGCTTCTCCTGCGCCGAGAACGCCTCGAAAAACGCCGACGTAATGCGTGAGCTTCTGGGGTGAATTTGTGAGAGCGCCAATCCAATAGTAGACTATGTTGTGCCACAACTGTGAGAAGACCCAGTTTAGCATAAAAAGGAAAAACACCCAACCAAATTTGAGCTCGTCCCAGTCTGTAGGATTGGTGGGCGGATTGTTGCGATCATAGTTACGGGTGCGAATCTAGATAATGTTAGGACACTATGGCGGGTGATGGACTTCGAGGCATACCATTTCCCAAACCCATGCAATGACTAGAGGGATACACACGCCAGTCAGGCCGATGAGTCCGCGCTTGCGACGGCCCCACCCGGGGTAGTCGAGCACGTATTGCAAGACCCATCCTGCTGGTATTTGCATAACGACAGCAATGAACGAAAGCAGTGAACGGGTGCGGAGATTGTTATTGAATGCTATGAACGTGTGAGCGTTATATTGACGAGTGCTCGGAGACCTACCATTGACCGATCCACTGTACACCAAGAATCCCTCAGCTGGCAAGAACGCGGGTAGCATCATGAGAAGGACAGGGTCTGTGAAGACCCGCAAGTTGGATCTCAACTCCTCCCAAGCTCCTCTTGGGCGATCAACAGCAACGACGGAGCCATCATCCCTCGTAAGCTTGTGTGGCCGAAGCAAAGCCAGACATAGCAGACCGCCGATGACCATAATCGTGATGAAGGCGATATACACTGATCGTGGTACGCCAGCAACAGTGTCCGAATTTCTGTTGATGATGACCGGAATGATGCCACTAATGGCCGATCCGAGCGCTTGCATGTTCATCAAGATAGTCGCATAAGACCCCTTCTCTCTTTCTTCCGGATATCCTGTTGCAACATAGCCCGCAGTGATGAAGACCATACCTGCACCAATACCGATGATAGGACCAGCGGCATAAGGGTAGCCCGTCTTGCCCGTCTCATCGTAATACCAGAGCGATCCAACGTACACAGCGTAGGTCTGGACGCCAATGCACATTGTCAGACCCGGTCCGAGCTTGTTCAGGATTGAGCCGCCAAAAGAGGATGAGAAGAACCACACTGCGCTATGATCAGTATGCATCGTTCTCGTAGCTTGTGCATGATCATTTACCTGCACATAATGTCGCGTTTACAACCTGAACTACTTGCGCTGAGTCCGGCTTCCCACCACCAGCCCCAAGGAGGTTGAGCGCAACGTAGATTCCCGCTGAAGAGCCAACACCGAGACCAGCAATCAGCATCTGCACCCACGGTCCATGGTACCGAAACTGGGGGAGGGCCAGGAACCCCATGACGTCCTACGTCAGCTCTTCTTGAAAAACAACGCAATGCAAAGGCAACGTAGAAGAGGGATGAACAACTTCAAGTGCGGAGGTGAACGTTACACTAACAAACAGACGGACCGAGGAGGCGTGCGAAGGGTTTAAACTTTAAGCTATCCACGACTGCGCCTCGATCAGAACCATAAGAATCAAGAGTGGGCGCAAAGCGCTAACCAACAGCACAAACTCACACCCTCAGCATGAGGCAACCAAGGGCTGGATGCAGCGTCCACCGATAGATAGTACCACGTCAGAAACTGCCAGGGTCCTGACGCATGGTGTTCAAGGCCCCATGCATTCATCTGGCTTCTTTTGGCATTAATCTTCGTTAGCATCCAAGTGGCTTTGAAAGCTAATGCGCAGTGTGCTTACCGACGAACCAAAACTCCGTGATAGCGGCTGGCCAGATGCTAGCGTCAGGTTCCCGGACTGGGCTAGCTGACTCGCTAGGGGCGGCCCTCAACCCGTGAAGAGCGCTGGTGGCCTCGGCCAAGGAAAAGGAAATTGGAGAGCATTGGAGTGCGTTGGAGGTGCATGCATTGGAGGAGTCAAGTCCCATGCTGAGCGCTGCATTTCGCGGGAAAAAGAAGTTGGAGTTGCTGCATGAAGACAGGGCTTAGGCGAAGAACAGCATGCACATGCATGAACAGAGTTGTGACGGAATTTGCAAGCTTTCACAAAATTGAGTTGTGGTGCGTTTGACGTTGCATTTAGTTGCTGAAACTGGGTTCATTAACGCTCCGAGAGCTGCTCCACCGTGGAGTGCGCTACGCAGCCGCCGTCAGCAAAACTACTACACCGAGTGTACGGATCCGATTGTCACGAAGGAACTCGTGTCCGCTGCGATGGAATTCCGCAGACGGGCCGACCCTCTGGCTGCCGTTGTATTAATCCCAGACCTGCCGACAACTCACGTTAATGCGCTTGGTTCCCATATAACCCTTCCACTTCTTGTAAGTCTTCTCTTCGGCTGCTGTAGAACCAGGTGTGCCGGCTGGCCAGTTCGCAAGGTAAGCTGGGCATGTACTTGGTATTGAACGCGCCATTGCATGCCATGCCCAGCGAGCGTTGCCGGTGAGATGCACAACGTCGCCACTGTGGACTCGAATCGCAACGCTTCGTGGTGCATTCTCACCTTCCCCATCATCTTCCCCTCGAGCCATGATGAAGATTCCATCGCATCCGACGCTGAAGCTTGCAAGCGCCCGTTGACACTGCTCGCTGACGTCGCGATGCACAGGCATGAAATCCTTGGCTGAGTACATTAAGACCACGCCAGACTCAGGCCGGATATGGGGGAAAAGTCCCGTCACAAGCGTTGACAGATCTTCCGGAAATGGCGTCGCATGCTTTGCGTAACTACGGGTTGGCCAATCGTATTGTTCGCCGAGTGTCAGCCAACGAAGCTTGGTGTACAAGAATTGCTCATTATTCAGAGCTTTCAACTTGTCTGGAATCTTTGGAGTCAGGCAGTCCTCCGGATCTGACCGTTGGCGAAGGAAGAAAGAACTATCAAAACGCAGTGCGGCTGACGTTGGTTTCGAGGGGTATGGTATATCATAGTCCGCCTGCAGGTTGATTTTATGGCCCGGATCCGCCAGATCTCTATGCATCAGACATGACGTGAAGAGAACTTGCGTCTCAGGTGGGAGGAGCCCAGATATGACTTGAAGGCCAGGAAAGTCGCGATGCTCGAAGATCTGTGCGTCTTGTGCAGGTACAGAGAGTGGTTTGCCCCTTGCATACGCCTGGCAAGCAGCGTCAATTTGAGCCGCTGGGACGATGCCTGCGGGTCGCCAGATGTCTTTGCGCTCTTCACTGAACTTATCGCGTTTACTCAGATCGAAGATGTTTGGATCGGTATCAAGGTCAGCCTTGCGCATACTTTGATATCGCCAATGCTCTTTCTGGATAAATTGTGGCGGGGTGGCATGGGTGTCATGATGCACCGAGCCCTTCTGCCATGATCGTCAGCCAGACCCGTTCAATCTGAAGGGGCGACATACGAACACGCTCAGTGGCATCCGTAGACAGGTCCATGGCCGCGGTAGGACGGTAGAGGTATGGCCGGGCGAGGGAGCGAATCGGCACCTGATTCAATGGAGGCTTCCTTAATGGGAGATACAGCCGTTCCAGAAGTCGCATTAACCGAGATCAGATCGCAGAGAGTTCGCAAACGATATGGTCAGTAGTATACGAGCTACATGAGTGGTATCACGAGTGGCCAGACCAAGAAAAGATCGAGTGAAAGTCGGTTCGTGCGCTGGCTTATCGATAAGCCAATTAGCGTCTTCCGCAATTATCCGTCCACGCTGGCGGGTAAAGAAATCAAACCATCCAGTAAGCGCATTCGAGAAGGCGTTCTATGTTCATTGCCATCGTCTTCTGTCTGATCAGTAAAGCCCCTCTTGTATCTGTCGAGGAAGTCATCATGCTCTCAGTAGCCAATAGCGACGTACACAACGGAGTGCGACTTACAATCCACAACATGACATCATAACTGACTGCGAGAAATCAGCCTCGAGGTTACTAGCGGAATATCTTCCCGCGGAAGGTGGATGTATACGAGGTTGCATGCATTTTTACTGTCGATTCAGTCGCATAGTCACCAAAGAACTTGTTAAAACCCCGCAGAACATGACTTTATTCTAACGACCGCGCCCTGACGTGGCACATTCAGTGACACAAAAGTGTAGATGTTTACAGGCCTTAGTAACTAAGTACCTCTGAACATTTCATTTATCCATGCAACGCATCGGCTTCTTTCGACTGCCAGGGCCTTCTTGTTTGATCCGATGCGACAAACACATGTTCCGGGTAGCTAGGCAAACAACGTACCGACAAAAAGCCTTTGTAACCAGTGCTACGGTACTATGCCCATAGCAAAATTCACAACTGACACCCGTAAAAGTACCCATTTCCAGGAAATATGCCAGAAGCCGGATGTGTCTTGAGTTGTAGATAAAAGTGGCCGAAGTACTGGGGAAGTACTGGGGAAGTCTAGCCCATAGTATGTCCGGCTATCTTTGAGACGCTGTATATGGTGTGATAGGTATCACTTTCCTTGTGAATTGGACCATGAGAACTCGTTGTGCAGCGTGATTGTCATGATGGAGATGACCGCTTTACCTCGAGAATGGTCGAACGGGCAGTTGAGATGGATGCGGTGGCGTAGATGTTAACCTTTGCTCAATGCTGACAACGACTTCGATCTCGTGTCACAAAGGGGACCAAAGATGCCTCTTTTTTTTCGACAGGTATCGCAAAATTGTAGAGGATACTGTAAAGAGATGTTCCAATACGATGCGATTAGGACAAGGCTGGAGCGCGTAGCAAAACAGCCCAACGCGGCACAGCCTCGCATATGGGGGCCACAATACTATTGCAACCAACAAAACAACAGCGCTAGGCAGCCGCGCGTGGGAAGTGTGGCACACATGATTTTAGATGTATTCTTCTCTACCGATATACCCTGAACTAACAAGTAAAGCGAAACATAGCTTTTAGGTCCCAACCCCCACCGCACTCTACCCTGAACCAAACGCCTGATGATCTGTCGCTCATCCATATGGTTCGTGTCGCATAAAGGGTGCTAAGGGAAGCTTCACACTACCTCGTCCCATCCAGCCGCTTCTCAGACGCCGCCGATCCATTCGTCCTTGCCTTGCGTGGCTCCGCTTCGTCCTCGTAAACCTCGAATGCTACGACGCATGTACACACCGCTGCGGACGATCCACCGGCGCCTCCATCCCGTATATCATCAGTAGAGTCGATCGTGTATGGTTTTGTGAGAATTCTGGCAATCTGGAGGTTACTGGCGGAGGGAGAGCATGCTTCGCTCAGCTTGCGGTGGCGCGTACAAGCTGTATTGGGTGCAGGAGGATGAACTATGAGAGGTCAATATCTTCTAGATCAGACTGATGATAGGACGATGTTACCTCCATTCGTCGGAGTGTTGGTTTCCTGGTGCTCTCCCTTGTTAACCCACATCCCAACACAGATCAGGTCACTATTGTGAGCCCTGGCAGCATTACCAGTAGATCTGTTACCGTTTGCTTGGACAGTATCGTACTGATGAAGTGACGATAAAGGAGGCTCTTGGCCATCTCGTTGGGAAGAGCCAAGGGTAGCCGCGGCCGAAGTCACTGCCACTGGTGCTGAGAAAGTCATGTTATTTAGTCAAGCAGTAGTATAGTCGTAGCAATTTTGTCTAACACGTCCCAACAACAGTGTATAAGGCGCTACTTATACTTTCGCTGCTTTACCATTTGCTAGGGTATAGTGAGCCGGTTTCCGTGTGTGTGAGACAAGTCCTCGTTGCGCAGCCCTCACGAAGAGGTGCAACTGGCAGTGCGCGGCTAGGATGACTCGAATCATTCATTCATCTCTCATTCGCAATGACGCTTAACCGTATGTAGAAGGTTTTCTGACTTGCCTCGTTTACGGGGAAGCGGAAAAAAAGCCACTGCATGCTCTTGTACCAATGAGGCAAGAGTGGAAGGACCCCAAGGCTGGTGTGGAAGCGTGGCTGTGGATACTGAGATCCGACTAGCTGCTCGAATTGGAAGACCCCCTGATCATAGCAGTTGCAGCCAGCTTCCGCGGTCGAACCAGACGCAAGATTCGTGGGGCTAATAACGGGCTCATGGCACGTTCGCCTACTGGAAGGTACGATCCAGCGGATGTAGCGTCGATTAGGCAGTGAGACCATTTGTATACAGCCTGGTGGTACACAGAGTAAGGATCAGCATGCCGAAGATCACAAGCACAGTAGGCGGTCGAGGTCGCCGGTCTGCTCACAACGGAGCACTCGCTTTGCCGGGTTACCACAGAATACGGCCCGAGTAACCCGCTTTGGCCAATGAGGTGGCACCAGAGTTGCACAGCTTCCCCGACCCGAAATCGCTGCTCATGCTTGCTTACCATTCAAGTTCTAAGACCACGGGTGGTGGATGACGCTTTTCTTTTTTCGATTACTACAAATTTTCTAACCTTCTTTCGGGGGTAGGTTCATATCATTTCCTTCACAAATGCAGATTTGGTGTTAGTTCTAGTGGGGTTTGTCCCAGGCACGCTTGTGCCTCAGAATCCGACACTAGGTGGTATAGATAAGGGACCTGATAAGCGGGTGACGAAAACAACAGCTGGACGAAGCCGGTTCCCCGAGATATCTAGTCGATTCAGTAGTAAGCACCACCAGGGAGTGAAGCCGATGCGAAGACTATGCAAGGGTGCCATCAAGTCTGTAAGCCCTGATCAGCCTTGACGGTCCAAACAGGAAAGAAAGGGATGCAAACCCACTTCCCCGGCAACCTCAAATGTGCGCAACAGTGTCATCCCGTAATGTTACCCAGTTGCATCATTGCCCTGGTGCCGTGACACGCACAGCCCTGCCGATTCCGCGCGAGGCAGTGTGTCCACATCAGCCTAATTCTCGGTCGCAGTTCCGCACCGATCGACTTCTCGAATCCTTCGACGTGCTGCAACGCCGCAGAATCGCATGATTGTAGGGAAGCTCACTCACAGTGAAGAGTATACCCCAGTGCAGTCGGTGGCCAGGGGATGGCCACATCGGTTGGTACCCGAACTCTGTTCACTTGTCGCTCATCGCCCAAGCTATTCAACGGCCAGTTCAATTCTGTGTTTCTGGATTACAGCTCAATGAAAGGCAAGATTGAAGTTGCGCAGACTCAGGATGAAGTTGAGAGTATTGCGCATCACAACTACGTACGCCAATGGCTTGGTAGACCACAAGTCTCGAGCATGTGACTGTAAGGTTGAGATTGGCTAAACGTTCTCCTTCCGAGAGTTGTTTCAGGCTTCTAGAAGCCTGTTAGGTATGGCAGCGGCAAGGCGTTTATCACGCGACGACCCAAAGCCCAATGCGAGGGTGAGACCAGCTACAAGATCATCGCCAAGAAGCGCATCCCTCTGCACTACACAGCTGGAAAGCCAAAAGCTCTTATGCGTATGGATCCGTGCGGCTGCTACGAGATGAATGCCATTACCGAAAATTGACGGTTTAATAGTTGCAAACGTAAGCGCTTCCCCTGCATATACGTGCATCAGGTGTGGCAGGTAATCTATCCGGTTGGGTGTGAGTTAGTCGGAAGCGCGAAACCCGGTTCTCCCATTGCTCGTCAAACTCCCCGTTTGCAGTTCAGCTTTCCTTGATTGGATAGTGTATTTTCAATAATGGATGATAATGCATTATGTGGCTGTGACAGTTCCGCAGCGCGGAAAACTCGCCACTGACTCTGCATTGCCCTGCGACAGATGACCCAATCCACAATTCACTGCACATGCATCTTTCGAGGATCGAGGCGCCTCATATGTAGTCCTAACCTGCCGCGTTTCCTAGGACCACGCTGCTTCAGCTCTGGTGGTAAGCCTCCGCGGAGGGTGCTTGGGATAGTTCTACGGGTTTTGATAAGCTTGGCAGCAACGAAGGACGTACAATACGTCGGATCCGAAGAGGTTTGGCGTGTTTCAAATCTTATCGAAATTTCAACAGGCGAGCAGGGGTGTGGCTACTGCTGTATAATTTGTTGGCCGAATGCATCAACAGAGCGAGGTTTCTCAACTGGCGTGCTTTCCCACACCGCTACATCAAGCCAAGGTCGCTAGTGTCGTTGAACAGCCTTCGGGTTGTTGGTGAGACCAGTGCAGTCGACGCTAGATCATCAGGCTGACTATGACCGGACGTTTCGTGGAATATGTCCGCCACGTGCTGTACGCAGTAAGACGGAGCTTGGACGCAAGACTGAGGAAATGGGATTGCAATCCTGAGATTTAACGCCTTTCTGTTTGACTAGCATCGCCTCGCGGTCGTAATGTTCGCCATGCTATACGTTGGTCTTGCTCTGACCTCCAATATTGAGGAGTTAGGCATAGCTGATGATGGGTTAATTTGCATCTCGAACCAAAGATCCACGGTCATGGAATTGGCGACGTGGGGTGACCGCATGAGGTCGTCAAGGCATCCATGATTACAACCACAGACAGTCCAGGGATGTTTGGTAAGTACCGTACCTGGAGGGGCTTGCCATTGGGTTCAGGCTGCTTCCGCTCTGTTCGTGCAAGGACAGCTGTGCTACAGTTAGCAGAGTGGAGATCATGCCTGTCGTTCGACCGGCCTGACGGCAATGGCGTAGTCTGTGGGTAGTAAGACCGTCAGTGCTGAATGTGGTGGCGGCATCATTGATGTGCAGCAAGGAACCCATGTATGCTAGCGAAATCATGGCAATCGCTTAGCATGGGAGACGACGATTGGTGAAATCTCTCCCACGTAGGATGTAGTCGGGCGGCAAAAATGAAATAATACATTGTAAAGTACAAAATTTGGTAGCAGCTGCTGCACCAGTTGAAGAAAAAGTTGTCCCGATTAGAAATTGACGCAACCGTAGCGTCTTCGGGAGAAGGCTTGCCCGGAAGTCACCGATGCGAGGTTCACCAAGCTGATGACAGGGACACTTCCCCAGTTGTCGATCCACCTGCGCTTTTCTCATCGTTGCCCGGAGGTGTTTGTAGTGGCAGCGATTTTGGAAGCTTGAACGATCATCTCGATCTCGCGAGCCATGTTGTCCTCCCTAATCCCCCTAGCAGATGCACACGTGCAACCACTATTCGCTGAAGTACCAGTAGACCAGTCTTGCGTCAAGCATGACGGTGGGACGTATTGGAGCATCTGGCGAGAAAATTTCACCGAATGCGAGCCAGGTTGCTGAGGACGGGGTCCGAGCACAGCCGCATGATACGTACATGGCGCATCTGAGGGCAACCTCCGTATTCCGTTCGTGACCGGACAGGACAGGCCTTGGTCGTAGAACTTGAGTGAAAAGGCATCGTGTCGATCGTTGCTGTCCATCTCCACAAAAGACAAGTGTTGCAGTGAGCGTGTTGGGGTAAAGTACTGGATGTGATGCTTTGAGCCAGTGTCTCCGGAGGAGGACTTCAAGGGAGGAGAACAATCTTGAACGTGCCAGAAGTGTCGACAATCTATCCTTCCAGGGACGATTTGGCTGTGGAGGACGAGAGAGTTCTCGAATTGTTGGTGTTGGTTTCGATATCACAGTGGCACTGGGCCTGTTTATATTCATGCCCTCCTTATGAATTCAAAGCGGTGCACCGACCTCGTAAAACGCTGATATCTAGCTTCGCCCTCTGCTGACACCTGGTCATGGCCAGTTGCGGCAACATGAAGCATGGGACTTCACTAGTCGTTGCGGTTTGGGCAAGAGCAGCGAAGGTCTGGGGTAAGGTACAAGGATGTGACAGCGATTGAGTGGCGTTCTTATTTTCCACAGCGGTCTCCACGAAGGAGCTCGGATCATTATGTTTTGCACTTCTTTGGTATGGCCTCCGCATGCTATGAACAAGAGTCTCAAGCCTCTACGCTTGTGATGAAGACCACTGCGCATGTTTTCTGCTTGTGCGAAGATGTCAGTAAAAAATCCAGCAAATCCAACCTCTCTCATACTGATCGATGAAGCAGAAGTCTCCGACTTACCCGAGCATCGCTGGTTTCATGATGCGCAGATCCAGTGAAAGGGGAATACAGGGACAGGGACAAGGGTTGTAGGGCTAGCATACACACTGAGGACGAGCATCGGCTGATGCAGGTACTGTACGTACGAAAGCGGGCACGCGCATCGCGTATCTTGTCAACGTCAAGCTGCAAGGCCCTGGTCGCCTTCATGATGCCGGAATGCTAGGATGGCGCGTGCCAAAACACATCCACCCCGTCACTATGACCTGAGAGCATGGGGAACATGAAAGTGTTGTGGGTGCAACCTGCATGCTCTTAGCACGCATGTAAGACATGCAAAAGAGTACGAAGATCTGCGACACCAGACCATGCCTGCACGCTCAGCAATTTGCCCAGAGCTGCGTCGAGACGGCATCCGGTTTCTTTGGCATCATCTCGGCGTGGCTCGGATCCAGACTTGCGTTTGCGTTGGAACAAAGCTGCAGTCAATCTTAGCGATGCCCCTGGAAGGCTGACTGAAGCCCCGACCATAGACCCGATTGCGGAGTCGTAAAATGCGTCGTGATCTGGTTTAGTGGCCTGAGACCATACGAGTGTTCGCGCGTCATTACCCAGGGTAGCGGTCAAGTGACAAGTGCAAGGAAGGCTAATGCAGGTACCAATCTTCCACACATCCTTGTACCTGAAGCAGACAGAGCAAACTCGAGGGTCGGTTTGGGTGTGGGCCGCATCGAGCAAGCTCACCTGGATACCTGGCTTATGGTGGCCCCTCTAGCATCGAGTATTGAAAATACCCGATTGCAGTTGGTTTCTTGACAAAGAACATACAATCATATATATGTTAAGCTCACTCGAGGCCGATCTTGCTCAATGGAGAATATTCTCAAAGCTCCAGCGTAAGCGGCCATGGCAATCGTCAAGGTTTCAGGATTCTCAGATAGACCAAGCAGGCTGGAGGAGCAAAATGGACGGGATCGTCCACAGAGTTCCACGTGCAGGTGCGGTGGAATACGACGCTAGGAAAACAGGCAGACATCGGCGCCACCGCGTGAAACTTCTGATCCTGACGTCCATTTGCGACAGGCGAGAAAGTGTTCCTGCACCCGATTCTTGCCATGAGGTTTGCAATCGACGCTCCAATTTGCCAGGGGACTAGCGGTGTATACCAAGTACGCTTCGCAATCTCCTGAGACGAACTATCGAAGAACAAACGTAGAAGGGCAGACGATGGAGTGGCAGGTGCTCAATCCAGAGGAGTGTGCAAGGACCAGGCGCTACCCCCAACGAGGATAGGCGGGAGATGCGTTGGCCATCCTCTACACACCATCAGCTTAGAAGCGAACGACCCTGCAAGACCGGTGAATTTGGCCCCAAGGCAGAGTGTCGATCGCAGCAGCGCTGAAACTCGACCTCGAGGTAAGGGTAGCGAGACGGAGATGACAGTCTTGGCCGTTCTTCTCTTCCTGGATTCACTTGCTGCGTCCGTGTGTCGCGTGCTTTCACTGCCCGAATTTTTCGTAGTCGTGACATAGTGGGGATGAAACTGTTGAGTTCGCGTGGCTGTAATACAGCTGCGACGGCTGCTGAAAGTCGACGCGTATTCTGATATTATTGGGTGCGTGGGCGCGTAGTTGACGCCTCCGCATATGCGCGACGTAGACCCCACAGCCTTATTCGAATGACGTAGTCAACGCGCAGACAGCCTGGTGGGTCGATGAAAGAATGGATCGCATCCTAGAGATGCGCGGAGCGGACGTGACGATGGCTCCCCAGTCGATGGGGGTGCTGTGGTGTTTGGAGTGGGGAACCGCGACGTTTTCGTGATGCGCTATCGGAACTTGCCGCTGCCAAACACGACGTGGGGGCGCGGGGAAGCCATCTAGAATTGCCAGGAGCCTGCGATAGCCGCAAACCTCAATTTTCTTCACAGTACTGGTGTCACGGTTACTGGAAACACTCGTTATAACGATCACGACGCGATGAACGGCACGAAGGGTGCCAATGGCACATCAACAGGCCCCAAGCTTCTCTGGAAGCACTCCTCCCCCGAGACGACATCTATGTACCAGTTCCTTCAGTCAGTGAACAAGACATACAACCTGCAGCTATCCGACTATTCGCAGCTACACAAATGGAGTATCGACAACATAGACAAATTCTGGCAAAGAACGTGGGAATTTGTGGGTGTCCGACACCGGGGAGCCTTCACATCAGTCAGTCATCGTAGATCCATCCATGTAGCCTCTACTTATAGACGATAGGCCGTGGATGAAAAATTGCCCATGTTTCCCCGGCCGGCTTTCTTCTCGGGAGCAACACTGAATTTCGCTGAGAATCTTCTCTTCCCGACCTCCGAGGTCAACCCCGAATCACCCGCCGTCATCGCCGCTACAGAGACTACACGCGAAACAGTGACATGGAAGGAACTCAGAGAGAGGGTGAAGCTATGTCAGGCCGGCATGATACATTTGGGTCTCAAAGAAGGCGACCGAGTAGCTGGCTATGTTGCGAACCATACCAATGCGTTGGTAGCAATGTTGGCCGCGTCGTCGCTGGGAGCAGTATGGACCGCAGTAAGCCCAGACACAGGCGTCCATGCCGTTCTCGATCGACTACGCCAGATTGAGCCGAGCCTGCTCTTTGCAGACAACGCCGCTTTCTATAATGGTCGGGGTCATCCAGTACTTCCTAAGGTCATCGAGATCGTCAGGGATCTCCCATCACTTGAAGCCGTCATCATCTTTCCTACTGTAGCTTCAGTAAAGTTCGACGTCACCTCGATCCCAGTACAATCTGGCAGAGCCTACGATTATGCGACGTTTACATCGCTCAAGGCCACGTCAGACCTGACCTTCAAGCAACTGCCGCCAGATCATCCAGTCTATATTCTTTACTCGAGTGGTACGACAGGTGCACCCAAGTGTATCGTTCATGGAGCCATCGGGACGCTACTCCAACACAAAAAGGAACATATCATTCACTGCTCAATAAAGCCTAGCTCACGACTCTTCTACTTTACCACGTGTACTTGGATGATGTGGCATTGGCTGGTCAGTGGGCTCGCATCGGGCGCCACACTAGTACTTTATGATGGTTCTCCATTCCGATATGTAGATAGTTCCGACGCATCGACATCCGTTCCCGACGACCTAGCGATGCATCGTCTGATAGACGAGTTTGACATCACCCACTTCGGCACGTCCGCAAAGTACCTTTCCATTCTGGAGCAGAAGTCCATCGATCCGTCTGCTGCAGGGCTTGCAATGAGAAGGCTTGAAGCAATCTACTCAACGGGGTCACCGCTCGCGCCTTCCACGTTTTCTTACGTCTATTCCGCCTTCCCATCAACCATCAATCTTGGCAGCATCACCGGTGGTACAGACATCATCTCGCTCTTCGGTGCACCCAACCCACTCCTGCCCGTTTATGAAGGTGAAATCCAAGGCGCTGGTCTTGGCATGGCAATCGCTGCGTATGACTATACAGGTGCCGATGTCTCGATGTCAGGCGAACCAGGCGACCTAGTCTGTACCAAGCCCTTCATATGTCAGCCAGTAGCATTTTGGGGCCCTGAAGGCGAGTCAAAGTACCGGAAGTCGTACTTTGACAAGTTCACGAACGAGAAAAGTCAGCCAATCTGGCATCACGGCGATTTTGTGCGATTCAATCCCGAAACCGGTGGACTGTGGATGCTCGGACGCAGCGACGGCATACTCAAACCAGCGGGCGTACGCTTCGGATCAGCCGAGATCTACAACGTGGTGCTTGAGCATTTCCCCGAAGACGTCGCGGACGCGCTTTGCATCGGCCGCAGGAGAGAGACTGATACGGATGAGACTGTTGTACTCTTTCTGAAGATGGCAGAAGGTCGTCAGATCTCTGCTGATCTCGTCGGGAGAATCAAGACAACAATCAGGCGAGCGCTCAGTGCTCGTCATGTTCCAGCTGTAATGGATGAGTGTCCAGAGATACCCATCACTACCAATGGCAAGAAGGTTGAAGGAGCTGTCAAGCAGATACTTTGCGGACTCAACGTCAAGACGAGCGCGAGTGTTGCTAACGCCGAATGCCTAGACTTCTACCGAGATTGGGCGAGGACGCACTGAGACTCCAGTTCGGGACTTGACGCAAGATTCTGAACATACGACCTACTCCACCCACGAGTCAGACACCTAGCTTGAGCCATACCTTGGGGTCTCGGACTAGCAAGCCCCACTTTAACTGCAACCAGATCATCTCGTCACACGTCGGGAGCTGGGACATGAGCTTAATTCCACGACGTTGCAAGGAGCGAGTAGGCCTATAGTGTTACTGGGTTCTATCAGCCACAGTGGACATTTCGTACAATCCTAGCCACTGACAAGCTCATCCTCTCGCCTGCTTTTGCCGATCATCCCCTGCCAACCAATATTACTCTTCTCTGCTCGCAACCATTGCTGCATTTTTAGAAGCTCGCAGCAAGCATCTCGTCGACTTTCGTACATAGCGCATCAACAACACTGACACCAGCGTCGAATGTGTCCTTGACAACGCCCATAGTACCCTCGGGATAGCGTACAAGAACAGCAATCGCACCACCCGTTTTTACCACTCCATCTCCTGTCCAATCTCTTATCACCACGAAGATGTCAGTCGCGTTGATTGTTTGTTCGGTGTTTTGGCGATGTTGTTGTGTGCGAGGAATGAGATGTTCTCTGGATGCATGTCAGTTAAGATGCTAAGCGTGAGATAGAAGTGTCTTCAACATACGAGCTAGAGCGAGGATCCTTCGCTCGAGTTTGATAGCGCGATGGGCGGCGGCGACTTGATCGACGACAGTGTCGGGCGCTTCGTAACATTCGTTACGGAACGGGCGCATGAGATCGTAGATGCGCTGTTCGAGCGCGTTCGCAGGCTGAGGCGTAGACATTCCGGAGAGTTTGTTTGAGTTGATGTCAAAAGGGTGTTTGCCGCTTACGGGTGGTCGTGGGAGGAGAGAGAAGCGTGGAATAATGGCAACTGCCAATGACGAGAACGCCAAGACATCGTGGTTGCACCTGAAATTGTAGACTGAAAAGCTCGAATCTTCACCCTCACCTCCCCTCTACTTGCTATTAGTGCTCAAGATCCTCCTCCCTCCCGCAGCTGTCCCGAACTCACAAAAGATAACACCGTGACTGTCTTCGCGCTTCTCCGTCGCTCTCAACGTGGCTCCACCTTCACTTCGGGAAAGAAGTTCGCCAACGTCCTATCACACTCTTCCGTCAGGATCTCGATCACGCCTTTTCCATCTTCCTTCCTCGCCCAGCAGCGCATGACAGTGTGTGTGTATCCATTTCCATTGACAAAGATTCCCAATCCAGATATTCCCCCACCTCCTTTGATCATAGCAGACCAGTTGCGAGAGCCGATAGAGATATCGATTGGGACGATGGTTTTGCCGTACGAAGACTGGTTGTGGCGAATGATGAAGGCTAAATTCTCTTTGAAGAGGTGTCAGCCAGAGGAGTGAAGTTGAAGTGGGTAGAATGTCTACGTACCACAGAGGATGAGGAGTAGACGCTCTTCTTCTATTGCCGATACGGTGTTGGGAGCGTTCTTGTAACATTCTTCGCGGTAAGGCTGTAGGAGATCGTAGAGTCGCTGTTCGAGCGAATCAGTAGACATGACGAGTTGACTGGTCACGGCTTAATTGGTATATCTCGAAGTGGGGAGAATGAAGTGGATAGTACTGAACGCAGCGGATTTCTATGCAGGCGGTGGGGTGGGCCTGGAGTGTTTGCGCTAGGAACCAAGCCTGCTTCACTGTGCAAGCAGGTGCGGATAGTCAATTCTGCCTGAGCCCTAGAGGGTCGTGCGTGACTGCGGAAAATTTGAGACTTGTAACTTGGGATCTAGCAGCACTTTTCAGACATCTCCAACAGCGATACACTATTTGGTCAGCCCACACGGTCTCTTGCCTAAGACCCCATCTTTTACCCTCAGTAGCTGACACCATGGCCCTCATGCCATGAGATCTCCTGATCCATCATCCTCCTGATGAGCAAGGACATCTTTGATGACCTTGTCCACCTTGTCAGACAAGACATTCATCAACTCATCCTTCCCTCTGATTTGCGCCCACAGCAAGACTGTAAAGTTGCCCGGTCCTTGGTGGATGCAGATGGTAGCCCTGCGAGCGATGTTATTGCGAAGAGGGCCGCGGACGTCCAGAATAGGGATAGAAATCTGGGACACGAGTATGCCCGGGCCAGCGGTGAACTTGATGAGGAAAGCGATGTTGTCTGATAGAGGTAGGTCAGTCTCGTTCGGAGGAAGGGGCGAGAGAGGGAGGCAGACTAGACATGCTTTCGATGACATGCGAAGGAACAGCGCCACGGCGGGGGCTCAGGGTATTGAAGATGTGCTGTTGCACTGGGTCGATGGGAGACGAGGTCATCGTTCGTTGCTGTGAGGAAGCTAACCCTCAACGTCATAGAAGTCTAGTGAAGGTTTGGTGTCAAAGTCGAGGCCGCACTTCTGAGAACACGGCACCCGTGAGAGCGCACTGACTTCGCTACTCACCTTCACCGTCTGCGGTCATGCATCCTATTCTTAGGCTTTTTCCGTGCAGCAAAACGACCATCCGTGAATTCCATGTGGTCATCAAAATGCGCAAGCGCTTTCCCGGAGAACAGGGTTTAAGACAATGCTGGTATAGATTTCGTGTAGCGTCGTTATGATACCGATATAATGTTAAATCGCCTGTCACAAGCATCCACGGCCCCTAGCCAGCCCGCTGCTCCGTCCGATGCCTGCCCAGGCGTGTACAGTTGGAAAGATACAATACCCAATGCTGATGATAATACACAATAGAGCCACTACATTACCCACCCATGATATAGTAAAGATACATGCAATACCGGATAAACACCTCCCAGTCCCGCGCGCCAGCGCCTGACCGCGGCGCGTTTTGGCATCTACAATCCTCGTCACCTGCCTTCCTTGATCTTTACACAATCAGCAAACGCGGGAAAGTTGCCTCTGAAGCTTGGGCCCAGTGTCCAGTTGTTCAGGTCGCGGAGATGCGTTTCAAAGGCGGGATTGATGAGCCACTGGTCGTCTTCTTTGGGGAGCGGACCCATGGATGTGATACCGGCGGATATATGCGCAGCAGAAGGCTGTGGGGTGGAGGGATCTTGCGGTGAGCCGGCGTTGACATGTGTGGAGAAAGGCGAGGAGACCGAAACGGATGACGTCGTCGAGAGTGCCGAGGTATGGACTTTCGAAGCAGGGAGGAGACAGTCGCGGGGCTCGTAAGGCCAGTTCAGGGAAATGGTCGTCGTGAAGGGGATGAAGAAGTTTTCGAAGGATACTGGCGGGTGGCCAGCGACGAGTTTGTCGCGAAGGCGAGGCCTGGAATAGATCAGTCGTTATGTCCTTTTAATTGGTTTTCGAAGCGAATCTTAGTACGTACCATGGGAGATGATCGATCCATAAGGCGTGAGCAGTGAACAGCTGAGAAGGTCGTGGTGTAGCCCAATGTGGCAGCCGATCATAGTTCTCCTGCGTAGGTTCGATCTGCCAACGCATGATCAGGAACATGATGAATACTATCGCAACCTGTTCTGGCCTGCCGCAGATGTCTGGAAACGTGCGCAAGATGTCTGTAAAGAGCTTCGACAAGGGGTGTGCATCTACTGCGCGCTCCGGATACGCTAGAGACGTGAAGTTGGGGTAGTGTGGTCCAACCAGGGTCTTCATAGGTACGCCCTCGGCAGCGCGATTTTGACGGTCTTGTAGGAAGTCAAGCAAGATGACGTCCAGGGGGCATGTCGCTGGGAGATTGCGAGGTAGCGTGAGGTGGGCGACCATGCTCGGTGCATACATGGCATGCTGGCTACTACTGACATTGCTGGGTCGCGGCTGCTGTGGAGGGGGAAGATTTGGATCGACAGCCCTTCTTTGCCCATTGTCGAGAATGAAGTCTACGCCTAGACGCTCATCGAAAGGCATCTCTGACTGTAGATGGGGTGTTCGCGACTGGTCGAAATGCGGCCCGGGGCTGCCATTGGAGTAACGGCGCAAGTGGCTGTTTGGCGCGTCGTTTGGATACAGCCATGCTCTCCCCCCCTCGGTCACGCTGGGAGAATGTACGCCGTTCTGAGGTGAGGCCGTGGATAGCTCGTGGGACGCAATGTGGTACTGTCGTGGTTCGGCAGGTTGCACAGGCGCGTCGCGCTGTTGGTGAGGATGGATTGGAAGGGGCGATCGCTCGGCAGCAGCTGCCAGTTCTACCTCTTGTCAACATTCGTTCCTTCTTTGGGAGTAGTCATCGTACCATTGAGGCCACTCGTCGCACGCACAATGGGCTGGATGATGCTCAGGACGCTCTCGAGCCTCTTCCTGATATCTCCGTTCTCCGCCTGGACCGCCTCTTTCTCGCGGAGGACGACTTGCAGGTCATGGTATGGCTGCTGGCTCTCCAAATCCCGGATGCGCTGATTGAGGCGATCGATCTGGTTCTTCGTCCGCTCCCGGATGGCACGTTGAGCTTCGCGGTCGTTTGCGCGCTTTCGAGCAAGCTGTTCAGGCGTAAGGTTGGCAACGCCACGCGAGTTGGGGCCAGTCCTGCGCTTTTTGTTGGGCTGACCATCGCCCGAACCATCGTCTCTAGGGGCTCCTTCGGGCGTGTCTGCCTCCGCCGGCGACGCCATGCTGATCATGGATGCGTGTGGGCTGCGACTCAGGAGGGAAATGGACAAATCCTACCCCGAGTCATGACCCTGACACTGCAGCTGCGATGAGTTTTGCCTACAGCAAGCTAGACCCGAGCAGGCCTAGTGAATTATCGCCGCCCTGATCGATCGCGGGGACAGCACGCGTGGGGGGCGCGAACCTCGGGAATCTCGCCGGGTAACGCTCTCCGCACTTGCACAGTCTAGATTCAGAAGCGCGCCATGGGGTAGTTAGTGTGCTGTGGGTGATGGTAGCATTTCGCTGCCATCGCATGTTCTATCGCAACACTATGGCAGATCAGAATGTAAGCAAGCTGGGCATCGCTTCGGCGACACTCAAAGCCAGTACGCGCCTGCATCAACTGGTCAGAAGCAAGTACTAACATCTCCTACAGTGGGCTCTGCGCTGCAACGCTCCGTCACATCACCGTTCAAAGGCGAGAATGGCTCCAACACATACTTCAAGGACATCATGTTCGCCATGTTCCGGACGAATCTGGGAAACCTCGACCTTGCGCAAGACCGGTACATGAACGGCGCATCATCGACGCCTACCTACCTTCAGCATGCCGAGAAGTATAATTTCGTTCCAGATAGCATCAAGCTACCTAGTGGAACACAGGCGCATTGGCTGGGCAGCAGGAGCGCGAAGAAGGTTTTTGTGTACTTCAATGGTAGGTCAGCGAGTTCCAATATGGTGAGCGTCTGACTGATATAAACAGGCGGCGGATATGTGATGCCATGCACACCAGGCCATATGCTATGGCTCGACGACTTCCAAAAGTCACTCGGCCCCGACGTATCCGCGCTCCTCCTCGCGTACGACCTCGCACCAGAAGCAAGATATCCCAGCCAGCTGAAACAGGCAGTCGAGCTGCTTCACCATCTCGTGCACATCGAGGGGCGCAACCCTTCAGACCTAATTCTAGGAGGCGACTCGGCGGGCGGAAACCTCATACTCGGTCTGCTCTCACACCTCGCACATCCACATCCCGAGATTGCGCCGTTGTCACTTCCATCTAAGATCCATGCCGCGCTTCTAATCTCACCATGGTGCTCTTTGACCCAGACCAACACGCCAGCATTCGTCACGAACGCGCAACGCGACATGTTTGACGCGCGAACTCTCTCCCGCTGGGCGACTGCATTCCTCGGCTCTTCCTCTCCTTTCGCCGGCGACTTCTACTCCGAACCCGTTCTCGCAGCTCCAGAGTGGTGGGGGCCTGTTGCCGATGTTGTGGAAGAGGTCCTGATATGGGCGGGCGATAACGAGGTGCTCAAGGATGGCATTGAGGCATTTGCAAAGAAGTTCACACAGGGCTTTGGCAGCAAAGGTGGGCTGGTCACTACAGTCGTAACGCCAAAAGCGTGCCACGAAGAGATGGTTGTGGAGCGAATACTGGGTTACAAGGGCGACTCGGGCACTGGAAGTCAAGAGGTGGTTCAAAGCTGGGTTAAGGCGAAGCTGTGATCGATATAAGCTTGGACATCATATATATGTACGAATGGAAGACATAGGTAACATGGGATACGCGGCCGTGAAGACCACAATTGTCTGAATGGTGCCATGAGTTATCAAGATGACGTTTTCGTGCTCACACTCGGAGTTAAGGATAAAAGGCAATGACGATGGTTGTGCAGTGTGTAGATTACGCAAAGATACAGATCTGATGTGAGATGACTGTGGGGTATACGAGAATACGAACGAGCCCGCGGAGAGGCATCGGTACTAGCGCGATCGGGACCTTCGGAGACCGACCGCGGGTGACAATTACACCTACGCCATCAACGTCCTTCGTATAGCTCCTCGGATCTGGGAAGTCGGTACCCCGGAGGCAATTAACTGTGTCGAAGTCTACGACGATCGCGTTCCTGTATTGCAATGTGGCTTCATGAGCACCAAGAGGCTCGCCGCGGACCGGTCCCTGGTATCGTCGTGACCGCATCATTTGCCGCTGACCGACCCAAGCACGATGCCTGGACAACAACGCATGGCGTTTTGTTGTTTCGCCACGAGTAATCACTCAAAATCCTGTAGGAGTTCCACTAATGATCGGAAGAAAAGTAACATGGACTACCTAGTTACACTTTCATGACGTGCATGACAGAGTGCAAGTGAGATGCGGCTTGGATGTGTCACTACACACGTCACATCACCATTCGAACGTACATAAGCTGATGTTTTCATGCTCTCCATCGAAATCATTCAAATACCATTCGAATCCATCCCAAAATGCCATTCACTACTCAACTCCGCACCATTTCCCGACCCTTCATCCAGCAACCACATCTCTTCAAACAAACTTCTGTCAGAATGTCTTCTACCAACTCCACCAACTCGTACGGCCAGGGTGCATCGCACGCCACTGGTCAGAGCGCCGTCCCCAACAAGGTCCAAGAGGCTGCACCCAAGGGTCTTGAAGAGAGCCTCCCTGAAGGTGTAAGTTTATCATATCTGTCAACCGCGAAGTGAAGCATACTAACATTGCTATAGGTTCACCCAACTGGTAGCAACCCCAACAGCCAGTCTACCAGCAAGACCCATGCCCTGAACAACGGCGAAGACTCAATCGTCCCTAAGAAGGTCCAAGAGATCGTTCCCGAGTCTGTCGAGCGAGGTAAGAGCTCTACATGCAACGCAATAATGACGCGATCCTGACACACACGAAGCTCTTCCCAACTCGATCCACAACACTGGAGACCAATAGTCGCGTCCTACTACTTGGCGAAGGATCGACAATCAATAAGCCCACTGTATCATAATAATAAATCAACGTCGCATCCAACTACATCTTCTTCAGAGCTTATGGTGTGACGTATTGACCAACCCATTTTGGGGATACATTGAACTCCTACCTACACCGCGTGATGGAAGTAAGAACCTAAGAGTCTACGTTGCCTACGTACGTTGTGAATGGTTGTTTCTGAATGAATCTGGACTGCAGGTCACCTATTCAGCCTCTTCTTGGTATGACATTGCACAGGGTTGTTCGCGCCGAAGATTCCCGTCATTTGGTGTGTACCTGACGCTAGTGTTGAGCCGCGGTAAAGATGACGTTAGTCGAGCCCCACCATCCCGCCAGGTCTCCAGATCTTTTCCTAGCCATCACGACACCACGCCTCTCTACCCACGTGCACGCATTTCATCATGGCTTCCGCAACAGCAGCCGATATTCAGGGCCCGTCTCACCCCAACCCAGAAGGCCTCAACACATCGGCAAGCACTCAATTCCCGCCTATCAACATCGGCACGCGCAACTCGGTACTCGCCCAGATCCAGGCCCGCGCAGTCGAGCGAAGCTTGAAGGATGCGTACCCGGACCGAACCTTCAACATTTGCCCCGTCGTGGTGCAGGGAGACAGGGACAAGATCACACCCTTGCAGCAACTGAGTCAGGGAGAGAACGCGAAGAGTCTTTGGACGGGCGAATTGGAGAGCATGCTGGAATCTGGTGATCTAGATATCATCGTTCACTGCTTGAAGGGTATGTTCAGGGGCTTGCGCATTGAACGTTCGAACGAGTCGGGCTGACCAATAGAACAGACATGCCCACACAGCTGCCAGATCACCTTGAGATCGGTGCCATACTCCAGCGTGAAGATCCCCGCGATGCCCTCCTGATCTCCCCTCGTCTGCCCAAGGAAACAACATTAGCTACCCTTCCTCAAGGAGCCACCATCGGTACGTCATCGGTACGACGAGCTGCAACATTGAGGAAGCTATACCCACACTTGAAGTTTGCCGACCTCAGAGGCAACGTCGGTACGAGATTAGCGAAGCTCGATGCCGAAGACTCTCCGTACTCGGCCATTATTTTAGCCGCTGCCGGTTTGAAGCGAATGGGTCTCGACAATAGGATCACACAGTATCTGAGCAGTACGAGCGGAGGTATGCTTCATGCAGTTGGTCAGGGTGCTCTCGGGATCGAGATCAGGAAGAACGATAAGGCCATGAAAGATATCATGAGCAGTATTCGATGCGAGCGGACGACGAGAGCATGCTCAGCTGAGCGATCTCTACTACGCACTCTGGAAGGAGGCTGCAGCGTGCCTATCGGCGTTGAGACATCATGGAGAGGTGGAAAGGGTCTAGCTATCGGTGCGCAACCAGCAAAGGACTATGACATGCACGGAAATGCGGTAAAAGAGGAAGAGCCAGACGTTGACGACCAGGAACTAGTGTTGAGAGCCATGGTGGTCAGTGTAGACGGTACAGAATCTGTGGAGTACGAGACAGCGCGCAAAGTTCGATCATCAGAAGAGGCAGAAGAGATGGGACAAGAGGTTGCCAAGGTCTTGGTCGAGAAGGGCGCCGATAAGATTTTGAAAAAGATTAATGTGGAGAAGCAGTGGGCGGCCAAGAAGCAACTCGAGGAGCTACAAGCCAAGGCGACTAGCTCATAGATCAACCGCTATAACGATCAACGTATTACGAATCAGTGAAGCACCCTCAGTCGCTGATCTCGATGACAAGATGCTTTTTTGGCCTTGCTCTGCTTCACTGGCTAATGAACACCTACGTCTGTTTATGTGTTTGCGAACATCTCTCTGGAAAGGAGTACTACCTGAGTATCGATTACTGCTAGCACTCAAGACAGAGCAAAACATTCACAAAGACACAGATACAGAAAGCTCGTTGGCAAAGTTGTGACCCTTGGGCGCCTCAATATATAAGAAGTTTCGAGTACGCAAAGTATGACCTTTCTGCTATCAACTCCCTCAAAGTACTAAGCACAAGCCCTCAATCGCTACAAAATCATATCGCCAAAAGCTTCTCTCCGCTCCAAAACACCACACTCACATCGTCGTGCACAAGGCCATTAACCCAAAATCATCAGTGCCCAAGTATTCCATCAAATTTACTTCCAACATGTGCGAAGAAAGATGGACTCAGTACAAGGACTGCAACCACGAGCACACTTCAATGAGGCGGCATACACGCTGTCATCGACTTGAAGATGATGTCAACGCAAGGCAGTATGCGCAGTACGGCCGCGTGCGGCGGACAATCGAGTATCCGGACATGTACGGCCGGTGTTGGGCCAACGGCGCTGTTCCTGACGAGGGCTTCAAAGGTGGAAGGTGGGATAGTCGGTAGGTTGTGTTGGAAGTGCAGAATGGTAGGAAACGGCAGAGTGAGTTGAGAGAGTCACACGAGTGTTCGGAAATATGTATCGGCATCGGTATAGGCAAAAAACTTAAGTTCTCAATACTTCATACATTATCATAGTCTATATTAGTAACAGCCTATGCGGGCAAAACGCGTAAAGTGATGCTAATATATTACATATGCAGTATGAAGATCTTCCTAAAGCTTGCATAAGAAAGTGACTTTAGTGGTATTTTGGAAGGCATGCTGGCGATGGTGTCCCGTATGGTTTGCCAAGCGCTAATTCACGTGATACCGCGTCTGGTCGCTAACGGGATAAATCTGACTGAGGATTGAGCAATGCACTGTTGGGCCATAGCCGTCATGGAAATACGCTGGAGAGGACATGTTGAGATTGCACCTCGCTTGAGGCGAAAGAGCTTGTGCAAACGATGTTCGTCCGTCTTTGGGTTGTTCTATTATGCCCGTGTAGACAAAAAGGATTGTGGGTATCATTGACTGAAAATAGCTATACATGCGAACTCTACACGCCCAATCTACTGCTGCGGCTTATACACCATACCTCCCGTCCTTGTATAAGCGTCTGTGCTCGCCGGTCCAGCCCACCGTCTACTAACCTCCTCTCTATGCTTAACCTCTCTCTCATTTTGCACAGTAACGCAGCAACAGCAACAACATCCCTTGAGCAGATCGCTCCCAAAACTGCCTTCGAGTTTATACGCGCGCCGAATACGTGTCCGTTGCAGCATAGGGAATAGCCACCACAGCCCGCACGAAAGGCCCATGACCATGCAGTGTCCATTCGTGGAGCTGTGGCCGAGCATATCCGTGGGATCTTTCTTCGCGGATTTCTGGGACAGGCGGTACGAGGTGCGGCCGTAGAGGATGCAAGGGCAGAAAAGACCTGTTAGGCAGGTTGAAGGGTCCGGGCTGCATGCGCAGATGCCGTTTGACCATTCGTGTGACTTCTCTAGCTCCATGTTTGGATGCGATATCTGGCCTGGTTGGTGTGCAGCAAAATCGAGGCCGTTGGGGCCGTGTGCAGCGTCTGGAGAGAATACGGCATGGAAGTTGCTATTCTGGTTCGAGAAACCGTGTGGTGAATAGGGCTCGTTCGGATACGGCGAGTTTCGGAGCGTAGGGGAGGTTGGATTGTCTCGTGGCTGTTCTTTGTGCATAGAGTTGGCGGAGATGGGGGTCATTGGTGTCTTGTGCGGTAGCGGCGAGGTTTGATGTGTACCCGACGGCGGTGTAGGAGGGATGGGCGGCATGGCATACGTTCGGATGTTTGTATTGATGGGTGACAGGTTGCTCATCTGCCGAGCGTGCCTGCTCTGCTGTGTTTCAACCTGCGGTATCTGATGAATAGGTTCTGGTTGTGGTATTGACGAAACTGGGGAAAAGTGTTGCGCTTGCGGAGCATGCTGAGGCGAGACGGGCGAGACGGGAGGTTTAATGTCATGCGCATAAGACGGCGGCATGTAAGCAGTTTGCGATTGGGGCGGAATGATCGGGAGCTGCGCATCGAGCATCGATTGGGGGCGAGGGTCGATCGGCGTGTATCCCACTGGCGATGTTGGTAGTGAGATGGGCATGGAATGTGGCATGGGCGGATCATTCGGCGAAGATGTGTATACGAAAGCACGCATTTCTGCGGGTGTCTGCGCATACGAGAAGTGCCGTGATGAATCTGTGCTGACTTGGGGTTGCTGAGGCCGCTGAGGTTGTTGAGGCTGCTGAGGTTGCTGAGGCTGTACCGGCTGCCGGTATTGCTGAGGTTGTTGATACTGCTGAGGCTGATGCTGTGGTGCTTGCTGTTGCGGCTGTGTACAGGCCGGTGCATCATCCTCGAGAGGTTGCTGCCATGAGAACCTGTTGTGCTGCTGGGAAGTCATTTGAGGCTGAAGCTGCTGGTTCTGTCCATGCTGTCGGGGATCCATGATGCGCGATTGTCCTCAAGAAAGTCCGCTTGCAACGAGGCGCTTCTAACAGAGAAGACGAGTTGTGTACTAGATCGTATGTGATGTTAACTCTGAGTGTAGAGTCAGCGGGAACATCCGGTGGCACAGCCGTTATGAGCTGTTGGAGGTGAGCTGGAATATGGTTGGGATCAAGCCGGGGGCCAGGAGGTCTGATATCAGGTCAAAGGGCTGCACGTCAGGTACATGCACAAGTACGAGGTCCAAAGAAAGGCAGCCCTGCATCAGAGCCGCCTATCGCTCCGGTTGGCTCTTGGCCATGCCTCATGTCATAGGCGAGCAGCATAGTGGACGCAGATTCGTAGAGCTCCCGCCGTAAGATGGCTCTCTTTTTAGACTTGCAGTGAGGCGCGGGCTTGGCCAATTGAGGTTGGAGGTGAGGTGTGACAACGTTGTGGAGCGAGTCGGTCGGCGCTTACGGGTGGCTCGGCCCCAACGTGCAGACCAATGACGGGGCTCTTTCCTCCACTACGCGTTCTCGGCCACCGTTCCTGGGTCGCATTTAGGGCCCTTCTCTTGCATCCGGACAAAGACTCCTCATCATTGGAAAACGCCGCAGTTTGAAGAACAACGAGCACAGCCCGGTGGCGCAGATGTTGCGGGTCCGTGACTGTTCACGTGTTTCAACGCGATCGAGTCATGCCTTACGTTTGCAAATCGCCGTGATAGCACTGGGCACGTAGATAAAGACACTGTGCTTGAAACTTCAACATGTCCCGTCACGGGTGAGACACATAATACAGTCATATTTGAAGTGGTGACATAGTTTGATTCAAGACTATACAAGGGCGGCGGAATGCGCGCTCGCCGTGAAGGTATTATAGGAATCGGGACAGAGAGGGTCGGGACGGCACGAGGGTACGATCTATGCGTCCTTGTCCTGCTGGGCCTTTCCACGCTCCTCCTTGTTCTCCGCGCCTGGACGCTCAGTGGAGACGGTTCCTTGCAGCTTAGCGGTTTCGGCAACACCCTCGCCCTTTTTGCTCTTCTCTTCCTGCTTGGAGATCTGCGAGGTGTGGTGGGTGTTGTCATTGGAGAGTCCCTTTTGCTTGCCAGACATCTCGTTCTGGCTCTTGGTTTCGTCCTTGCGGGGGTCGGGCTGTACTAGTTAGCATGTTGTGTGCAATGAACATGTTGACACACTGACCTTGTCGGACTGGTCAGGAGATTGGCTGTCCTTCTCCTCGCTATTCTCCTTGGTAGGCTTCTCTGGGTTTTGCTGGTCGCTCTTTGGCTCCTCCTTAGATTCGTCCTCTGACTCGTCCTTAGACTCGTCCTTGGTTTCCTCCTCGGGCTCATCCTCCTTGTTCTCCTCTCCAACGGTAGATCCGGTGCCAGTCTTCTCAGCACCGCCCTCGCCATGTGGGTCGCCGAGGGGGTGGTGTTCAGCGCCGTGGTTCGTGTCTTGGGTTACGACAACGTAAAGACCAAGAGTGGTGCCGACGACGGCTGCGGCCATCCTGGATATCTTGGTTAGTATCAGGTATGTTATGAGACTTGACGCAATGTGTACACAGCTTGGCTGCTTTACAAAAGCGGAATAGTACTTTCACACGCCCAGCTACTCAATTCGAGGGCTGTGTGTAACATGCTGCATATTTGCATTCGCGTTCATCTGACCATCGAAATGAAATTGACATACCATGGGACATCGCTGCTCTTAGCCTCACCCTCGGGACCGTGGCCGCTGGCGTAGGTTCGGCGTTGGACAGCTCGTTGCCATGGCTGGAGCTCGGCAGCGCGGATACACCTCGCCGGGCGAGCTGCGCGTGCCAATGAAGAAGCGCGGAGAGCAGATGACCTGATGAAAGACATGATGAAGCTGTAGAGGGATGAGTTGAAGCTCGCGACGGGCAATTGATGGCAGACTCGGAGTTGGGATGCGCGCAAGAGAAAGATCACGTCAGTCAGAATTATCGGTACGTCACATTGTGGCCCCTGCTTCCGAGGTCTAGCTCCGCGTTCTTGCATCACGTGTGCTTGACCTCGAATACTCCCGACCCAAGCTTGCGTGAGGCTGCAGAATCATCGCATAATGATCGTACACGAATGATTTCTTCAGAAATGGCTGGATATAAGTGTGTTGTATCGATACTTGGAAGACAGCAACTGTGGATCCCGGTGGTGAGAATCACGTCCTGGGCCAACTATCAGAATATGATTCAAAGGATACGCGCATGAACGATTCTTGATACTGTGTACATGAAGGAGACTATAGTGAGAACAGTGTTATCCGCTCAAGCGTTTGGAACAGCCACCTTATACAAGGGAAAAACCGAACACCTTAGAGCCTACGTTGACGTTGGGCCCCCTACTTTGCATGTTTTTATCTTAATGTAGGCTCCAGGGTGTTCGGATTTTCCCTTGTATGAGGTGCAGCTCTTTGATACCCTGTAATTGCACAGAGGCCGTGCGCAGGTTGGAGCTCTGAAAGCGACGCAGGCAACAATTGTCCAAAAGCTTCCATAGCGCTCTCCCTCCTCCAACGCGGCCACTGGTGCCTCCATTCTACAATTAAAACCGCAGCTCGCCCACAAGCTTTTCCATTCTTCTCCCTTCCTTTCGCTCTTCACTGCGACTTTGAAGCTGTACAGCACCGTCAACCCCGCCAAAGCTGCCCCGCCACACTGCACGCGCCCCAGACTGCGGGCTCACATTTGTGATACCAGACGCGCGAAGTGCTGTAGGCCTAAACACCAGCCATGGCGCCGCCCTCTTCGGTCCCGCCCAACCCGACCGCCCATAATGTCGCCCAGCTGCTCCCCCGGTTCGCCGACGATGACCCCGATTTCCGCTTCATGGCCCTGAGCGACCTGCACGACATCCTCCTCATAGCTCACCCTGGCCTACTCCTCCACGATGATGTCGTTTCGGCCAAGACGGTCGAGGGCCTCCTCACAACACTGGTCGACACCAACGGCGAGGTCCAGAACCAAGCCATCAAGTGTTTAGGCCCTTTCGTCAACAAGATCAGCGATAAGACGCTTCCTGTCATGATCGACAAGTTATCTACGCTTCCCACCGGCAATACAGTCGACCAGTCCATACCCGCTATGGCCCTCCGCGAAGTCGTCATAACCCTCCCCCGTCCTACCACCGGTGCTGCGCGGAGCAAGTCGGTACAAGATGCATACAGCGCCATCAGCAGGGTCCTGATACCGCGTCTGATCGGATACAATGTTATACAACCAGCACAACAGGGCCTGACTCAACCGCCCAAGGGCATGTTGGAGTCAGACCTCGAGAAGGGTTCGGACAGCAACGCTCTCGACGTTCTCATTGAAGTCGCCAAGTGCTTTGGTCCTATGTTGCAGGATGTAGAAATCCAAGCTTTGCAGCAGATCACCTTCGCCATACTCGAGAATGACCGGGCAAGCTCTATGATGAAGAAGAAGTCCGTCACCGCCATCTCGGTACTGGCCGGTTACTTCTCAGACCAGCTCCTGAGTAGTTTCCTTTCAAAGGTTATCGAGCTCCTGCGGGATCCCCACCTTACTCGCAGCAAGCGGAAGCTGTACATCACCATTCTGGGCTCCATGGCCCGTTCTATCCCACGCAAATTCGGTCCCTACCTGAAGACACTGGCACCCTTTGTTCTGAGCGCCTTGAGCACACAGGAGCAAGACGAGGAGATGGATACCTCAGATGACGAAGGCGAGCGCGACCCTGAAATTGACGAGGTGCTCGAAGCCGCCCTCATTGCATTGGATGGTTTCCTTGCCTCTTGCTCGCAGGACATGCGCATGTACACCGACGAAACCATCGAAGCAGCGACGCGCTACCTCAAATACGACCCTAATCTCGCGCAGGACGACGACGATGACGACGATGATATGCCAAGCGACGAAGAAGACGCGCTTGAAGGCGATGACTTTGAAGAGGAGACGGGTTACGATGACGATGAGGACGCAAGCTGGAAGGTCCGTAGGTGTGCGGCCAAGGTACTTTACACCCTGATCTCGACACGAAGCAACGGCGATCTTCTCGACGACGGAACTCTCTACGACCGGGTTGCGCCAGCACTTATAACACGGTTCAAAGAGCGGGAAGACAACGTGCGATTGGAGGTCCTAGCCGCCTTATCCAACTTGATCAAGAAGTCGGGTGACGGACCCTCGCCTGTCAAGTTCGCTGATGAGACACCTCAGAGTGGTACAATGCCACCACCGCCAAGCAAGAAGCGTCGTCGTGGCGGTAGTGATGCTAGCATGTTTGATCTGCAGGTCAATTCATCCTTGTCAATGGGCTATGCTTCACCCGCACCAGCCGGCACGCCTCCAGTCGGCCCTCGCGCAAGCTTAGCTAAGATCAGCCCGGAAATTGTCAAGGGCATCGCGCAGCTCCTAAAGCAGTCATCATGCCCACCTACCACCAAGCAGGCGTCTATCTCTTTGATCAAGGACATCGTCATCACCCAGCGTGGCGGTCTGGATGGGTACCTCAACCAACTGATCAACCCTGTTGTAGAAGCTGCAAAGATTACTGGTGGTTCGACAAGTAGTGCTTCCGCTACCGCTAATACCTTACGCACTCAAGCTTTGCAGCTGATAGGAGCCATCGCCGATACTCACTCGTCCAAATCCATCCAGCCATATGTAGCGGCTATCATTGACGCGCTCCTCCGTGGGGTCAAGGATAAGTACAGCAAGTTGTCTATCGAAGCTCTGGCAGCAACAGAGCAAGTCATCAAGGCCCTCACACCTCCTCGAGCAGCTACAGCAGGAACAGAGAACCAGCAATATCTAGAGCAGTTATTTGATGCGTTGGTCAACCGCATATCAGCGAACGATGCGGACGTAGAAGTTCGACGGAGTGCCATTCACGTCCTTGGATTGTTGCTTGGTAGGAGCTCTGGTGAACAAGGCCTCCTCTCCTCGCCAAAGAGAACGGCTGGACTTGAACTTCTGGTAGAACGCCTGAAGAACGAGTTGACAAGGCTTGCTTCAGTACGTGCTGTTGATTCTGTCGCTGCCCACACCAAGGCGCAGGATGAGTTGTCAGCCAGGTGGGTGCAAAATGTCGCACTGGAACTTGCTGCCCAATTACGGAAAGCCAGTCGCGTATTACGCGGTGCCAGCCTAAGCGCGCTGCGTACTCTCTCATTAAACTCGCTATCACGGAGCCAGCTCGATAATAAGACTAAAGCACAGGTGGTGGAGATGCTGCTTCCGCTGCTGAACGCCAGCGACCTGCACCTCCTGGGACCGGCTCTCATCATCTTGGCTACATTCGTCAAGGACGATGCGCAAGCCATCATGACACCCAGCCTCAATGACGCACTCTGTCAAGTCGCTCAAGGCTCGATAAGCGGAACACCGTTGGATGCACTTCTTCAGCTAGTACGCACTATCGGTGAGCAACGCGCCGGAAAGGCCTTGATGCAAGCACTGCTACAACAAGTTGGTGTATCCGGGCATCCAGAGGTGGTAGGCAAGGTTATCGGTAACCTGCTTGTATATGGTGGCGATAGTGTTGGCGTAAAACTTGAGCAATTCATCACTGAGCTTGAGACGGCACAAGACGACAAGCGCAAGTGTCTTGCCCTAGTCGTACTTGGAGAATCTGCATTGCGCCTAGGTTCGCAATCTTCCATCGATCCCAAGTTATTCATCAAGTACTTCTCTGCTAAGTCCGAGAACGTGCCGCTTGCGGCCGCTGTTGCGCTTGGCCGAGCCGGTGCTGGAAGTGTCAGCAAATACCTTCCCGTCATTCTGTCATCCATGGGACAGCCCTCTTCACCGCAGTATCTGTTCCTACACGCTATCAAGGAAATCCTTCAGCATGACGACACGGAGTCGGAGATCATCCCGTACACGTCGACACTCTGGCAAAATCTCGTTGTTGCTTCTCAACTCGAAGACAACAAAGCGATCGGCGCAGAGTGCATTGGCAGGCTTACCATCATTGACCCGAAGACGTACCTTCCTCAACTTCAGGTTAGACCTCCGCATAGTTTTGTTTGTTTTCAACAGCTAATTAATAATCTAGGCGTTCTTGAACGACCGCAAGGAAAGCTTACGCGCTATGGTCATTTCTGCTCTACGATACACTTTCACCGATACCGATGAAGCCTACGACGAGTACCTCCGCCCCATCGTTGTGCCCATGCTTGTACAAATGCTCAACGAGCCCGATCTCGAGAATCGCCGTCTTGCTCTTATGACGTTCAACTCTGCCATGCACAACAAGCCGGACATTATCCTACCTGCACTCGACCAGCTGCTTCCACTGGCCATGAAGGAGACCGTCATCAAGCCTGAGCTTATCCGCGAGGTGCAAATGGGTCCATTCAAGCTCAAGGTCGACGACGGCTTGGAGATCCGCAAGAGCGCATACGAGACCCTCTATGCTCTTCTCGAGAAAGCCTTCGCACGACTATCGCCCATCGAGGTCTCGGACTTCTTCGACCGTATCGTCGCTGGTATTACCGACGAGCACGACATTCGAGTTTTGTGCAACCTCATGCTCACCAAGCTCATGATCATTGCACCGGACCAGGTCCGCTCGCGTCTGGATTCTCTTGCCGAGAATTTCCGGACTGTACTTGCTGTCAAGCCAAAGGAGAATGCTGTCAAGCAGGAGATCGAGAAGATCCACGAAGGCGCCAAGGGCGTGCTCAAAGTGTCCATGCAGCTTAACAAGCAAATGGGAACCGAAGCCGGTATAGGCCAGGACGACTCACAGTCTCGCGTCTGGGCACAGTACTGGGATCAGATCCAGAAGGAACATGAGAAGGGTCTAAAGGCTGTTGCAGAGGAGCTCAAGGAGCGTGATCGCTAGCGGCGCACAACTAGTCCCCCTCCCATGTACCTCAACCAGTACCCAAGCGATCCTTCCCATCTTTTACATCCCATTTTCCGCGATAAGTTGCGCGACGAGATAGCGCTAGAAGGACGTGAAAGGATGTTCAAATGCATGGTTTGGAAATGGCGCGAAGATGGGAAATAGAGAAGGCATTTGGTGATCGCATCGACGCGATATGAATACGAAACATGATACCATCCAAACCATCCCGGGTGAGCTCTAGCATATGCAGTGATGTCGTGACATGACCTAATTCACAATGTTATTGATAGTCCCATCCGACTGTCCTACTCATCCTCTCCATCCAAAACTCCATGTCTCCCAAAAACCCCCATCGCCAGCAGCGCAAAGTGCCCCTCAACGACTGGTCTTGCCACAAACGGGTAATCAGTATAACCGCCATCCTCAGTCGTCATGAAGTGATCCGAGAGCGCTTTGTTTGTACTCGTCTCATTGATTCACTTTGCCAACGAGGTCACAAACAAAGCCCGCGTCTCAGGTCGACTAGTAGCTACGGCCCACATTTTCCAATCACTCTTGGTCCATATATGTCTGTTGTCGAGGGGTACACCGTACGTCCGAGCGACAGTAGGATAGAAGTCCGACTGCATGGTGAAGAGCGGTTTGGGAATCGACCACAGATTAAAGAGAAAGGCGGGGGAGATGCTGTAGAGGATTTTGTAGGAGGAAGGGAGGTTACATGCGAGAAGAGTATGGTTAGTAGAGGGGTTGATGGCTGATTGGTGTTGTTTTGCTAGCAACCATCTCATGTACAAAGAGATGATTGCTTACAACTGTTTGTAGCAAGCATGCTGCCCTTATAGGCAGTTCTCATCTTATGTTAGAGTAGATCATCAATTCATCTCTTTTCTGCTCACATCTAAGAATTGGGACCAGAGGTCGTAGTAGAAATATGCGTTGCGCACCCATCGGCCTGCTGGGCCGCTGTCACCAAGGACTCCGGCGATGACCCCCATGCAATTTATGACTACGATACCTTTGATTGCTAGGTTGGTATTTTTGGCGATGGGTTCGTTGGAGTCGTCTTCAGTGTTGTTAGTACAAGATTTTATTGTCGGCGCCTTGTTTTGTACTTGCCTGTTGTGGCCTGATGCTCAGGATATAGGCAATTGTCTATGAGACAATGCGACCATCGCTTGAGTATGTCGTAGTGGCTAGCAAGGAATGCTGTATCGTTGGTGGCCAGGTAATATGAGCAAGCCAGAATAACCATGTTCGCACTCTCCTCAACAGGCATCGCTTCTTCTCCATTTTCATCGGGATCGGTGGAGCTGTAGTAGCGTATAGCGTTTGGGTAGAATCGTCCGATGTCGTGCATAGCATATCGCTCATGATAGAGTCCAGACTCCTAGAACTCGGAGACGGGCTTGAGCAGCAAGCGAAGAAGCTCCGGGTTTGCATAGAGCCAGAAAGGTAACGTGGGATAGATGGCATCGGCCGTGTTCACTTTGCCGTCTGATGAGGTTTCGTTCTGGAAAATGGTCGGTCCCGTAGCGTTATCTGCAGATCCTGTAAGAACATTTGCGGCCAGGATCTGGCGGGCAGAAAGCGCGACAATGGCGTAGTACGACTCCTCTTCTGATAACGAGCATACTTGTGTATGCATATCGGTCACTCTATCCTGACCATAGTAGTAAGCTACATCATGTCGCAGCTTCATAGTCCAAAGTCTGGCCTCTTTTACGGTAGTTGCATAGTCTTTGTAATGCGTGCGGATCATGTTGTTGGCAGTCTTGTAGCAATCATTCGTGAGCCACCATGGCTGGAGCTCAATGTCCCCTCTGGCAGTGCGGTAGTTCACAGCAAGCCCTTGAGTTGTCCCGACGGTGTATAACACCAATCCGGACTGGCTGGACGCAAAACCATGCAAGAAATCGAACACTGGCATTCGATCAACTGGTGGTCCCCGAAACTGATCCTGATCGAAAGAATTATCCACTGTGCCGTCCTTGGCAAACTGCCGTCGTATAGTAGTCGCTAGACCATTCGCAGTATTTAATTCGGTGCTCATGCCGGGAGAAGAGTCGTAGTGTAGGCTGCCCCAGTACGGTTCCTGTTTATGGCCACGATCGGACCATGATAGCTCATTTAGAATCAACGGTTCCCTTGAATCTGGTTAGACTTATACTGAACATACTTTGACTCAACAACTTACCGATGAAACAAGGTGTCGGGGGTTTCTATCCCCTTAGGTGGGCAGTTAATTTCGTCAAAAGACTCACCAGGGCAGTCAACGGTCCAGTCGAACAATACATTGCCGCCCGCAAGCCAGATGGAATCCACGTCTGAGTAGAGTTGTACATTATGCGAAAGCTCATCAGTGGCGACAAACTCGACTTCTAGATAGCTGAGCGGAATACTGCTCTTGCAGGGATCTTTCGGCAGAACAGGAGAAAATAATCTCGCTTCTACTCGCACCGGTCCAGCGTCGAATGTAAAGTTATTGCAGTGAGAGTCGTAGGATACGGTGAGTGGAGTTGCTTTCTGGAGACCTTGTACGGAGGGCGAGTCTCCCATGTATTCATGAGCCGTTCCATCTACGCGTATCATGCCACTCCATCCTATGGAATCGCCAGTCCAGAAGGTAACATTTCGACTGTTAAGCGTACTGCCGCCGAAGGTGGTGCTCCAAGCACTGGTGTATGAAGAGCGGACTGCGAGAGGGATGGAAGGTGGTCGCAAAGGCGAGTAGATTGGTATTTATGAAGTGAGCATTGTAATACATGGGCAACAAGAAGGCAAATCCGCCATCTTACCCTGGTTGTTGAGCAATTGCGTTGCTTATACAAAACAGGAGGATCAGGATGTATGTAAACATGTTGTGTGAAATTGCTTGAACATACAGCGTGCAGCTGTCTTCAATGGTCTAATACATAAATGGTCTCTAGAGATAGACGTCTGTCCTCTTGCTCAACGGCGCACAGTGCCCGTCAGAAGGCGTAGTGCCAAATCAATGGAACGTTACCTCGATAAGGCTCCTTGCAGCATCGTGTAATCCAGACCATGGTTTGGAGGATTTGTGTTAATGTAGATGCCTACCTAGGCAGGACCAAAGATGAATCAAGTTATCCCCGCGTGCTTGCGCTCACCGTCAGCATGCCGTGAGTCTCTTTTTACCAGGTGCGCAACTGTTCCGAGCCTATGTTTTCCCTACATCATGCTGCGTACGATAGATATCATATTTCATCTGATGAGATTGATAGCGTGTGATGGCCGTGCAAGCTTGCCCGGCCGCATCGCGTCTCGACGCAGCTGGGAGGCCAACGCGGCATCTCCTCCTCATACAGACGCGGATATTTCCACATATCCACTTGAGATATGTTGTCCAGTCTCTACATCTTTGTATGTCTCAGCGCGCAAGTATGGCTTTCCGGCATTACTGCTGGAGCCTCCGGTCGTTGGGCAGGCGGAGGTTCGCGCTCGTAAGTTGTCACCGCGCAAGCTCGATATCGATTGGTAACGACCTACGGAGGCGATATGGAACACGCGTTTCTTGGCATGACGCATCAAACGTTGCATTCGTGCACTGGGGGAAGGATGGGAGACGTGTGCCCTAAAGTCGCTATGTTCGCGACAAGGAGAGGAGGACGGCGGACTTGCGCCTAAACCGCTTCGGATCCGAACATGTCCGGACGAGCCTCCTCCGAGCTCCGCTACCTCCCGATGTCCGCTCGTACATTACCTCTGATCCACAACACTAACATTTCAATCGCAGCTGCGAAGACGCCTGGAATGTTTGGTGGACTCTGTGATCAGGCACCGTCGCTAGTATCAAAGGTGCAGCTCAGAGTAAGCACTATCCATGGCAGGCTTCAACGCCACCAACCAAACCAGTCTGCCCCACGAAGGTCTATTTTGAGAGGAGTATGACTAAGTACGACTCGTCGGTCTCATAGACGTCCGAGATGGTATGCATAGAATAATCATCATGCAGCCATGGCGCTAGAGACATGACTACATAAGACGTAGAGGCCAGCCGCCTTGCTGTGTGCTCAGCGCATAGAACCCCACCCACACATACATTGACAAAAACCTCAAAAGCTGACAAGATGCCTTCCGATTCCCAAGATCAGCCAAAACAAGTTGCTGCATTGCTGGGAGGTCAACGCAAAGTTGACGTATACGAAGCTACGGGTGGTGCCGTGACTTCCCAGTTCGCAGCACACAACCTCTCGGTCCTCCCACCCGTACCTCCAAATGCCATCATTCACGACAACGCCTGTGGTGCCGGAACAGTATCTCGTCTAATTCTCTCCTCGAACACATTGTCGGATGTCAAGATCTATGCCACAGACATCGACCAAGTTTTCCTCGACGCACTCCAATCAGACATCCAGAAGAACTTCTGGCCCATCGAGGTATCGAACCAGAGGTCTGAGAGTTTGTCGTTCCCAGACGACTACTTTACACATTCAATCAACAACATTGGTATCTTTTTCACTAGCTCAGCCGGTCTGGATGGTGCCAAAGAAATCTACCGCACACTGCAACCCGGCGGCACCGCAGTGGTAAACTGCTGGAAGGATGTGACTTGGCTCCCGCCATTCGCACTCGTGCATCAAGCCCTCCGTCCAGGAAAGCCCTACCCAGCACCGCCTATACTTTGGAAAGACGGCCAGCAGATCCAGAAAGTGATGTTGGAGGCGGGTTTTTCAAAGGAGAACATGAGAGTAGAGAAGAGCGAGGCTTGGGCAAAAACTAATGATTTGAGAGATTGGGCGGAGAAATCTTGGGCGTATCTGGGTGGCATAGGCGGCTGGGCGGAGACGGATGGCGAAAGTTGGGATGATGCGGTTGACCTGCTGATGAAGTACCTTTTGGAGCAAGAGGGTACGAAGAGGGTTGGTGAGGAAGTTTGGATGAGGGCCAGTCAGTGGGTGGTCATTGCTACGAAGTGATTCTAGGTGAGATTAGGGGTGCTGGTATCGTTGTAAGTGATCACGATCGTTGCAATCGCTCATATGTCAACGGCTTTGAGATATAATTGGGAGCTATCGAGTCCAGACATGTACTGTAGAGTTGCCAATCATTGCAATACATAATCGCCGTTCATCTTCATCGTTAGACCTTTCCCCTCATTCGTCCACTCATGCTTCTCAGTCGACTACCAGTGTTTGGCACTCAAGCGCAAGCTATGATATCAACCATGCCTAGAGGCGCGAAGTTGCGAAATCGATTGTTGGGCAATATAGTTGGACTATAATGACGAGGTGGTGGACTGGGAGTGTTGAAACTATAATCCCCGGAATGCTTCTTCGGTGTGTTGGGTGGAGTCTTGGGCCTCGGTGGTGGTGTCGTGCCAGTGCGGGAGTCCTTGGTAGATGGTCAGCTCGCTTATAGATGAAGTTTTCGATGTGATGCTTACAGAGGCCTCTGGTAGCACAAGGTCTCCTCGTTTCTTGTCGGGCGAATTAGGCGGAGGTCGGGGAACCGGAGGAGGTGTGGTGCCAGTTCTGGAGTCCTTGAGACAACAGTCAGCTCGTTTTTTAAAGCAGAATCTCGAAATGCGATACTTACAGAGGGCGCTGACAGCATAAGATGTCCTCGCTGCTTGTAGGGCGACATGGAAAGACCAGAAGGTGGCTCTAGAGGTCTTGGAGGTTCAGGACCAAGGTTCTTGTACGAAGATTAGCTTCTGTATGATGTCCGTTTTTTACACTACGTGAACTTACACGCTTATATCCGCCCGGAGTTGTGGGAGGTGGAGTGTCAGGAGAGTTGGGCTCGGGATTCTTGGTTGATTTCAGAAGACGAAGAATCTGTTCACTGAACAGAGGTTGATCGAAGTCGCACATGGTATATGTGTAACTGATGATTCTTGCTTGAGTTGATTGTAGGGTGCTTGTGCTAGTATTGTAGTAGATGCTGTAGCTGGGTGGTCGTAGAAGTTGCAGTGGTTGTTATGCAAGAAGTAATGGAGCGCATGGCGGACATGGTCTATATACCTCTCTAACTAATTCGATTTTCATGATCTTGTGCTCTTCAAGAGTAACAGCGTTTAGGGTATCGATGATGCTGTGGAATAGATAGAGCATGGCGAGATTGCGATAGCGACTCTTCAAGGTGATACCGTTATAGCACTTGCGATCAATGGACCAAACACCCGACTCTAGATCTACTATGGAGATCTAAGTATTGAAATAGCCTTGATTGACGCTGACTGATGATTCAGCGCTTCTTCCAAGCCTGACCACGTTTGTGGGAACGCCCAATAACTCAATGTGGACACCTCGAGTGTTTGACTGTGTGCATCGCAGGAATGACAAGAAAACACTTAGAAAGGCATTGCAAAGTAGTCTTTCAATTGATACTGATAAGCCCACCATGATGAGCAGTAAACATTAGGTATGTTACATATATGTACACGTACAGTCGGACCTCGTTATCAACAAAGTAAGAACAGTCTCCCAGAGACTGAAACCTTCCAACGAAGGGTGGTGTATCGAGCACCACCCAAAGCAACCCCAAGAATCGGTGCTTGGCCACCATCTAACATCGATACAAAAGACAATTATAAGGTGTAGCGAATGTATAGAGTAAGGGGTATAACGCAGAACATAAAGTGAAGTAACAGCGGACTGGCCGGGTATCAGAAAGAATGAAGAGGGTGAATATTCATGCAAAAGGCCCAAACAAAAACCAGATCGCTAAAGGACGTGACAAACGAAAAGCAAAATATGAGCAAGAAGAAGCAATGACAACGGTTATGCGAGAGGCAGGTAGTTCACGCCATCATCATGAGTCTTGTACCGCGCTTCTGGAGGTTGCGCGGTCTGTAATTGCCCGGGCCTAGGTTACTCCTCGGAGGTGCTGCGGCGCTTTGCGCATGTCGATCACAGTATCGCCGGCCAGCGACTTCAAAGTAGCCGTCGCGGAGGACGATGCGGCAGGTCGTGCACGTGAAACATCTTGGGTGAAACTTCTGGCGCAAATCGGTTTCGAGATATTGGCCTTCGATGCCCCGGTTGCAGGCATTGCACAAAGATCCGTTGAGCTTGTGGTAGTGCTGTTCGCAATATGGCGAGTTCTCGAAAACATAAAACTCCGCTGTCGGAAAGGGATCGGCGCACGTTCTGCACGTGAAGCAATGCTTGTGATAGCGTCCCGTGAGGCGGCCAGAAGAGTCCTTCACGGACTTTCCAATAATTGGCTCTGAGCACCCACGACAGTTGCCTTTGCTAGCGGCCTTGGGCCGGCGCACGTCGTGTTGCTGGGGTTCGGCCTCGGCCATGCGTCTTGGCGGGCTTACATTGACTTGCGCCGGGTCCTGAGGTGTTGCTGGCTCTCTTTCGAACATGTCACGCGGTGTTGACGCGCCCATCTGTATGGCGGGATCCATTGGCGACTCTGGGTATTTTGCATAGCCTCCAGGCGGAAACGTGTCCTGGCGATATCCCGGTGAAAGCGACCTTGGGTATGGCTCCGCCCCATCGGGCCGCATGTAACTCTTCGGCGCTCGAACAGGCCGTGCTTCGGCGTAGGACTCAGGGCTTGCGCTTCTCTCAACATTCTCCTCGACAATGTTATCAGGACGACTGATCTTGGAAGTCTGGCGAGAGTGCGCAGCCTCAGATTCTGGTGGGCTTGATCTGGAGCTTGTCATGCTTCGGTAGCCCGAGCTGGCATATGAATCGTCTGAGAAGCCAGAGTCCGAAGGGGTGTGGAGTGCGTTCATGGGCGCATCGCCGAGCCCAGAAGCTGCTAGTGGCGGTGGGCGTAAGGAATGTGTTGGCGCAAGGCCTCGTGGCATGTCGCTTTCCGAGCCACTTCGGCTTGAGCCACGAGAAGGGAACATGTTGTTCGAAAGAGACATGAATTCTGGGGGGTCCAGATCGGTCATGTCCGTTGGCGGTAGATCTTTTTCTGAAGGCCTCCTAGGTCTTGGTGGCGGTTCTTTCCTGTCTCTGCTGTTCGGTCGGGACGGGACTGTCCTTGCGAGGTTTTCTTGAGAAGCCCTGGAAGGCTTTGTAGACTCCTTCTGCAAGCGGTCTAGGAAAGCATCAATACCTTCAGCCTGTTCGGATGTGGATGGCAACGGTGGCAGAACATTGGCTCCACCCATGCCCGGCTTCGGGCGAGCGGGAAGACCTATGCTGCGATTGGAGTATGCTGAACTGCGCGACGCATTCGAGGCTGTGGAAGTACGCTGTTTCGACACGCTCTTGTTACTGGCGATGCTGCCATTTGTGCCCATCCTCCTGTGCCCAAGCGCCGGCCCTTCTTGTGCGAATGGTCTTGCTGCGCTTGATGTACTCGGCCTTCGATCTGCCGTTCCATCGAACGGCCCTGGTGCAATGCTATTCATGCGTTTGGCGATGTTTTCCCCGCCATCGAAGCGTGGGCTAAGGGGTGCGAATAGAGGGCTCGGTTGAGCATAGTTTTGCTGGTAGGGTTCCAGGCGCTCTCGTGGTTGAGGTTTGGCACTCTTAGGGGTACCGTTCTTGGAGGGAAACCGAGGGAAGGCGCAGTCCAAGTTGGAAGTGTAATCGGGCGATGGGGGCGCCATGGGTCGCCCAACCGGAGTTGTCACACTGCGGTTCATCTTGAACGGAGACTTTGGTGGCGCCAGACCTGGGGATCGACTTTTGTAGTCAACTTGGTTGCTCATGGGCGATGGCTCCAGCGGCCGAAACGGCTTGTCTAGACAAATCAGCACAACGTCTACTACACATGGTTGTTTGCCAGTCTGGATGCTTACTCGCTGCATTTGAATCGATTCTGGGCGGGGGAGGCATGCGACCCGATTGCGCCGGGCGTTCTGACCTGTTGCTAAACGTGGGACCTCCAAAGGTTGCTGCGCGGTTCATCTTGGGCGACAGCACAGAGGGCGGGGAACCCATAGAGATGGTCGAGGTGGGCGACATTGGCTCAGGAACGGGCGTTGCTGCAACTGATAAGTGTGTGTTATAGTATGCATTCGTGGCGTACTCACCCGCTGGGGGCGCCGCAGCGCAAACATGGTCGGCTAAATGAAGGATGTCAATGTCCACCGCGCAGGATGAACATTTGATAGTCGGAAGCGTGCTCATTCGTTCCATGTTGGGCGTGTATCCAGAGCTGGTTCAGAGAGGGAGTCCGAGGCGGTTCGTGCCTGGACATTCAGTATTAAGGCCGTTCACGTCCAGCGCAATTATGTCGTAAGGCTATCTCGAAGTTGGTGACACGGAGTGGAAGCAGTCAAGGTATGCGGCGGTGGTCGAGGACGGATGATGGGCGGGAGCGCCGAGAAACAAAGGTGCAGGGTTGTTCGATCTTCAGAAACGGTGTGGGTGGGCCTTGCTGAATCAGGGGAAGCACATGCGGGCATGGTTCTGAAGTGGCTAGCATTCAGGGACGGCAGCGGGATAAAGGCTAGCGTCGCTGCATCCTGCGGTCTAAGAGGCTGCTGGGCCCCACAATCGACACGCGCAATGTTGGGTATTTGATGCTAATGAATTATCATCATGAGATAGATAATGACCGCGTCTGAGCGCCAACCACCCACAGCCCGCATCGCACAACAAGGCTGATCGGCAATCACAGGTGAACACCCAATAGCAAGGGGCGAAATGCCCCCTTCTGCGCGTCTTTGTATCTCCTGCACGTAACTCGCGCGTCCCTGAGATGCGGCGTCAGTGGTCGAGCACGGCGGCCTCCATGATTCGATGGCCATGTGCACGGAGCGGCGGCCTGTACCTAGCTACCTGGGCATGGGCACATCGTGTGGTCCTCTCCGTGTCAGTTGCACGCACCAGACGCGGCGGGCTGCGATGAAACCATGGTCGCTGGCGCAAAGTCTCGGGCCCAACACCGTCGCAGTAGTGACGATGTCACGGTTGCGACCCAAGATCAACAGAGTTCGCAAGCTCCAGGAGGTCGCAAATCGCGGCAACAACGTTTGCCAGATGCGTACACCGTGTATAGCCAAGTCCTGCAGCGACGAGCAGGTGGCTTGAGGCTCTGGTCGCCTGCTGCCCATGCGCTATGAAGCCACCAGGGCCGGACATTACTCTCGGGCATGATTGGCTGCACGCGGCATCGTTCTCGTTGGTCGATCGACGCTGCAGACACAAATTATCCATAACTAAGCGCCCCTTTCGCTACGTCAACAGTTTCTCGTCCGCAATGTTCCCGTCAGCCATGTTCTCAGGTCGGCGTGGCCCGCGACACACAGTGCTCGACATGTCACAGGTGCTGGAAGTTTCGAACCGCTTGCATGCTGTCGCGCCAACTGCTGCCTCCGTCTGCATGCAGCATGGTGGCCTAACATGGTTCCCTTGGCGAACGGCGAGGCTGATTGTCGATCAGCAAACTTCCCATGCAGGTTGCCGCATTCGTCGTTCTCCCAGCCGACCCCAGGGTCTCCCCCCATGTTGCCTGCCATCGCGGCTAATAACATCAAGAAAATAATGTCAGCACTGGTCTCGTGTCGACACTTTGCCAACAAGCAGCATCTGTCATCTGTCAACAGTAGCCGTCTTGCATCGCCGAGACTCCACAAACATGCGCTGCGGGTTGTGTCGCGTGCCTTTTTTTCGTTCTGTAAACACGTCTGACGCACACAGCGTGTCGAGTGCTACCACTGTGCTTGACTGACGACATCACCGTGCTTTGAAACAGTCCGTGGCTCAGACACCGTTCAAATGCCATGCTTGCCATTTTGGAGCCAGGCAATTCCCATGTGCCTGAAAACTCTTACACATCGACACCCGGCTCCCGAGATCCCCTCACTGTAGTGCTGAGCACGTGATGGCGGGGTCCGTATCTCCGTACACAAGTACTCTACCACTAGCTACACACCTGCCCAGTACGTAGCTCATAGGAGGAATTAAACTGTTCCTACAGCGGTACACTCGAGCATGCAGAGACAGCTGTCCATGCAATATACCTTCGCTTAAAGCGAACAGAGCGTTCTCGTCGCGTCGCTTACATCGTCACCTTCCCTACTGCGGCTGTCGCTGCTGCTTGTTGAGGTAGTGAGGGAAATAGTGGGGCAAGGCGAGCATCGCGAATACCACGGCTACGCGCCATTGGTGTTGTACATCCCGAAGACGGCTACGGCGATAGTCATTAGCATGAAAAGTGGGGAGTATGGAAGGTAATGGCAAAGAAGCGGTGGGTGAACACGCTGTCCGGCAGGAAGCGGGAGCGATTGCGTACGATTATTGCTAAGTCAGCCGGGACGCGGGAAGCATTTATATCGCGACTTCTCTCCATCATTTCTCACCCCACCGCAACACACCACGGATCGTAAATCACAGCCAACTGTCAAGCTTACAATCTCTCTCCCTTCTATCAACTACACCCAGATTTCCCCGGGCCATTGCCCAGCTGTCAAGACGTTTTCCAATCTCCTCAGCTCGTATGTGCCCCGCCATAACCCCATGGGGACCGCCTTTACTTACACTTGACAGGATCCACAACCCATTCGCCGGCCGACGCACTTCTCCCTCTGGGGCAGCGTCGGATTTAGACTTCCGCAACTAAGTTCACCAAACCAACAAGAACTTAAATCATCATGGCACCACACGCAGAAGAACGCGTCGGTCACGCGAATGGGTTCGAGGCGAAGGCAACTCCCAAGGATCTCTTTGTCGTCAGCTCTCCTAACGTAGAATACACCGAGGACACTATCAAGTCAAAGTACACTTACCGTACCACCGACGTTACCAAGAACGACGATGGCAAGTATGTTGCTATCCCCAAGGAGACGCTCTACGACTTCAAGGTCGACCGCAAGATCCCTAAGACCGGTGTTATGCTGGTTGGCTGGGGCGGCAACAACGGTACTACGGTCACGGCCGGCATCATCGCGAACAAGCGTAACCTCGTTTGGGAGACCAAGGAGGGCAAGCGCGGCGCTAACTACTATGGTTCGGTCATCATGGGATCTACCACCAAGCTCGGTGTTGACAGCAAGAGTGGTCAAGAGATTCACATCCCATTCCATGACCTCCTGCCTATGGTTCACCCCAACGATCTCGTCGTTGGCGGATGGGACATCAGCGGGATGAATCTTGCTGAAGCCATGGACCGCGCCAAGGTTCTGTCGCCGTCCCTCAAGTCCCTTGTTCGCAAGGAGATGAGCGCCATGAAGCCTCTTCCTAGTATCTACTACCCGGACTTCATTGCTGCCAACCAGGAGGAACGTGCCGACAATGTTCTCGAAGGTACCAAGGCTTCCATGGCCCATGTTGAGCAGATCCGCAAGGACATCCGGTGAGCCGAGACTCGTTGCATGTCAATCTCGCCTTTACTGACGATCTTGTAGTGACTTCAAGGCTGCCAACGGTCTCGACAAGGTCATTGTGCAATGGACTGCTAACACTGAGCGCTATGCCGACATCGTCGAAGGCGTCAACGACACGGCGGACAACCTGCTCAAAGCGATCGAATCTGGTCATGAAGAGGTGTCTCCATCCACTGTCTTTGCTGTGGCTTCCATCCTTGAGGGTGTTCCCTTCATCAACGGTTCCCCCCAGAACACATTCGTTCCTGGTGCTATCCAGCTCGCCGAGAAGCACAATGCCTTCATTGGTGGTGACGACTTCAAGTCGGGTCAGACCAAGATGAAGTCGGCCCTCGTCGACTTCATGATCAGCGCCGGTATCAAGCTCACCTCGATTGCCTCCTACAACCACTTGGGTAACAACGACGGCATGAACCTCAGCTCTCAAAAGCAGTTCCGCTCCAAGGAGATCTCCAAGTCCAACGTCGTCGACGACATGGTCGCTGCCAACAACGTCCTGTACAAGGAAGGCGAACACCCTGACCATTGCGTCGTGATCAAGTATATGCCTGCTGTTGGAGACGACAAGCGCGCTCTTGACGAGTACTACGCGGAGATCTTCCTCGACGGCCACCAGACCATCAGCTTGTTCAACGTCTGCGAGGACTCTCTCCTGGCTTCACCTCTGATTATCGATCTGGTTCTGGTCGCTGAGATGATGACCCGTGTCCAGTGGAAGGCTCACACTGCTGGAGGCAGCGATGGCAAGTTCAACAACTTCCACAGCGTGCTCAGTGTTCTCAGCTACATGCTCAAGGCTCCTCTCACTCCTCCTGGCACGCCTGTCGTCAACGCTCTTGCTAAGCAGCGCGCAGCTCTCACCAACATCTTCCGCGCCTGCGTTGGTCTTGAGCCGGAGAACGACATGACCTTGGAGCACAAGCTCTTCTAGGTGTTTGGATGAACTGACGGCGAGCATCTCCCTTGTTGATGGTGCCAGCTGGCAGACGGTGCATGAGCTCTAGAAGCACATATCGCTCACTTTTTGATTTGACCAACTCACTACTTTCTTTAAAGCAATAAAAAATTTGTTTACGGGATACGCACACATATGCAACATTGTCAGTCTTTTGTGAGCTAATAGTGATGATCAGATTATGCGCTTCACTGCTAATTTATGTGCGCATGAGATAAACAGCTGATTTTGGGGTGGATGGTGTGACTTCCTCATATTGGTTCCGACGTGGGTCGCAGCCTACGCATACAGCGGGAACGCTCCTGCTTCGATCCTCACCTCCTCAAACTCACCACGGCTACCTCGATCCCAACACCGCGAGCTTGTACCACACGAGAAAATGCCAGCATCTTCGTCAATACAATCTCACTTCTCATCCTCACCGACAAAAAGCAGCGGTATCTCCATCATAGAGGAAGTGCAGTGCACTCCTGCGGCAGGAGCGACCACAGCAAGTACATGGGCTGTAATGTGTCTCCCACAATGAACCTCAAATCATCACTGACGTATGAAAGCCCACTCTCGACTATGAGGAAGCCGACCTAGGAACACTTGAACCTGGCCCTTGTAACCTCACCCTCATGGGTCGCGTCGTCTACTTCAACGACCAGTCCAAACCCAGCAAATCACACAAAGCAGCTCAAGGATGCATCAAAGTCTTACTTGCAGACGACACCGGGGTACTCACCGTGCGCCTTTGGTATGCTGACACCCTGTACAAGCTCAAGCTTGGCCAGCTGCTTAGCGTGTGGACGGTACATATCTCGAACTCCTCAGAGTACAACTCACTAGCACCAAATACCGCACCGCTATTTACTACAATATTCCCCGAAGGTGAGAGACACTGCCATGTCATGGTGCATGAGAATAGCGACGATGGGACAAGGTTCAAAAGACCGTATGGTGTGAGGGACAACAGAGGTCTGAGTGGGTTGATGACACTGAAGACGTTTACTGATGGTGGTTATGATGTCGACGAGCCGAAATTACTGGTATGCGTCAAGAGTATTGGCGCACGGAAAAAGTGTGAGTGTTTCTCCTCTGTACGGGCATCTTCGGACCTGATTTACGACTAAATTTCCAACAGACATAAATCGCAACAGCACAACCTCTGAACTCATAACACTCGGCATCTTCGACGACACATCTGACGGCCTCCTCACCCTATACTCCTCAATGTGCGACTCGGCCTCTCTGTTCGTCCCCTCAGAGACTGTCCTTCTCATCTCGAACCCTGGGTGGCGTATCGACAAGATGGCCAAGCTCACAGTCAGCGGCAACTCACGTGTCGACATTGATCCAGACATGGGTGGTGCACGGCGGTTGAGAGCCCTAGCACAAAGACGGACGAAGAAAGAACATGTCAATCTGCCGTTCCCCATCGCTGACGATGTAGTTGAGGGGTTCGAGAATGCAGCTGTGAGAGCATTGTACACACTTGCGGATGTGGATGATGTCGCTCGCTCGCTGTCGAACAAAAGGTCCAAAGAAACCATCGCTGGGTACCTTAGCGTTATCATCACGGAACTCAATATCGTTACGCCGTTCAAACGCAACATGCTCATGAGTAATGAGTGCTGTGGTATACCCATCTTCGCCAACAGCACACAGGTCATGTGTAAGCAGTGTGAGAAGTTTGTCGAACTGAGAATCAACCCTAGGATAGTAAGTCACGTCTACCCTTCGCATACCCCTTTTCCCATCATCTCTCCCACATTTTCCTCTCTGACCAACTCCCGATCCTCGCAGCTTGGTCCCCTCCTCGACGAAACTGGTCAAATCAGCAGCGGTAAGCTTATTCTCTCGGACGCCGCATGGACCCAATTGCTCGGTCGCTCGCCAGAGCAGCTCATCGATACCCGGCTTGAAGTCCTTCGTTACCTGGAACAGCGCCTTCTTTTCTTACGTATTTCGATGGGGTTTGTGTTGAGGTTGGAAGATGAGATTGGGAGGTTGACTGTGTGGTGTGTTAAGAGCTGAGTGAGAGTGACAGTGGGAGGAGACGGAGACAGATGAAGAGGATGTAAGCTGGATCTAGGGTTCTGGAAACGAGATCTGTCATGACATTTCAAGAATGTTCGAGCGCACTACTATGACCGAACGAGTTGCCTGGCGTGGCTCAGAATGGGTGTAGTGGTATTCCTTCTCGAAAACATTTACATGAAAGAGTCAAGAAAACAGAAGGGTATATCGTATCCTCCCAGTCCATTCCCATGCCCGTAAACACCATGCGAAGATGCGTCAATGGTGTCATTTTGAAACAAGGTGAAAAGGGTCAAAGAAAGTGCGCCACATAGATCATCCTCATAAGACCTCCTGGGACATGTGTCTGTTTTGGGTTGTCAATCCTTGCCCGTTCCTGCCGGCAACTTTGTTTGGCATTGAGTGCAGCAACTTTATTCTTATTGCTCGCCAAGTACACCAGCAAGGCCTCTCAATATATCGCCTACGCCAATTCCTTCTGTGCCCACTCTTTCCTTTGCTTCCCGATCTCGCTCTTCCAACCTCTTTGCCGCAGTACCCAGCACACGATCCGCTACCCGTTCCGCCGTTGCGCGATACTGTTCGATCTTATGAACACCGTCTGCGAAAAGGTCGACATGCGGTTCTAGCGAATCGGCGAGAGACGTGAGATGTGACTGTAATGCTGTAGGCGAAGTGAATGTGAATGCTGACGTTGGTGGTTGTATTTGTGATGACTGGAGGGAGGAGAGTATGGCGGCTTGGGCGGGATCGAGGAGGGAGGTGTCGATTTCGGATAGTGTAGGTGCTGATGTCGGTATTGAGGGCGCGGGTGGCGGGGGCTTGGTCTTCGAAGCTGATGCGATGGCTTCCCATGCAGCTTTCTCTTCTTCGAGGCTGATCCGCTGTTAGCATGGAGCAAATGTAGAACACGCAGATTCTGGGACGTACCGCTTGACTTCCTCCTCCAATTCCTCCAGTGTAGCTTTGTTCTTCTCGTTCTGAGGATTCGGCTTCTTTACCACAGGTGGTGGGGCTACTTCCTCCTGTAAAGCTATTAGCTCACGCTCTTGCCCTAATGTAATTGATCCACATACCCTGCTGAACCAGTCCGAAAGCTCGGGTTTACTTGCGAAATCATCTATCAGTTCTTGTTGAATCGCTCGCGCTGCGCTCCTGTCAGTTCCTTGTCTTATGCATGCAGCTTCGTCCAGACATACCAGCCATGATCGCATTCGCGTTCTTCACGTCGCCTGATGGTTTTGCTGGTAAAGCTCGCGATCCGCACCATGTCAAGAGCTGCTTCATCCGTCGTGGCTCGGGTAGGCTTTGCTCGATATATTTGTAGAAATCTCGGACTTCGACTTCTGAGTGCGGTAGCGCTGCGATGTTGTTAGTATCCACTAATCCCCAGGGGCGCTTTTCCATGCCGTTAGGGTCCTGTGCCCAGCCCTCATGTGCATCATTGCTTGACTCACCATTCGACTGGCCGCTGTCAATCAGCGAGCTTGCCCTTCTCCCTCGCAAGCCTGTGCTACTCCTTCTCGACCCATCCTTAGTGCCTTTCCGCATCTCTTTGTTCCTCGTAATAACTGGGGTATCCGCAAAGGGCAGCATAATCTTTTGAGCGTTGGGATCGCGCTTCTTCACGACCTGTATCTTGTTGTGTGTCGGCGTTTGCACGCCTGCATACGCGCTCTTCGGCTCTGGCTGTGCCTCTGGAGCTGGTGTGGTTTGCTTCCTCCTTTCCTTCTCTACAGGCGCGGTCTTCTTCGTTCGTGATTTCGCCGGTGGAGGTTCTGTAGACTTCGGTCGCACTTCCAGCTGTCTACTGTCACCAGATATGCGCGCTGAACGCCGACGCTTTCCCGAGTCTGAGGATTCCGGATCGGCTGCCGCGATTGACTGTTTCTTCCGCCGCGCAGTAGATTTGGCCGGTTGCGCTTCGGCAGCGCGCGCGAATGTTGCTGGTTCGTCCTCAGGTATTGGTTCTGGTGCCAACACGGCCTGTGCCTTGGTAGTCCTTCGCGACGAAGTGCGACGCGAAAATTGGAAGCCATCATCGTCCTCGTCGTATGCAGCTGCTTTTGCTGTCTTCTTTGGCGCAGCAGTCGCCTTTTTGCTCGTCCCATTCACGTCCGCCTTTGCTCGTTTGGTCGTCGGCGCCGGCGCATCATCGTCGTCGAAGGCTTGTCTTGCGCTCCTCCGTCGCGTCGTGGGTCGGTTTGTTGCCATAGGAAGCGATTGGAGCGGTGGGCGCGCGAAGACGGTAGTCATGAGTCCAGTTGCTGCGTCACGGGAGTTTCGGGGAGTTGAAGTTCGGTCAAAGCGCGTGCATTGGCGCGACAAACGGGCGAGCGCAGACGAGGCGAGCTACGCAGGATGTCTGATCGGCGAGAGGCTGGTACGCGTGCAATTAGGTATGTGCCTGGGTATCGGTACTGGGGCTCGTAATGATTTGGCGGTAATGCGAATATCCTTAGGCGTCGGGCGTGGAGGGGAACGGTTGTCACACGGGAGCAAGGAAGCTGGTGTGTGCACCTGCCGCCAGCATCATCAAAACAATGGTTTTGGGACTAGCGTGTTCACGTGAGGCTTTAGCGCTCCCCACATCAATGAATGCACTCACTTCCAAGGTTGGGCTGCTTTCACTTAGGCTCAAGTGTGGTAAGCCAAGGTCCAGAAGATGGTGATGATTTGTAGGATCCGCGCCAGCTGCTCTGCATGTATATATAAATGAAGTCCTCGTAGGAAGCGAAGGTAAAGCCGCTCAAAAACGCCCAAGAACAAGCGACTATCCGTGCCGCCAATCCGTATGCTCTCATACTTTCATAACCGCGTTACTCCAGACACGCCAGAACAATGTTGAATATCCAAGCCTGCCCAATTCCTTTTGTGTATTCCGTTTCTTCTGCACTTCAAAGAGGATTATTCTACATCCCAGCTCCAGGCATGGGTCCTTTCACGCCCGGAGGTGCAAAGCTGCCCTCAATGCGGCGTTTTGCGTCCTGCTTCTCTTCATTGGTAGGGTTGACTTTGCGCATGTCGGGAACATGAGCTGGTCTGTTGGGGCTATGGCCGATGGACATGCCGACGCGAATCTGTCGTAGTTAGTAAAGCGAACTGATTGCAAGAGACGGCGACTTACAAGAGTCTCGAGAGCCGAGTTTGAATTGTCTACAAGGTCCTCGTCGTATCGCATCTGGCCTGGCTCAAAGAGAAGCAGCAACGTGCTTCCACCGAATTTGAAGTACCCGAGCTCTTCGGCACGCTTCACGTGCTCACCCTTCTTGCGCGTGATGACGGTGCTACCTACCATCATGGCACCAATGCAGATGACCATGACACGCCCATGGGCGACAGAATCAATGGGCACTACAACGCGCACATTCTCGCCATAGACATCCAGGGCTGAGCGGATAGCCATTGGGTTGACTGTGTAGTATTCTCCCTCAATCGTCTTCGGCTCATCCATGACACCGTCGACGGGAATGTGGAATCGATGGTAGTCCTGAGGCGCGAGTCGGAAGATACCAAGAGAACCACCGTGGTAGCGCTTTGCGTCCTCAGGGTATGCATCACCAAGCAGCCGCTCGACAGTGAAATCGCGACCCTTGACCCAGATAGCCTGTGCTGAGTCGATCGTGTTGAAGACCACAGTCCGGCAGTCAGAGGGGGAGACGATGACCCTGGGATCATCTGGTGCGGAGCACGGACGCGCGCCAGGCTTCAATGCTCTGTAGAAGAACTCATTAAAGTTCTTGAACTGGTCTGTCGGCAACAACACCTCAGACATGTCAAGCTGATGGAAGTTGATGAAGGGTAAGATTTCCGAGGCTGAAGCAGGATCGTCATACTTCCTTCCCTGTTTGAAACTGAGAGACTTGAGTAGTTTGCGGACTGCGACACATTAGTATGTTACGTTTAATTAGCGGAATCTGGGTGACTGACTTCGCTTCTTTTCCATGCTGTTCGACTTGAGACCCTTGTACAGCAAACGAATGCCCAGACGGACGTAAACGCTCATGCGCTCTTCGTTGATCTGCCCTGTAAGGCGGTCTTGGACAAGGATGTTGGCCGAATTTGCGCCTAGCTTGTATCCGCCGTATGAGATCTTAGTAATGACCTTGGAGTACCACTTGCGCTGGGCCTGACTCGAAGTGACAAATCCAGCCATGACGATGTTGTTAACTTGTCGCCAGTCTTGACTTGCGCATGTAGCAATGTGTGTAATGATATTGGCATCTGACCTCTTGTTCAGCTTCGGTTGATGGCAGATGGGACATTCGCGGATCTCGATGACATGTTCTTCTCCCTTTTCGTCTGCGAGATCATCAATCTGGATGTTGTCGCCTTCTTCGCCCTCCTTTCCTAGAGTGTCTGTTTCAAGTACAGGGATGGATGTTGTCGAGCTGTCCTGGTTGATGGGCGTGAGCATTCCGGATGCCAACGAGGGAGTCTGCGTGCCTGATGCGAGACCGTTCTTTCGGGAGTCTCTGGCGTCCGTGGCTTGAAGCTGGTCTTCGAGGCAGATGACAGCTTCGTCGAACGTAAGCAGAAGGTCTCCATTGTGAGCGTCTGCGAACCGCTCGAAAAAGCTGTCGATAGTCGACTCATGTAGGGTGGAGCCAAGCGTGTCGAGCATGGTGGTCAGTTCCACTTTGTCCAATAGGCCACTCTCATCGGCATCGTACTGCTTGAGCATAGCTCTCCAGAATTGCTGTCGGAGGGCCTTGTATGGGAGATACTTTGCGCGAATGTAGAGGGTAGAGTTGTGCTTGTTGCCCCAGCGCTCTTTGTCTTTCAGCTCCAATGGGAGAGTATACATCTTCAGATCCTCGTCATCAACGGAGGACGGGTTGATGTTGACATCGCCAGCAACAGCAAGGTTACCGTTGGAGTCGGCTGCAGCATTGGGCGGAGCGCCTGTCGGGGCCAGAGATCCATTCGACTCTTGCGCGGATAGTGAGCCTGTCGAGGTTTCCTTCTTCAGGGATGGCCGGCCTAGACGGGATAGACTGTTGGTTGAAGCAGAACGAGAGATGGGAAGGCGGAAGCGGGATTTCTTAGAACTACCCGAATCAGAAGGAGAGATACCGGGAGAATCTGATGGCTCCGGCAGCCTGTAGAGTCCTGTCTCTGGGTCTTCCTGTGGGGCTGTGGAAACGGCCTTTTCGATTGGAAAATTGACAGTACCGACATAGTCGTTGCCGGAGAACTTGTCCTTGTCGATGACAGTGAAGTTGACAGAATAGTTGGTCTCATGCCGTAAGACTTGGAAGATGAGTTTCTCGTCGAAGACGGGGTTGAGGTTGTGGCTGATGGTCTTGGTACGGTACGTCTTCTTTCCGAGGGAGGTTACGACGAAAGGGTCCATGTCGAAGGTAGTTCTGGTCACTGAATATGCATAAGCTTGGGTAGTAGCGTGCTGCGGGGGAGACTTACCGTTGCGCTGCGGTGGCAGATCGGTACACTTCTGGATCTCAAGGAAGAGCACACCAGCTATGTCTCCAGTACTGGAGTATTCATAGGCAATCTTGCCCTTGACCTTCCTTCTAAGTCTGGCCAGCTTGAGCTTCTTCCGCCGCTTCTCGCGCTTCTCGGCCTTCTTGGACTCGTCCTGGGCCTCATCTGAGCTCGATTCGTCGTCTTCGGCATCGGTGAGGTTGCTGTCGCCGCGCTCTAGGAGGTCTTCGTCGTCTTCGTCGGGGCTTGGTGTTTGTCCAGCAATAGCGTAGAACTTCTGGAGGATCTGCTCGGGCGTGGCGGCGAGGTTGAGGGGGTCGATGAGGGAGAACTGGATCTGGATCTCGCCGGAGACGACAGACTTTTTCTTTCCCGAGCGCCGCGACTGCAGCGGGAACCATTGCGGCTCCTGCTTGGTGAGCCCGTTCTGGAACTGCTCCTCGAGTATGACGTCAAACTCGCCCATGTAGTCCTTCCCAAAGCGGTCCTTGTCCCAGCAGACGACCTCGAGCAGGAGGCTCTGCTCGCCGACGATGGGCAGTTCGAGCGTCTCGTTCCATTCCGGGTTCAGCTGCTTGTTTATGGTGGGCGTGGTGAATTTCTCGTCGCCGAGGGAGAGGACGAGGTACTGCGGACATGCAAGTCAGCGGGAGTTTGGCAGTAGTTCAGACGAGGCAAGACTCACGGGGTCCGAGGTGCCGCTGCGGTCCTTTGCAGCGAGGTCTCTGCCCTGCGTGCTTGTTAGCTGTGGCTCCTCCGCGGGGAAGCATAGGCGGGCGCACTTTGATGACATTGGCCCTCAGGACCAGGCCGGGCGTGGGCTGCTCTGACATGGCGCGCAGTTTGGGGCTTCCGGTGCGGCTGGCGGGCACAGAGGTTGGGGTGGAATTGGTGCCGTTGGTGTAGCTGGACTGCTGCTTGAGGCGGTGGGGGAGCGAGAGTTTGCTGGTAAAGGCTGGTCGCGGCATGGTGGGCTACGTCGACGGTGCACCCGGCGCCGGCGTGGCTACGCGTTCGATCGGAACGTGCTGGCCGGACCGCGGTAGCCAAGTGCCTAGGGATTGCTTGACGTCGCGCCGGCGGTTGGCAGAACGTGGCTCAGAGCATTCAATATCACGGGGGCAAGGGCGCAGGAGAGACGAGGACTTAAGAGTGAATTGGATTAAGCTTGGGGGCCGCCGCATACCTTAGCTTCGGTACATGTGCACGCGCAGGCAGCTGAAGGAGGGCAGGCCCGCAATGTGTCTCTTGCGGCGTCGATAGGAGCAGCGCCTGCCGGAACTTGCGGCTGGGCCCTATGGATGTGCCTCTCCCATGTGTGATCGACGACTATGCTCGACTTCTATGCATGGCCCAAGACTTCACGGCCAAAAGCAAATACCGCCTGCTGCCAGTTGCTGCGTCTACGCGCGACTCAGCCGCCAATAGTCGGAGCCGAGAACTGCGGCGGCCGTCTGGTATCTCCACTCGAAACCCACCGCAAGGCATCAGGGCAGCCGCAATCAACAAAACTCAGTGTAAGCAGCCCTAATCAGCCCTGCGCGTATTACCTCGATAGGAACCCCTCATTCCTCGCCTACTAGCTATCCGAGCAACCGGCCGCAGTATATATAGCCATGCGCGCAAGCCTGTCACAAATGCCGCATATCCCATGCCGTCTCCTCTGTCTCACTAACGCGTCGCGCTGACGGCTTCCGGGCCAACAACGCATCGTATACATCGCGGATACCTATCTTGATTGAGATGCTCCGGGACTATACTGGGCCATT